TCTGGTCAGCTTCAAAGAGTGAGCCACCAATACCCTACAGACGTGCTCTCTAGTCTATAGGACCCTCAAGTTGAGACCTTTCCACCAGCAATGGACAGAACAAGCAATTTCAGGGGTGCACCTTCGCCTTTACTAAAGGAATGTGTGAAATAATGCAGGACATCAATTTGCTCATCATAACCGCAATTAAATATATGAAACACTATTTATTAGTTATTTATTACCAGGTAAGTTCTGCTGAGCCTATATAGCTCTTTTTCAGAAGCAACCTTGCCACAAAGGATAGCTCACCGAAGTGGCTTATCACGTGGACATGTATAGCAGCCGAATACTTTAAACGCGTGATGTTGATTCTAAATGTGCAGGGAAAAGCCGGATGATCCCGAGAAAAATCCACGCGGGGAGAACATCCAAACTACAAATATACTGGCATCGTCAGGGTGGGGATCGAACCCACAACCTCTTGTATACCAGGCGAGGTAGTTACCATCTCGTGCCACCATTAATACAATTCATGGTGGCACATGCTGGCGCCGAGAGCTGACGCTCCAGATACAATCTGGAGCGTCAGCTTAATAGCCCCGCTCATTAGCTAAGAGTGATAATGCTCTCAGGCAGCCACAATGATGGGCTAAGATACCGCATTTGAAATACTATTTTTTGCAAGGGTATTGAATATATTGATTGGAATTCAGATTCTACGTGCTATTCATTTTTTCGCGTACATATTTGTGTGAGTGTTGGAGCACAATGGAAACTCCCGATGATGCTTGGACAACCAAATGGAGTTCACAGGAAGTTACAAACTCCTCGCAAAAGACCCGACGCAGAAGATCTTACCCGGACCTTGACGGAGATTACTCGTAGCATCCACACAAACCATGACAGCAGATACGGATACTCTCTGGTCAGTGTGGTGGAGTCTGTGGTCACCCAAAACAGACCATGGAAAGTATGTATGCTGAACTTCTTTCGCACCACACGTAGCAAACCGTGCTAATGGGAGGTGCGAAATGAACGACTTTAAACGACGCAATTATCTGGCTCAACCACCGCAACGTCAAAATCAGCAGCCATGCAAAGAAAAAGACGATGGAAACTCCTACGGAGGTGAAGAATTCTAGTAAACAGCTGTCGCAAAACAGCAAGAGCAGTCCTGGGAAGTAAGAGCGTCTGTGGAATGAGAATGGTGGCTCGAATGACAACTCCGGGGTGTGCACTCTGCCAGTGCAATGTCAGAATTTTGGAGGTGCACAAAAAGTATATATATTTTTTTCTCTCCAATACTCTAAGATTTTATTTTTTACGAATGATAGAAACCGCCAATAGTTTTAATAATTGAGATTGTAACTCTATAAACTTCGGGAAGGCGTGCAATACACACTAACTTCGATATTTGAAAACAATATTCCTAAGCGGTGAATTTTTTGTTGTTTTCTGATGCATTATAGTGCTGAAGAATCAGCTCTTATCCATATATAACGTTAGCTTGTATGTAGATGTTTAAAAGAAACACCACGCGTAAAAAGCGTACGATAAACGGTCCAAACTAGACAAAAAATAATATTATTTTCTGAGACCGGTGAGTGCTTTTCACTGGGTAGTATTTTTGAGTATCTGTCAATAAACACCGTCAAGTCTGTGACAAGTAAACCATGGCCGCAAGTCCCCAGCAGCTTTCCCTTCGTTTGTGTTCAACTTCACGGGAGGCAAGCAAATTGACTCACGGATCGTGCGACGCGTGTGCTGTATTCGCAAGTGTTTAGCAATGCATGGGGACTGAAGGCAGTTTGAAACTTTAGGTTTACCCTGAAACTAAATATTCCCATTGGCTGTTATTTTGGGAAAGTCGAATTTGAAATTGTTGATTTTCAAATTTTTCTCGACGTTAGTGCACGGAGGCTATATTTGTCCCAAATGTTTACTTTCAAAGCCCTTCCAGTCGCATGTGAATATAATTGCAACACATAGCCCTCGTCCGTGTCATTAAAAGCAGCTTTGAGATTATTAAGCCAATGCTGCCACCTTCTGCTAAATGTGGGTGCACAGCTGGAAATGAATGCACACAATTATGGCCTTATTCCGCGTGCAATTCTAATGAATAACGATCGGCATCAGCCACCACTCAATCCACTGCCGAATGAACGATAGCCTTTGTGGCCGGCTGGAACGCTCTTCATTCCAATATTAGGAAGCCACTGGAGCTATGCACTTTTAAATCCAGATTGAAAACTCATTTCTCTAGAGCTGCTTTTTATGTTTAGTTTGTCCCCTCCCGCACCTCCGATTAGCACGGTTGGCTACGTACGGTGCGAACAAAGTTCAACATACATCTCCCATGGTTCTGCGAATAAACAATCATGCATCGATACACTGCACTACAAATCTCATGATATTTTCTAAGCACCAGATTGAAGTGGTTTATTAACAGGTAAACAATGCATTTTTATAGCAAAGTAACTATATGCACAGCCGTATGGCTGGGTAGCTATACTACATTTACGTTGGGAGTAAAATAGATTTGGTACATAACCACACTTTAGATATATATGTCGGTTGCTATTGACATTAACAATTTTACAGACATTAGAAGCCCCCTTTTCTCAATCCACTGCTGCATGGTCTCCAGAGCCACTCCGTGTCGTGGTTTATTTGACCATACTTCACCCCAATGGTCAGTGCAGGTTGGTTAAGGGGATGTTGGCTCTGGACTGGTCCAGATATATCAATCGCCACTGGTGATAGCCGTGGTTGAGAATTGAACTCGCGTATCAGGAGCTTGTTGCGCAGTGTGTGACTCAGTCCACTACGCCACCCAACATCAACAATGCAGAGCAATATACGTGATGGGGCTTACTTCGGGTCTCACCTAATGCGCCTATTCATTGCATATATTGTACAATTGGACCTGTATGTACATATCCTGGCTGTGAAAGAAAAACCTCAAATGAAATGGAGTGCTAAGCTTTTATCGAACTGGCAGAATCGGGAGAGGTTTTTTTTGTTTTTAGGATTTACGTAAAACTACTTTTACACGTCACTGCGACTGTCTCCGCTGCATACGGTGAACTCTTTATGTATTCAAAAAACGCGTCACAAATTACACTGCAACGTTACAGGGCACACAACATTATACACAACGGATCGTTGTTATGACAGTGTCATCGGTAAATCTGAGATGGTTTCTCCACTCGTGTGTTTGCTTATTTGTTTTACCAATGCAAAGTTCACAAATGGTCGTCTCACGTCGCTGTGAATAACCTTGACGACAGGAAACTCCTGGTCCCAGTTGTCTTCTGATGCACTTCTCACTTACTCCTCTTCATCCCGCATAGGATTCTTTAATCGTTTTGTTTTTGTGCGTGTCGTAAACCCTCCACCACCCGACGCAGCAAATACATGTGTCACGTGAATCAAACGTGGCCAATTGCATAACTGCTTGAGCAGCACACGACTGGTGTTGTTGTTGGAGAGGAATCTTACAATACTTAAATGCGTACTGAAGTTTCGCTGGAGATGACATCCAGCATCACCACGTTGCTGACAGGAGCTCAGACGCAAGAGTGAAAGAATTTCACAGATCCGGGCCTTTAAGTAGTAGCCATGACGTCATCGGTAGTCATGCACGTGATCTAATTGAATAATTAGTCGATTCCGGGTTAATTGGTTGTGCCTTGGCAGGTTTGGTTACATGGCCTGACCCAAAATAAACCAATTATGAGTCACAGTGGCCGTGAAAGCACACGAATAGATTCACTTTTCAATGTATTAACGCAATTCCATTTTAGATATTCTATTTAGTGCTTTTTTGTATAGGCATGTGGTTCATCAAAGACGTGGCACCAGTTGGCACAAACTTAGCAAACCTACTTTCTAAAGGTTTACACATAGATTAAATAATGTACCTCAATCACTGCTCAACGCGAAAGAGGCGATGCAACGGAATTGGAGATTGACAGGCCTCTTAATTGCACACATCTGGAAGCAGAATAAGGGGAGCATTTACGGGGCCAACCAACGACATAAGGAAGCCAGATTTAGACGAGGTTTCTCTACCAGTCGTCACACACAATAAGATTCTTATAGTAAAAAAAACCTCGTGAATATCAAATTCAATTATGGCTAAGGCTTTGCAAACTATGGAAGAGCAATTGACTTGAGACATTGATGCAGTCATCCCAAGCATGCAAAAAACAGTGTCTACATAAAATATATTGCCATTTATACTTTTGTGCTTTAAAAAATGGTCAGTCTGCAATGTTTAAATATTTTGTTCTTCTACCGTTTGCGAGGTTTTCTTACGTCGCGTAGGCAAAGCTTCAAATGAAATGGCAAGAGGGGAGAGACATGGGGAAGAAATAAGTGGATTTATGAACGTGGATTGTATTATTATTTTCTCACGTCTCCCCCAAAAGCTCAGGAATCAAGAATACTGTAACAATGCTGTGGGATTATATTCTACATTTGTTCAAATTAAGCCGAGGGGAACTGCTGGTTAAAATGGTTACTGATCGAGTTAATTGCTCTTTCCTGCATTGCAAATGTAATGGCTTACATATTAGCTTTAATATAAGAAAAACAGCATTCAAATATAAATTTAGCTTTGTAATGCATTTTTTGGGAACCATCATTTTCGGCAGGATCTCCCAGCACACTCGGACATTGCGCCGGGCACCGGGGTGCAACCTAAAACACATCAGAGACCTATACAGCACAACCGCGAACGCCTACACAGTGGCTAAAATAAATATTATTATTCGCACTGAACGATCAGGCGACGGCTGTTGCGGACAGAGCAAACATGGGTCAGAGAGGCGAATAGCATAGATGCGACCGATATTTCTCAGAGCTACGATGTGGAATTTGCATTCGGTGCGCAAGGTGGATGGAACAATCGTCCCTCTCGAGGATTGAAGTGCCCTTCGTTTCATGGACTCGTACAAATGACACGCGCGCTCGGACAACTAGAATTCGCATCGAGAAATCGACAAACGAAAACCGACAGTAATTATCTGTTTATTTTGTTTAAGCATGCAGGAACACACCGCACTAACAAGAATGCAACATCAACTTTGGACGAGTTATTCAATTGCGTTTCGTACACTTACAGGCCTTTCAGTTCGTGATAAGATGTCGAACACGTGTGCTGTTACACACCAAGGCAATGAGGCCAGTTCAGTAAGCTAAAATAACATCTAGTGCTGGATATCCAAAGTTGCTTGTGCTATGTCATTGTTAAGGGCAAGGAGATTATATGATTTAGTCTATAACACCTCTGCTAAGCCTTCCTAAAATCCCCTCTACCGTAAAAAGGCATCTATAAAAGCAGGAATATCTACTGATAAGGCACACACTACATAATCCATGGAAAGTTCTCCCAAACAACTGTCATACGGTAACATTTTCATCATCATCATTTTCTTAATAACATACAAAGCCAATGCTGTGTGTGCATATACTTGTCATAAGTACATTGGACATAAAACTAAATTTAAGGAATACAATATATTTAATTGTGGCCAATGTAGAAGAATAAAAATGTTTCCATTGTTGATCACAAATGTTTTAAGTTCGCCAAAAGACATGCAATTATTATTCCTGGCAAAGTAAGCCTGAAAGGAATCAATGAGAATTTAACCCATTACACAGTTAACAGTTAGTAGATACAAATGGTAAAAAAAAAATCCACGCACACCCCTTTGTTTGAAATTGATATGTGATTATCTCAGGACATCACAGATACCACGCATATGATAGTGATGTCAAATAAAAAAAAAACCGTGTGAATATAAGGCTGTGGCCAATCCTGATTAATTTTGTTATTATTTCTCGAACGTGACTGAGAAAATAATAATAAATGATGGATATTAAAATGATTTAAACTGTTGTTTACGGAGGAACTCTCATTCACTATAGTCAATCTACCCCCCCCCACACACACTTATAACAGTTAAACGGTTGAATGTCTTATTTTACTTTACACACCGTCAATCCAAATTGTGCTGTCGAAATCTTGAAACTAATATGGCCATTCATCCTCTCATTCGGCACAGCCTCATGTCACACGTCGGGGAAAGAAAAAGATAAACAACAAAAAATCTTGGAAATTTTAAAATCGTGCCAGTGGAACGGCGGTTATTAAACTACAGTAAGTATGCAGAGGCCAATCTCCCCCCCCCCCTCTTGGCTCATGAGCATAGCGTTTGGGGACTTTTGTCCAGGGAATTTCGGTGCCCCCCCCCCCCGCCGCTACTTCGCGGTTGGTGATCTGTACTGGGCGATTACTGAAATATACTGAAGACGTTTAAAAGAGAAAACAACAGGGTGTGCGACCGTCGCCCCATTTTCATAACGATCCTGGCCTCGCGAAAGCACAGGCAGTCCTCCCGACGTGAGCAGCCACTTTCTTTAATCTCACCGCCCTCCCCTCCCCCCCCCCCCCCCGCGGTCATTCCGTTAGGGACAAGCTAGTACGTCTCCTTCTCGCGCACCACCTGCTCGCGCTCGCCCTGCCAGTTGGCGAGCTCCACGAACTTCTCCTCGGAGATGAGGCCGTTCTTGAACGCGTCGACGAGCCCCATCTCCTCGCCGTCGACCATGATGCGAACCTGCCGCTTGATCTTCTGCAGGCGGATCGTCTCGCGCTCGCGTAGACGGTTCTGCAGCTCAGCCACGAGCGTCACCTGCTGCGCCAGCATGGAGCTCAGCCCCGACATGCGGTTCTGGAGCTCCAGGAACTGGCGTGTGTGTGCGTGCGTGTGTGTAGAGGCGGAAGCAGAGATGGGGGGGGGGGGGGAGTTAAATACGAAGCAATAATAGAGCACTCGTTGGTGGGAGCATACCAACTGATTCTGTTAGAAATTAATGCTTTGTTTGCATGGAACAGCGTCCCCCCCTGTTATTCAGATGCTCTCACCAATAATATACGGGTATGCAGCAGTATATATTTTTGTTAACAAGCTTGACTTGGCTGATGAGACCGAAATGGTTGAAGCTGCCACACAATTTCTTACATGAGCGCAATGCAGCTGGGCAAGAATGGGATAAAAGGCCAATAGAGAGATGGACTGATATAATTTTTTAGTTTTTTCAAAATATGTGCAGACACAGAATAGAGTTCTGCTTACGTATGCTTTATTATTGTGGTAAAAAATGCAATACATGTAAAATGTATTTGACGAAATAAATATTCATTGACTTAATTTTGCTTTGGATTTTATTTTATCAAACCTGTAAACAGTGTTGAAACAAGTTAAAAGTGGAGTGGGCCGTAATAAAAATTCTCATTTACAGTCTGATAAAATAAAAGATATGATTCAAATAAAAATGGATATCAATTGTATTTGTTTATGAGATGTTTCCTTTGATAAAATATAATTTAGTTCACTGAAGTAAGCCATACTAGATGAGAAAATGTCATGCCTAAAACCGATCATCATATGTTCACATGATTTGAAAAAACGCCTGTGGAAAACATGTCTACACTGAATAACATGTTACTAATAATTTTAATTGTATTTTGTGATGTCTATTTAATGAAATATATGCTCTAAAAAATCAAGTTCCTGGTAAAGTTAATTGATGGTAAAAATGAAATAACAAATAAATAAACAAATCAGTTGCAATCTATCGTCAATTTTAAACACAACTGTTGCCAAGTTAACACAAAACCACATTAATCATCAGAAAGGTACAAAAAGCAACATCTTTAATTAATTAGATTGTTATTCGCAGTGCAGCTGCGTTTAGTCACTATATGACCCAAAATGTGTTATTGAATCATAATGTATTATGTGAGTTTGTATTTTTAAATTACAAAATTTCTCAGTTACGCGTCAATTTAATGTTATGAGTCCCTTGCAAAAAAATCTTACAGAAACGAGTCACGTCAATCACGATATTAAAATAAAAAAAACTACTAAAATATGACAGAAGAGAATACAAAAAATGGTCTTATCTCTTGGGAGATAATCAACACCTTTAAAGGAACTTGTTGAATATTAGTTATTCTATAGGATTTCCTTGCAAAGGCTCAGAGAGTATATAACTTATGTTGTTATATTGACATGAAGTACAAGAGACAATAAGTTTGGTTATTTCTGAATGCACACACAGCCAAAGAAAATATTAAGCCAATTAGGATATTAATTGTGATAACGCTTAACCTTGCTTTCTGTGAAGTAAATAACACAACCTATTTCACAAATCGCATATGACATAAAGATGTGAATTTATCATGCAATATAAACAGCACGCACATTATTGCATTGGTGTTGCTGTTGTTTGTAAATACACCCACAGAAAGCAGGGTTAGAAAAACAGGGGTTAAACTTGAATTGTAAGGGTACAGCAGATATGGAGCCAGGATTTCAACGTGGGGGGAAAAAAAACTGTGTATATCTTACTTCGTATCTGTTAGTCATAACAACACTTGAATAGTCATATTCTTTGGGTCTTTCGGTAAAGTCACGCAGATAGGTTCAAAGAAAATAAAAAAACAAAAACTACGACGTATCGATCACAAGACAAAGAGGTCGTCTTTGTGTTGCGATTGAAACGTCGTAGTTTTTGTTATTTTCTTTGTACCTATCTATGTGACTTTACCGAAAGACCCAAAGAATATGAATTCCTGCAGTCACGAAAGCTTTAAGTCAAGTTATAGACTAACAATTATATCACGCATGGGTTTCCACTGGAGGCCACCGAGATAATCCTGGATCCACAACTGCCCTTTTACTGTGAGTTAAAAAATAATAATCACACGTTAATAAAATGTAATGAATAAATGCCCACCTGACACGACAAGGTTTGTCTCAATTGCTCTTGCTAATGAAGAATAAAACAAAACCAGAACATTCAGCATTCTGTCGCCAACTCACGTTGCATCACCATTGTCAAGTCGAGCACTAAAAACAGGCCACGGCTCTCGTTGAAATTGACGCTGGGTGGATCAAGCGGAATTTTACAACGGGGTCCACACCTGCCTTCTGACTGACAACAGCCTTCAGTGTGGCCTGTTGTTGTTACCCGGTTTTACATTTGCCGTTGCATCGAATAAGTGCTGTTTATTCGAATCAAAGGTTCTTTGGAAAAACATTTTTCATAAAGATGAATGATAATGTATCTAAGTATCCTAACATAACACTTATCCAGATTATAAATGAATATAAATAGTGGAATAATTGGCATATTTTGGGGTGGTGGATGAGTTTTACATAGAAATAAGCTACCTGTGATGCTTTATAATCAGTACACATAATTCAATTGTATGGATGTATGTATGTTGAACTTCTTTCACACCGTACACAGCCAAGTGTGCTAATCGGAGGTGCGGGGGAAAGACAACAAACACAAAAAGTAGTTTTAAAGAAATTAGCTCATGTAGTGCTTGGGTCATTTATGTTTATTTTTAATGAGGGCCTTTTTTGTGAGTTTTAAGTCAAAATGAGCAATGCGTTATGTATTATAATCAGGGCACGACTGTAAGTAAATGACTGAAAATGAGAGAGACAACTGCATGTAGGCAAATTTAAACAGATTATTTAGTGATATTCCGTTGTGCACAAGCATGAATAACAAAAACTCACATTCATGAGTAATGCTACAGGCTTAAAAGGAAAATAATATATAATAAGAAATATACGTGCTTTGGGTTATTTATTTAATTTCAACACTGGCATTAAAACATTTAAATTGTTTATTCTTTAAATAGAATACAATTTTTCGTCTTCTTTTTTAGATGACATTTATAAATGGAATGAAAATTGACAAAAGACGAACAAATTCAATTAGCTTTTACGTACGCTAAACAAGGCAGCTGTATCTTCTTTGGTTCTTTCGGTAAAGTCACGTAGAATGAGAATAAAATAATAAAATAAAACAATAAAATTGTCAAAACGTTTGGGCCACAACACAAGCGGCCTTCTTGTGGCCGAAACGTCGTGAGAATTTTATTGTTTTATTTTATTATTTTATTCTCATTCTACGTGACTTTACCGAAAGAACCAAAGAAGATGAATCCTTGCAGTCACGAAAGCTTTAAATCAAAATTTAAGGCAGCTGTAGTCTAAAAAAGTGCTAAATTAGTTTCAAAGGAGAATTCACGCAAGCATTAATGTTAACGGATGTCAGTTTAGACATTTGGTAAAATAAATAAAATAACCCTGTATGATTTGTTAAATTAAACATAATAACCCCGTGCGTTCTGACTTTTGGGCCACCCTGTACAGAGTTTACATTTTAAGGTAGTTAATTTATTTTCTCTTTATTCTTGGTTCTACGTGAGTTAATTTATTTTCTCTTTATTCTTGGTTCTACGTGACTTTACCGAAAGAACCAATAATATGAATCCCTGCAGTCACGAAAGCTTTAAATCGAAATTTAGTTTTCTCTGTTTATTTTTTTAAGTGACTTGTTCACCTTTCCTCTAGTTTTAACTCCTACCGTGTTTTTTGTATTGTTTGTTGTTGCAACATTCTGACCCACCCCCACTGGACGTCTGTGAAAAAGAGCTTTATAGCTCATCGGATTCCTCCAGTACAAATAAAGATTCTGATTCTGTCTTGCACGAATATATTTTAAACAAAACAAGCCGAGCTAATTCTCCAACATTGCGTGGGAGATGTATGACCACCCTTTGCCGACTGTCACAAGAACAACAGCTATCGCCACTCAGTTTCAATTTCAAAGCGGTCGAGACGTGAAATAGCCTACGGAGAACCTCTTGCATTTCAAACCGGGTACGCACGCTCGACAGCAAGGGATTTACAACCGACCGTTAATGCATTGCGGACGGAAAAAAAAATCATCGCACTTCACATTTTGTTCGTATATAATTTCATCATAACAAATAATCCACATCCTATATCACAAGTTGGATATGAGCACATCCCTTAGGAGCAGGTGCAGCTGTGCTTATATCTGAAGTAGTGTGCTTGTATCAGAAGTTGCCATTTGCTTCCCACCCAACCAAGTGTGTTTTTTATATCAGAGCTGTTCCTACATTAGTAGTGCTTAAAAGTAGATTCTACTGTATATACCAGCAGGTAACAAAAACACGTGCTCTGACCTAGTACCATTTTAAAAGTGTGTTTTTGTGCAGTATATATGGACGGAAAATATAAAATGTAATCTATTAACCTGCAATTCATGGAGTTCTATTCTTCTGTTGATTGATTACAAAAATGGAAATCGTTACGTTTGATTTCAATAACAAAAATGTCGAAGAAAGTTACCCCCTTTCACCAAAATTCACCTTTAGATTGTGCAAGCCGCAATGGAACCGAAAAGCGTCCGTGCACTGCGTCTGAAGAGCAAGCCCCTCGCCACGTCCTTGCTGGCAGCTTGAGCCAAATAAGGCGAAGGTGCAGCCCTGAAATGTCTTTGCTCACGCCACTGCTGGTGGAAAGGCCTCGCACCGGAGCAGGGGTCTGCAACCTGCGACTCCAGAGCCCCTCGCACGCGGCTCTTTAAGGACCACCGTCTCGTGACGTTGTTTATTCAGGACCACTGTACTCACACTCCATTGCGGCTCTTGAAATGTTGCGTTTTGTACTGACTTCGAAAAAAATGGCCCTCCTCGTTATTTTGGTTGCCAACCCCGTGCACTCGAGGGAGCACTAGAGGGTATTTGGCCTACTCTTCCATGCTGACCAGATGCGTTGGAAGTGGTGGGAGCACCTAAACTTTACCCCACCATACCACGACCTGCCAATAAACTTAACTGCGGTGTACTCATTTACACTTCTGGACAGGCAGTCGCACGCATGCACGCATGTATGTTGAACTTCTTTCGCACCGTACGTAGCCAACCGTGATGATCAGTCAACTGCTGGGGCAAACACGTGGAACGGAACCGGGGAACAGAACCTTGACCTCTGAAATTGCAAGGCCAATGCGCTGACCATTACTCCATGGCAGATCCCCCACTCCATCTCCCCAGCGGACGCAGTCCTCTCGGACACGTCCCACTCCTTCGCTGCCATTCTTGACCATCGTCCATCATCCTTTTGATCAACGTGTCCTGCCCAAGCCCACTCACTTTCCTCGACAGTTCGGATGATGACATTCACCCGCGACAAATTCTCCAATGCGTGCGTGTTTCTCTTTCTGTCCCTCGGTGTATATCCAAGCGTGTGTGTGTATGCTACGTTGAACTTCTTTCGCACCGTACGTAGCCAACCGTGCTAAGCCCATGTGCATCTCTTCGCGTTTCTCTGAACACGTTTCAGTGTTTGCTCACAACAGACATTCAACTTTAAAATAAAGCTGCACGTACGTGCGTCCACAATATAAACAGGTGCCTTCACTGACGCGGCATAATTCGCAGGGTGATTTGATTGTAGTTCAGTGTCGGAGGTATCACTCACGTCCTGTTTGAAGCTTTCCATGGATGCTGTTTGCTGAGGAGGGAGGTTTGTATAGCTGGTCTCAATCTGACTTCTGTACTTAAGCAGCAGTGATTCGTAGTTCTGTGTTTTTACAAAAGGGACAAAAACACATCTTCAATTTCAAGACAACAAGACAATGTAAAACTATACAACAGACTTTTTGATTTAAAGCTTTTGTGACTGCAGGGATTCATATTCTTGGTTCTTTCGGTAAAGTCACGTAGAAAGGAAACAATAAAATATTTGTAATATTTGATTGTTTCCCTTCTACGTGACTTTACTGAAAGAACCAAGAATATACAACAGACGTTTTATTGCACATGCATATCGTTAGCAAACGTAACATTCAACCGCAACTGACGTAATACATCAATGATTGCATTTTAACCAGAGATGAAATTCCATATTTAATGTTGTGTATTTTTAGCACAAAGGTGAGGTCACAGATATAAATAATTTCCACGTTTTTTTAATTATAAATAATTTACCTTAATTGCCCCCGTCAACTCTTCTGAGTTCCTCTGGTAATCGCCGAGCTTCTGGGCGTTATTGGTTATTTCCATCCGGATTTTCTGTATCAATCACAATCACAAAAAAAACAGTTTTCAATCGTCATGTGTGTATGCTTCGTAACGTGTTTGTATGTATGTACGTTGATCTTCTTTCAGACCGTACTTAGCCACCTGTATTAATCGGAGGTGTTAGAACAAAAACAATGGCAAGTTGACACAGTACACAGACACAGATGCATTCCATTCACGTGGAAGGTGTGAGCAGTGTTTGGGTCACGCATTGGGGACATTCGGCAAATTCCTTATCAACGTGCTAACCATTGTGCAGCTGCGAATGAAGGCCTCCCCATAGCATGTCGCTCATTCAGGGTGCGTGACCAAACTTCACAAGGTGGGATCAGTGCCGGTTGGTGAAACGAGCATCCACGACTGGTTTGGGGTGCCACGGTGGCAAGATGTTAACTCCCTTACCTGGTATGTAGGTGGTCATGGGTTCAATCCCGACCCTGAAGCCTGCATATTTGGAGTTTGCGTGTCTCTCTCTCCCCGTGGTCGCGTGGATTTTTCTCTGGGTCCTCCGGTCTTACCCTCCACATTTAGAATCAACGTGCGTTTCAGAGTATTTTCCTGCTATAAAATTCCACGTGATAACCCACTTTGTTGAGCTACCAATTGTGGCCAAGTTTCTTCTGAAAATAACTACAGTAAAACCTTGGATTGCGAGTAACTTGGTCTGTGAGTGTTTTGCAAGACGAGCAAAATTTTTAAATACATTTTAACTTGATAAACGAGCGACATCTTGCAATACGAGTAGTACTTATATGCTTTGTCTGCCGAGCATCACGTGATCACAAATGAGCCGATGGTTCTTCTCTCTCTCTCGCTGCGGGATTGTGGGTAATCATCTCCCATGCTCGGTCTCAGTCGGCGTGCCTCACTCGTATAGTCAACATCCGTGGGAGCGTGCCTCACTCAAATGAGATTAGGGAGATGTGTAAAATGTGGGAAACAGTGCAACATTTTGTAGAAAAGCACCACCCGAATAAGGCTGTAGCAGTGCGAGCGATGAATCTGTTTAACGACAATGCAATGTCATATTTCCGCGAAATCCTCAAAAGGAGGCAAAAGCAAGTGTCATTGGATAGGTTCCTTGTTAAAGTCGCACAAAAAGAAAAAGATTCCAGTGAGCCAACAGATGGCAGTGATTCCGTTAGTGACAGTGAAAGTCGTCCTACACAATAACCCTCCTCCTCTCCTCTCTCTCGTCTCCCTCACAGCAGCCACGATTACATTTAATTAATAAATTTGATTACTTTATATTAATTTTAAATAATAAAAATATAAAAAGGAATTTTGTATTAATAATTTTTATATGAATATTTTTGGGTTGTGGAACGAATCATCTGAGTTTCCATTATTTCTTATGGGGAAATTCGCTTTGATATACGAGTGCTTTGGATTACAAACACGTTTCCGGAACGAATTATGCTCGCAATCCAAGGTTTTACTGTATATAGCTCAGTGGGCCTTCTCCCGTAAAAAAAAATAGTTTAGTTTATAGTTTAGTTCAGATATTACTCGTCATTGATATCTGCCGTGGCCAGGAATTAAACTCAGGTTGCGCTTTTATAAGTCCAGTAAAGGCTAAAATCTGAGTAACGTGACTTTTTTTGTATTATATATTCTTAGCTCTTTCGGTAAAGTCACGTTGAAGGAAAACAATAAGATATATATAAAACAATAAAAATTCTCACGACGTTTCGACCATAACACAAACGGTCGTCATCAGGTGTGTCGGTTCACATTAATTTATTTATTTTTTAACGGTGTATTTATTTATTTACTTCGTTCAACGTTCTCCACTAATGGGTCACACCAGTTTGGGTCCACAAGAAGCTCCTCGACACATTGAGCAAAGCATGTGTGTGGGACATCACGCCAGACAGCTCACGGTGCAATCCGCGAAAAAAACCACACACATTGGAGAGTTCCCCTGGACATCTGTGAAAAAGAGCTTTGTAACTCATGGGATTCCTCCAGTGTAAGTAAAAAATATATTACTTTGATGTGGATTGCACCCACCTCCAGCTGGCTGAGCAGCAGAGCGATTTCCTCATTGCTCTCCCCCTTGGCCTCTTGCAGCTTCTGCAGCTGTGAGGTGGCCTGGTCGAACCAGCTCATGAAGAATGTGCGCAGGTCAAAGTACTGCTGCATCAGCTGCCGTAGATTCTCCAGTTGCTGGACCCTTCGTCGGCAACACAAATCGTCGGGAAAACACAGAAACGTCAATGCGCATTGAATAGACTCAGCCGTATCGTGCCACGCAGTGGGGTGGCAGAGGGGCAGTACGATGAACTGCATTGTTGTACTGTGCTTTGACGCGCCCTCGTCTATGCTGATCACCTTCACCAAAGCGCATTGACCAGTCTGGTTGAAGTATGGTCAAATAATGCCCCCCACGATCTGATATCTGAGTTTATTCACGTAAATTTCCCCCTGTTATCCGTCCGTGGAAAAATGGATAATAGGATGAATTTTCAGCCACTTCTGGGCGACTGATCTTGTCTATGGGCAAGCACTGATAATGAGATGAATTATAGCGCCTCCGGGAGATTGTCTCCATGGTGACTCATTTACGGATAAAGTGCGGATAACAGGAAGAATCGACACACGGATGATAACACTTTCCGTGGATCAATTCAGATAACGGGAACGCAGATAAGAAGAGTGTTACTGAATATGAATAAACAGGGTGGGTTCCTACTTCACAGGTTTTCACGGTTGCGTGCATGCATGTATGTTGAACTTCTTTCGCACCGTACGTAGCCAACCATGCTAATCGGGTCCGTATCGTACGTCGATTGGCACACGTATGTCCGACGTTTCACTCCAGCGGTTCCGAACAAGCTCCCGGCCACTTGGGGGGTAAAAACGTCAGACACCGCGCCGAACAACCACGCGGCAACGACCCGAAATCGGAATCGGGCGAGGGCGGCGTCGCGCGCGTCGACATTTTGGGCCTGGGCGACGGCAAAGTTTTACCGCATCTTGCTGTGGCTGCCCACTCTGGCCCAGCGATCCAGCAGCTGTTGCACCCGCGCCTGGTGGGCGTCCAGGTTGGCGTCGCGCTCCCGGTGGGCGCTCGCCAGCCGATCGTTGGCGGCGCGCGTCGCCTGCAGCTGCTGCTCCAGCGCGGAGAACGCCTGCTGCTTCTGCTGCAACTCGGCCTGCCAGCGCTGGTGGGTGAGGCAAGAGGAGAGCCGTAAATGTGTGCGACGCTACGCTCTTTGTCCGGCTATGGCTCAAGGTGGGGGGGGGTTGGCAGCCTGCTGCTCCGGAGCCACGTGTGGCTCTTTAATAGACTGCGGCACGGCCTCTTGGAATTCGAACAAAAATAAAAACGGCTTTCCTTGATATTTTGGTTGCAGACCCCTGTCCATGGGAGTCCAGTTTACTATGAAAGTCCAGTTTACCATGGAAGTCCAGTTTACCATGGGAGTCCAGTTTGCCATGGAAGTCCAGTTCCCCATAGAAGTCCAGTTTACCATGGGAGTCAAGTTTACCGTGGGAGTCCAGTTTACCATGGGAGTCCAGTTTGCCATGGGAGTCCAATTTACCATGGGAGTCCAGTTTACCATGGGAGTCCAGTTTGCCATGGGAGTCCAGTTTGACATGGGAGTCCAATTTACCATGGGAGTCCAATTTACCATGGAAGTCCAGTTTGCCATGGAAGTCCAGTTTACCATGGGAGTCTAGTTTGCCATGGAAGTCCAGTTTACCATGGGAGTCCAGTTTACCATAGGAGTCCAGTTTACCATGGGAGTCCAGTTTACCATGGGAGTCCAGTTTACCATGGGAGTCCAGTTTACCATGGGACTCCAGTTTGCCATGGGAGTCCAGTTTGCCATGGAAGTCCAGTTTACCATGGGAGTCCAGTTTAATATGGAAGTCCAGTTTACATGGGAGTCCAGTTTACCACGGAAGTCCAGTTTACCACGGAAGTCCAGTTTACCATGGGAGTCCAGTTTACCATGGGAGTCCAGTTTACCATGGAAGTCCAGTTTGTCATGAAAGTCCAGTTTCCCATGGGAGTCCAGTTTGCCATGGAAGTCCAGTTTACCATGAAAGTCCAGATTACCATGGGAGTCCAGATTACCATGGGAGTCCAGTTTACCATGAACAGGGGTCGGGAATGCGGCTCAATCGGGACTGTTTCGTGAGGTTATTTATTAAGGACCACCGTCTCGTATTCACATGCATTGCAGCTCTTGAAATATTGTGTTTTTTTTACCGAATTCGAAAAGAATGGCTCTTCTTGTTGTTTTCGTTGCTGACTCCTGAGCTAGCTAGATACCTTCTGTAACAATGAACATTCATTTTGGTCAGTATAACAACAACAATTTATAGCACATGTAAAATATGGGTGCGGTACTTTGTTGTACACTCCGGTAAATTTAAATACAACATAAAGCGCAGAACCTGATAACAATTACCTAAATGTTCTTTTGCAGCAGGCTGATGCAATATACGGAAGTGTAAATTTCATCAATGCCTCCTATATTCCTGCATTGCCCTTGTAATTCTGTTGCAGTGGAATCACCCAGTTATTTTTTAAATATATGTCCTTAACTTTTTCCTACAAAAACACATTCAGGGAGTATGAAATAGGAGGAACGATAAATCTTACATTTTGTAGCTTCCTTTTTTCACGTGACATATTTTTCCCTACTCAATCATAAATGCAGTGAGCGAGTGGTCACCACATCGCGATGGTCACCACATCGCGCGCAAGTGCGCTTTTGCGGCCGTGTGGAGCTATGCACTTTTAAATCTAGATGGAAAACAAATTTCTTCTGAACTGTATTTTGTATTTAGTTCGTTGTCCTTCCCACGCACCTCCGATTAGCACGGTTGGCTACGTGCGTTACGAAATAAGTTCAACATACTTACAAAAACATAGACCGCTAGTGGCGGTAAGATTAGGATGAGTGCAGCTTTGCCCGGGATGTTACCTTGAGGTTGCTTATGAGGTTATCGATGCCCTTGATGTCCCCGGGCACAGAGGCTCCATCGCACAGCTTCGTCTCGTACTCCCGCACAATGTCTTCAGCTTGCTTGGTGCTCCTCACCAGCCCGTCCATGCTCTTCAGCCTAATCCACAGCAAGAGGCACAGGATCCACACCACAGGGTCAAAGCGACGTTCAGAAACCCTCTGTTATCCGTGAGGAACGGAGGTTGCCGCTTAATCAGATGTGCCGGTTATCCGAGAGTCATATTTATGGTTCACCCAATTTTTTTTTCAAGTACATGAAACTTTACAAGAAGGAAACTAAGCCCACATTTTCACTATGATATAAGAAATAATATACTCCTTTACAGAGGTGCTCACTGGTCAGCCGTGGGGACGTTTCGAGTACAGTAAACAGAAGTACAGTACTGCATACAGTAGTACAGTGATGTACACAGTAGTACAGTGATGTATACAGTCGTACAGTATTATATGTACGGACTTCCCTGAGCGCCACCATTCGGCAGCATCCAGAAGCTTCCGTAAACAAAGATCTATGATAAGGAATATTTGTATTGCCATCTAGGACAGATACCGGTGAATAGAGCAATCCGGATGGTAAAGTGACAGACAAATACAGCTCTCTGTTCTAATATTATTTAGTAAAGGTGATGTTAAAAGGTACCGCCCTGCCATCGTTTGCTGATGCCACTGCTGGTAGAGAGGCCTCGGCTCAAGGAAGCTCAAAGAGAATCCCTCTGGAGGGTACGGGAAATACTCTTCCACACCGGTCAGATGTCTTGAAATGGGTGGGAGTACCCACACTTTACCTCACCACACACGACCTGCCTATTGGCGATAACTTTGGTGCAGAGGGTCGGCAGCATGGACAGCCGTGGGAAGGGAATTAGAGACATTTAGCTCAACGGCAGAGAAGAAGCGACTTCCCACTAAGTAGAAGAAGGCCTTGGTTAAACATGCACGCTGTATACAACACGACCTTCGGATTTGTATCGCAGCTTGCTTGTTCATGCGGCGGATATTTGCCTACCGTGCGTGCTGCGCATATGCAGGTGTGTATCATACTCGTCCAATGCCATGGAGGAGTAGTTGTTGAGCAGTCCCATCCTCTGGTTGGCTCCCTGGAAGCTGGTTTGGAGGGTCGGTTGGGAGGCCACGATGCTGGCACTCTGCTGGTTGATGCGGCCCAGGTCACCCTGCAGCTTCACCACCTCTCCGTGCAATTTCTGCGTGGACAACACACGTGGCCGAAGGGACATTGAGTGGGGCCTACTTATCATCAACAACAACAATCGCCACTAATTTGTGGTGACGTCGCCACGGGGCCTGTACCAGTCCAAGTGCACTTTGAGGCCACGTGCAGTGTAGAAGTCTTGCTGACAGGAGATCACGGGACAGACCCAGGAGCCATGGGTTGACTGCATGAGATGACTGGCAGGTGCACTACCTGTTCACCCTGTGCCAACCTGCTGTATTTTAGCTGCCCGGTGCTCCACCCCTTGCTGTGCCCAGTAGCTTCCTTCACAAGCCTCCTCTATATCAAGCAGGGCCATACCTACTTTCTTCTAGGTATCAATCAATGGATTGAACATTTGGTGTTATCCTTATGTGACCTGTGTCGCACTGTGCGTTTACAAATCCAATTGTTTACAATCTGCATGTGTGCACGTGCACAAATTTGTCAATCCACTGATGGACAATGGCCTCACGAAGCACAGTGAGTCGTGGGGGATAAATAATTCCACCAGATTTCACTGCTCCGAGCGAGTAGGTGTTGGGTGTCAGAGTAATTGGTTCATGTCACGACTGCAGCCCACTGGAGATGCTACATTCTCTATAGTGTGAACAAAAGTGTTTTTTTGCATCGACTCATGATATTGAATTTTGGCGATTTGTTGAATCGTGAGTGCAACGCAGCTGTGCGTGAGAATTCTGTTATCGGGCAAATTAACCCATTCCCGTTCCGAGACGTCTAAAAGTTGCAGGGTGTGGGGTCCCGGTCACTGCTGCATCGTGGAACGCTCAAGCGGTTTACGTTAATTTTATTTAGAGAGGCATAGCGCCGTTGTTTGAAAGACATTGTACTCAATGCAGAGAACTGTAGCGACTTGACCGCACTCGATAATAGCTGACGCCAAACTGTGCCACACGTACTCCTGCATGGCCTTGTGGGAACCTTCGTACCAAAAATGTTATTTTATTTTAGTTTTTCTTCTGATTCCGTATACGTACGTCATCGAATGGAATCAGAAGAAAAAACGATGACGTACGAGTACGTCATTGGACATGTGCATCATCCTACAAGTACGTCATTGGAATGGGAAAGGTTTAAGGATATAAATTTCCAAGGATTGCAAAGATAGATGAGGATCTACCAGGCATCGCCAGATTGATCGTCGCATCGCTCCAGCGTGAGAGATAACGGCAGCTTTGAGGAGACCTTCATCCAGCAGGCGGCTGTATCATGGCTGATGACGGCCACGGTCATAATCATCATGATGATGATGATGACGACAATTTATATAATTACAAATATAAATAAATGCAGGACTTCTTCTCCCACGTACAAAAAAAAAGCTGTGACCATCGGAGGGATGGTCGACGGACACCGAGATTCCGCATCGTGCAGGGGAGGGGTTGGTGGGGGGGTGACCTGCTGCTGTCCAATGCGTTTGCTGTTGTCCTGCACGTGGTCACGCTCCAGCAGCGTGCGCAGAATGAGGGTGATCTCCCGCTCCAGATCCTCGACGCGCGGAGTGAACGTCTGCAACTGGGAATGCAGTCCGGCCATCGCGTTCTCCTGCTGGCTCTCTGAAGTGCGTGGGTGGGTGTGTGGGTGGGTGTGGGTGGGTGGGTAGGTTGGGTGGGGATTGGGCAGCAGAGAAAGAGACATACGGAAAATATTACGGAGCAGCACTGCATATTCTGGCTCGTGCCACTTCTGGCAGAAGGACCTCCACTAAGGGCGCTCTAGAGGGTAATGCTACGAATGGAACACATATATAGGGTGGGAAGGAAGCGCTACTAAAGTTAACAAACCATCTCAGCTGTAACACCTATGAATCTCAAGGCTTTTATAAAAGTGACCTCATGAAACCCTCTGTTATCTAGAATGTTAATGTTTCTTGATCATTCGTTTGATATTTTGGAGCATTTTGCATGCACCGCTCATGCTTTCGCACCTCTGATTAGCGCGGTATGTACGGTGTGAAATAAGTTGAATATACGTACATACGCACGTACAGAGCCATAACATTTGACTGAAAATAAACATTATAGGATTTCACAACCCTCCCGTGTGGTCGCATGAACCGCACGGTCATCCCCACACACGCAACCACCCCAGCTACACACGCAATGCCTCGCTTCAATCTCTGTTCACGGCGGAGAGCTCGTCATGTTTTACACCGTTGGCCCTCTCTGTGTCTATTCATGACAAAAACAATCCCCCCCCACCATCATCCCCCCCCCCGCCCGCTGCCCCCCATCTCTCTGTCAGAGGCGCTTGTAATGCCGCCCGGCCAGACTCTCGGCGAATACATTTTCACACTCGGCGCGTCTCAACGGGGCGCGGAGAAGCTCCAACGTGAGGGAGGCCTTTGTTCTTCCATCCATCGATTTCCCATCACACCAAGCGGCCATGCAGTCCAGTGGCAGCAGGGCTCACCTCAAACACTAAAAGTTCACCTGTTTAAGCAAGAATCCCTCCCTCCTTAGGTGCAAAAGTACATTATTAAAAGGCTTGCGGCCCTTCAGGAGATGATGGCGTCCAGCGCATGACGTTCTGAGTTCTTGCCCACGGGGACGCAAAGGGGCTACGTGACACCCTTCAGGACAAAGGGCGAATAAAGCGCCGGAATTCCACAAGCAGAGTGGAACGGACGCGCACCCTAGCTGAGCGAGTCGTGTACATTATCCCCATTCGGGTCAATCGCTCGGAAGCTAATATGGCTCTCTCTCGAGAAAAAAAATTCACCAACGAGAACCCGGGCCGGGCCGGCGATTGGTCCGTCATCACAGTGACAAAATAGGAGATGCGAGCGTTAACAGGCGAGTCGTCCTGAGATACTTGACACACGTCCCTAAGTCCACAACAGCAGCCGAGGAGTCGTGGTGGAACACTTGGCGGGCACAGTCGGCAGCCCAGACAGTGCCAACAATGAAAGCCAACATCCGACAGAAACGGAACTAAAAACGAAACTATTTTTTATTTTACCAGGTAAGGCCCACTGAGCTATATAGCTGTTTTTCAGAAGCGACCTTGGCCACAAATGATAACTCAATAAAGTGGCTTATCGTCACGTGGGAATTTATTGCAGCCAAATATTCCACACGCATGCTGATTATAAATGTGGAGGGAAAAACCGAAGGACCCGGAGAAAAATCCACACGCCCATAGGGAGAACTTGCAAACCACAATTATACAGCAGGCGTCAGGGCCGGGATCAAACTCACGCCCTCTTGTATACCAGACGAGGTCATTAACATCTCGCCCCCATGGCGCCGAACACTCGCGAGCACACGGCGCTTAAAGATACCCCCCCGGTACCTTTGGTGATTCTCTCCAGCAGCTCCTTGTAATACTTGCGGCAGGCCGTGACGTCTCTCTCGCTCTGCGCGTGGTCGGCCGCGTTGATGGAAGATCCGGCCTGCGCCTTGAAGCGGTTCAGCTCCCTGAAATGAGTCTCCATGCGCTCCAGGCCACTTTCCGTCTCCGTGCGTGGCGCCAATTTCACCTTACAGAGGGCATGTATCGCACACGCGTTGGCGAGGTTGGCCGTGAGCGAGTGGCAGAAGGATGACTGCCCAGTCAATAGAACCTGTCGGTGTGAAGATTCGTGGCCTACAGCTCTCCGATGTGTTTTCCACTTGGACCGCGCTGTTGTTCAGGCTTTCGCAATCAATATTATCCATAATAAAGGTTTTTTTTGTTTGGGTTAGAACCCGCCACCACCCGACACAGCCAATTAGTAAGGTTTGTCATGTAAACAAAAGGTGCCAATTAATTACTGCTTCAGCACACCGGTGTGTTGGAGAGAAAACCCAGAACTGATTGGCTGTGTCTGGTGGTGGTAGGTTTAACGGCATGTTTATATTTATGCGACCTAAACAAAAAAAACATTATTCTGGTTGTTCAGAATGCCTGACATTTCGCTCAAAATGCCGGGAGCTTCAGCTCGAGCTGACGAAAGTTTCAGCTCAGTTCCTAAAGGATTCACTCATCAAGTCAAGCAAAGCTATGGAGATCGTGCCGAACAGCCTGGAAACACAACGGAGAGCTAAACAGCAAGCCCGCGAACACCTAGGCAGTGGCAATCTCATTCTAATTCCACTGGGGTTCGCATAGCTGGAGGTCAATCATTCTCCTATGCTGCCCCCATTGTCTAGAACTCCCTCCAGTCATGAAATTCTGTCGACTCCCTTTCCCTCTTCAAGTCCAGGCGCAGAATCTTCCTGTATTCTTTTGCCTATAAATGGCTACTATATATACGAGAGTGCACAGTGAGCAAGACGTGTAATATTGGCATGAATCCATCAAGGAAAGCCTCGCTGAGATGGTCTTACACAGGTATGTTTGTCAAATTATGTTGTATGTATGTACGTTGAACTTCTTTCGCACCGTACATAGCCAACCGTGCTAATCAGAGGTGCGAAGGATTTCCTTTAAGGATTGCCTTTACGAAAGGCAAATCAATTAAATTGAGGGCTCTTATTCGGTCGTAATACTTGAGGTTCACATGGCCAAACTTAGGTACCTGTAGGATTTTATGGTTAAGAATGTATGCACGAGGGCGTATGGAGCCAGATTAAGACTCCATTAGGCAAATTTTCCAAGTTTTACTTTTTTCATGTTACATAAAGCAGTAGTTGCGAACGAGAGCATAGAAACAGAGCGTGACATTGAGCCTCACCGAATCCGTCGTCCAAGACTTGATGGTGTCTGTGTCTTGGCGCAGGCGCTGCCAGGCCGCCACGCTCTGCAGGTTGCCCTGCAGCGCGTTCCACAGTGTCCACACCTCCGCATAAAGCTGCTCCAGCCTGCGTGCACGGCCAACTTTTTAAAAACCGGCGCAAAGAAACCGCGTGGGCAGTTTACCGCTGGGTATTTACGTTCGGTCAAATCACCATGCAAAGGCGCCCGGTTTCGTCAGATCTCGTGAAGCTAAGCAGCGTTGAGCCGGGACAGTGTTCTGATGGGTGACCGCCGTTTACGACAGGTTGCTATAGGCTGCTGCGGGACAATCTGGTCGGTAGCAAAAGCCAGTGCAGCAAAGTTCAATGTGTATGTATACGCTCCCATGCCTACTGTATGCTCAATGTTTCCGCCAACCCACACTCACCAGCGTGGTGAGGTATGGTCACATAACTCAGCAGGATCCGCATAATGTGTGTGGTCCATACATATATATTTCGATTTAGTGTTGTCAAATTATTCAACTTCGGTTTAGAATTTTTGTTAACAGGGTAATTGTGTGCATTGTGAAGAAAACATTTCGATTTTAAACATAGACAATATTTGATTAACATCCGTAAGCATGCGATTACTACAATGTTAACACGACGCTGATCAGTGTTTGTTTGACGAATTACTCCCAGTGCCAATCAGGTACAAGGAACCATAACTTCACTGGAGGATCTCCGTTCTAACACACATTATCATTACAGCGCTTTGAAATGTAGAGGAGAGAAAGCAACATCCTTGCCTCTTAGCAGTTTCAGCATCAGATTGAGTTTTAGCCTTTCCAGACAGGTTGGAGACTTTCGCCTTGTACTCGGTAAACTTTGCCTTCTCCGACTGAGAAACAACAAGATTCAGAGTGAGGTTAATGCAGCGCACAGGTAAGAAGAATACAGTTAAAGACTACACATCAAAGAACATTCAGCACTGGTGAGACACAAGTTACCAAAGTTGATATTACACGTTGTCTTGGCCATCATAGTTTGTTACTAACAGCACACAACCTGGCAGCCTATACGGCTTTGCATCTTTATCTGTGTGCATGTTAATGTGAGCGATGCATATTAGTGGTGGCTATGGACGTGGCCTGTAATCCAGGACCGTAGAAGCGAGGGTTGGTAGATAGTACTGTGTTATGCAACTTCCCTACCGCTGGGAATCGAGGTGCCATACCCTGGCTCGCCAAGAGACGGCGGTACAGCAAAAAGGTGGATTCCACCTTTTCTGTCTGTATGGGACAGAGTATTCCCCCCTCGCACGTGTGGATTTTCTCTGGTTAATCTAGTTCCATCCCACATGAATTGACCAATAACACCTTAATACACGGAGGAGCGCAGAGCTTGGGTAATTGTTGACACCAGCTCATCATGTGGCCGCCTTCCCCACTCGTCTGTGGTTCCTTGCTCCTCTTGAGAGGTTCTCTCTCTGCGAGCTTGAGCTGATACTGTGTGGAACGTTACAGGTTTAAATAATAATAATAATTGTTATCATTAATGCGACGATACCTCAGCGTCCTCAGTCATAGTCTCTACGCGAGAGAAACTGCTCGACTTGTCCACAGAATACTTCTCCTTGATGGACTCCTGCAGGATCTTCAAAGTAATCTCAAGCTTGCCTGCCTCCTTAGCGAACTGAAATGACAATGCAACACACCCCCACCAGCATACTCGTACAGTGACCAGCCGATTCACACGATATCCGGCATTTAAAGCACAGGCAAGAGGCCACTGAGATAACACGTGTGTCTTTTTCAAGTGTACATTGAGGGAAAATACAGGCAAAAAAGGTGGCGTTTACAAAATGAAACCCATAAAATAGATTAATCGTGTTTAACGCCAACGACATCCAACTTACTGAACGTGGAAAGCAGTTCTAGATTTGAAGCTTTCGTGACTGCAAGGATTCATACTCCTTGGTTCTATTCGGTAAAGTCACGTAGGTAAAACAAATTAAAATAAATTGAAATAAAATGAAAGAAACAATTAAAACACGACGTTTCGGAGGCAAAGCAAGCTTCCGTCTTCAGGTGGGACCAGTCACAGCAAAATCACTGAACCAAGTGGTGAGGTTCTGGGAACCTCGAGCTTAAATACGGGTTGAGGGGGGGGGTGTGGGAGGGGCCATGTAGGGGACTTTAGTGGAGTGTGGAGCTGAGTTAATCCGTCTTTTGTTGTGTAGATGGGTCATTGTGTGTGTGCAATATAAACGGAAAAAAATAGAAGAAAATAAAAGAAGATTGTCGAGGATGTGCTGTACGGGGGCAGTAGAAAAAAGGGAAATAGAAAAGTTCGGAAAAAAATGTTTGGTATACCACTGCTTGAAATTGCTGTTAGAAATATCAAGCAGTGGTATACCAAACATATTTTTTCCCGAACTTTTCTTTAAAAGGTATCTGTAAAAAATTGTGAATCGTATTTAGAGACAAAGGCAAAGAATGTAAAGCATCTAACCTAACCGCCCCCCCCTAATTTTTGTTTACTGGAATCACAACAAAACAATTTGCCTTCACATAGCTGGTAAATGTAACCACGTCTTAATACGCCGTAGAGAAACGGAGAGAGACAGTCGGTCATAGGCAGAGGAGAAGAGGAGGATCTTGAGAATAATGGACTTGAATAGCAGTTGAGGGGGAGGGGGGTCAGAATAATCTCATTTAAGGAAACATACACTGAGATAATCATACCCGTTAACCCCTTATCAGTGCCTACCTTATTACAAACCAATTTATACCTCATTGGATCACCGTGTGCCCTTATAAATCTCAACGTTCATCCTACAAAGTCACCTCACAAGGGAGAAACACAAACAAATAGACAAAACAATGTTTGCTCGTATTGAAACGGCTGTACGCCGTATGGACCTGAAAACTCTATTTCCCCCGTACAAGAATACGGGGTAAACCGTACGGGTTGACGGGCGTTGAGGATCGACTTTCCCCTGTGGAGCTCCGTGGTTTGTGAGATCGCGTCGCTCAAGAGGCAGCGGCGCGCCCGCGTACGGACCGGCGGCACGGCTGTAGCACAGCCACCGCCGCTCGCCACGCTCACCTCGTCGTCCTTCTGGCGGCTCATGTTGGTGGTGATGAAGCGCAGGAAGTGGCGCATCATGGTGAGCAGCGTGGAGTAGCGTGTGCGCAGATCCACGTACTGCGCGCGCGATGGGGTTGACAACGTCGACGGGGAGGAGTGGGGGGGGGGGGTGTGGGGGGTGGGGAGGGTCACGTGATAAGCCACTTCGTTGAACTATTGTTTGTGGCCAGGCCGCTTCTGATAAGGAACTAATAGCTCAGTGGGCCTTACCTGGTGATTACAACCAGCTTCATCAGGCGATTTTCCATTATTGTGTAGAAGTCTTCCTGTTTCGGTCTTAGAAACGTCATACTCAAATTGTAAATGTTGTGGATTTACTCTCCAACACACCAGTGTGCTGAAATAGTAATTGGCATGTATTGTTCACTTGACAAACCTTACTAATTGGCTGTTTCGGGTAGTGGCGAATATAACGACACAATTATTGTAACGCGATCTAACCCTCGAAAAAAACCTTAATTATGGGAAGATAAACATGTCACAGCCCCGGAGGAGGGGGAAAAATCTTCGTGTAAACGCACGGGACCAGCTCACCTCGTTGGTGACGATGTCCGACGCAGAGTGGTGAATGCCCTTCCTCTGCGGAAGCCTGTGGTACTTCTCCACCTGACCTCGGAAAGTCATGAGCAGCACCTCGTAGTCCTGCAGAGAAACGAATGTATACGCGCCATTCGGTCACGATACGTTGAGAGACGTTCTTTTGAACGTGTGCGCGTACGGCTGTTTCGTCAATCTACTGCTGGATGAGGGCCTCCGTGATGTTGTGCGGGTCGTAGGGGTAACTTGAGCTCATCACGCTGGTCGGTGTGAGTTAGTGAAGGCTGGGGGCACAGACATGTGAGCATAGAAATTGCGGGACCATGAATTTTGCTGTGCCCCCCTCTGTTGATGACAATGGATCCTGCCTAGCTGCAGCCTATAACACCTGTGTTAATAATACTACTGTCATTTGATATAGCACCATTCATGCTAAAAGCATCCTATAACGCTGTACATTAATTACATATAAGGGACCAAATCCCATATATAGCCACTATAAGCAACATCTAAAATGAATAAACAAATGAAGAATTGGCACCAAAACAATAAAGCGCATTCATTACACAGACAAATTCACAGCTGAACTACATTTAGCATTAAATCCTTTATATTGTGTTTTGAGTTTTGAACTATGCCTTATACTTGCATTTTAAAATGAACACAACCTGTATTTGAGTAAAATCTAAGGGACTCTTTAAAAGTGTAATTATTTTCAATGGTTAACATTCTCATATCATACAGGGTTCTGTATTATTGATCCTTTATCACGTTTGATGTATCGCTATGTGGTCCTCTCTAGAAAATGATGTGGCTACTCTCAATGGGCTCTCGTGTGGTTATAAATAATTTCTACGAATAAAATGAATCACACATTATGGACTGAATATTTGTACAGCTCAGTGTAAGTCATACATTCAAATTGCCCTATAACATGTGTTTCTGCTAAATTGAATGTCAGTCCACACTTCATGCTGTCTTTGTGGATGGCCTGAATCATAAAATAGAAATCTATATCGCATTGTGTATTAATAAACAGGCCATTAAATTGTGAATTGTAAAATTGCACACATCACAAAGTGAGCAACATTTCCAATTGCAAAGTTGTTTAATGATCTATTCCAGCAATTACGGAACTTTTGCACGTTAACTCTGCATGCATATTTCACAGCGTCATTTCATTTCAGTTCCTCTCCACGTGTGTCCTGGGGGAAATGTAAGTCAACAAAGGCAGGCGGACATCACATATCTTTGTTCTAAAGTTAGATTTAGGATTTTTTTTTCTTCCCCAGACTGAACAAATTATCTCTCGCACTGCGCCAAAAGCAGAATGACCCAAGTGTGAGATGTGTAAATGTTAAGATAAAAAAACAATTGTCTTAATCGTTCAACTTAATTGCTTTCCATTGGTGTGCATTACAATGATCCACGCCTCATTAGGTATGTAAAGGAAGTGCTGAGTCCCAGTGCTGTAAATGGTGCAGCCCTGCAATTGCTTGCCTACGCCACTGCTGGCAAAAGGGCCTCCCCCGCTAGATAGAGCTCTAGAGAGTTCCCAGAGATATTATTTAGCCGACTCTTCCACACCGGCCAGACGTATTGGAAGAAGAGGTGGCAGCACTCACATCTTAGCCCCGCCACTCACGACCTGCCGGTCGCCTTAGTGTGGCGCCACAGTGCCGAGATGTTAACAACCTCGCTTGGTATACAGGAGGTCATCGGTTCAATCCCGACCCTGACGCTTGTATATTTGGAGTTTGCATGTTCTCTCCGTGGTCGCATGGATTTTTATCCAGGCTCTCTGGTTTCCCCTCCATATTTAGAAATACAGAAAAACCTTGGATTGTGAGCATAATTCGTTCCGGAAACGCGTTTGAAATCCAAAGCACTCGCATATCAAAGCACTCGTATATCAGTTGTGATCACGTGACGCTCGGCAGACAAAGCGTATACGTATTACTACTCGTATTGCAAGACCTCGCTCGTTTATCAAATTAATATTTATTTGAAATTTTTGCTCGTCTTGCAAAACACTCGAAGACCAAGTTACTCGCAATCCAAGGTTTTACTGTATGCACGATTTGCTTGCTACCAATTCCAAGTCGTAAGCCACCTCGTTGAGATATCATTTGTGGCCAGGTCGCTTCTGAAAAAAGAGCTAATAGCTCAGTGAGCCTTACCTGATGAAATAAAAACAATTGGTTGTAATAAGTATTAACAGTGTGGTGGACCCACTTATACTTCCGTGTGGACAGGGGTGGCGGGTATTTAAGAAACGTGCACCACTGTTTGAACAGCCGCACCAGGAGATGGGAACCGGTTGACCTCGGCCTCGCAAGTCGAGGGTGGTGACCATTACTCCACGGACGGCATCCGTCACCAGCGCTGCGCTTGTTAATGCGTTTACCTTCACTCCGGATGCGAAATCTTCCGAGTACCTCTGGCACTCGTTGACTTTGCAGTCGTTCAGTTCAACCTCCTCCGCAAGTTTCTGCCGCCGTAAATGGAATAAAACAGGGAGAAGAATGGCATCATGTTCCCGTTAAAATACAGATATGTTGAGGGCAGGAATCCGAGAGAATGATTCTGAGAGAGCGAGCCCTGCTTGGTGCACGCGATTCGCTGCAGTGAGGTTTGCTATACTGTGACCTGTGACGGAAGATCATCAGGCGGTTTCCACCACCAACAAGGAAAGTTGACCGCAAAAAGCCTTGTGGGGAGGGGGTGGTGTGGGGGGTACGAATTTGGGGAGGGGGGTGGTGTGGGGGGTAAGAATGTGGGGAGGGGGTGGTGTGGGGGGTAAGAATGTGGGGAGGGGTGGTGTGGGGGGCAAGAATGTGGGGAGGGGGTGGTGTGGGGGGTATGAATGTGGGGAGGGGGTGGTGTGGGGGGTAAGAATGTGGGGAGGGGGTGGTGTGGGTGGTACAAATTTGCTGCTTCGAGCTTTCCCTCACCCTCTGCAGGCCGATCTGCTCGGTGATGGCACGCGCATCCTGCTGGGGCATGCTCTCGATCTGCTCCTGCCTCTCCATCGCCTGCCCCAGCCACGGGTTGAGCGCCGCGTGGGAGTCCTTGTAGGACTTCAGCATCCGGCCGAGGCTGTCAAGGTTCTGGTTCCTGTGAGAGAACGCATGAGTACAGCACACGGTGCCGAGCGGATCAGACGCGGTGCTTGTAGCGCCATGGTTGCGATGTGCTGTTGGGCACGGTGATGTCCGACGTTTCATCCCGAGCATTGGCAGCTTCTTCAGGAACTGAACTGAACTACATTAAAACAAGGAGGCTGTCGTGACTAATTTTACGATTATTAATTGAAAAAAAACATATCTATTGTGAAATATACGTAAGTATGTTGAACTTCTTTCGCACCGTCGTAGCCAACCGTGCTAATCGAAGGTGCGGGGGGGGGGGGGACAACAAACTAAACATAAAAATGAGTTCTATAGAAATGAGTCCCATCAAGTTTTCACAGCGATCATTGCTCCGATGGCCACACATAGTGGCCTGCTCTTGCAAACGCCACCAGGGGCTTTCTTTAAACCTCCACTGTGTGCAGCAGATGGCAGCATTAATCAGGATGTGGGCCTCCCCACCCCACCCGCGCCCTCCCCCGTGGACCCCCCAAATTTGAACCACGACCCTCTGTGAACAAAAAAAATTCTCCAGCGCGGGAGAATTGTGCTGACGGGGCATGCGGGCGCGGAATGTCACCTGGCGTCGATCTGCTCGCGGACGGCGCGCCAACGCTCGGCCAGGTCCGAGGACCGCGAGCGCCAGCCCTCCAGGTTGGGGTCCCTGCGGCTGTGCGTCTTGGTCAGCTGATCGTTGGCTGCCCGGGCCTGGACCAGCTGCCTGTCAAGGTCGGAGAACACCTCCTGCTTCTGGTTGACCTCAGCTCGCAGTTGCTGCCCAGGGGGGGAAACAAAAACAAAAACGCAACCTCAGGCACCGGCGTGACCACGTTTTGAAAATATTTACAATTCGTCGGCTAGAGATGTTGTCTTTCCCCCACACCTCCGATTAGCACGGTTGGCTATGTATATTGTAGTTCAACATACATGTGTATCTATGAGCGACAACGACCATTTGTATAGCCAGCTGCAATCAGCCCGTCCCTATGGACAAGGGTTCATCTTTATAAACTAGTCTACAATAAAAAGGCAAAGCACAGGTGGCTCGAAGCCTCGTTAGGATTCGTCATCTTTATGTTGGTGTATATATATATCTCCATTATTGTACGTTAATAGCACGTTCAATGGCAAGTTGCCTTTCTTTGTACAATTGAAATCCCATCATTTAACACGAGACAAAAAAAGTATTTGATGGAATTAGCTAAGATATAACACCTGTGAACTACTGGACTAGATCTTATGGACATACGTGAACCACTGGACATCTGTGAACCACTGGACATCTGTGACAAAAAGAGCTTCATAGCTCATCGGATTTCTCCACTACAAATATAGATGTTGCTTCAGATTCTGGTAACATGTCATAAAATATAACATTTGGGTGGCATTAGCCAAAATATAAGTGGACCTATCAACAAGTGGTGTCTAGCGACTGAGCGTGCAAGTAGTGGAACTACATCATGGCCCACTGGACCAGAGGGCCACGGGCCCCCCGGGCTACGAAGAGTGGGGGTGGGAGGTGGTGGGGGGGAAGGTGGACAGGAGTTCCCGTTTCATCCCTTGTACTCGGGGGGGGGGGGGGGTGGGGGCCCAGCACAAAGTTGACGCGAACGCCCAGCGCCTCACCTTGAGCATATTTCTGTAGTCTTCAATGCCGCGCACGTCCGCCGGAGAGGTTTCTTCCTCCACCAACTTGGCCTCGATTCCACGCACCACTGGCTCGGCCGCGATGGTGCTCTGCACCAGGCCATCCATGGCCTTCAGTCTGAGTGGACAAGACCAGAGGCAATGCGAGTCCCCAAAGAAGCCACTTTCGTTCAATACTCCACGCACAAATTGTGAACGTTGACGTCAATTCTCTTTCACGCTTTCCATTTGTTTAACACGTAGGTTTTCGCGACCAATATCATCCATAATATAGGTATTTTTGGGTTAGATCGCGTACATATAAATGTGTCTTATATTTCCGCGAGCTTTCCATAAGCTTTTAACAAAGTGTTTACGCATTAGCCTCGTCCGTCCGTCTATAAAGATATGATATTCCATATGACGTTCGGGAATCACCCGACTGGTAAATGGTCAAATTGATTTGGATTGTGAAAACGAGCTTCATAGCCCCAACGGAATCCTACAGTATAAATACAGATTCTGATTATGATCGAAGAGTTGCCCAAAACTTGAAGACAAAATAGCAGAGTAGAAAGTACTGTTCACATATGTGTAAAGTTTTTGCCCTGACAGCTTCCCATCAATATCTATACTGGTAAAGAAAAACTTCTTAGGACAAACTAATGTTGGAAAATGTCAGTCAAACCATGTACAAGTACATTTTTGTTATCATCAACTGCATATCAGTTTTGTTGTTGGGAGTCATATGGCTAAGAAAGGTCCTCATGGGAAATGTCTTCAGTCATCAGTGAGTCACAAAGAAAATGCCATTGTAGATGGCTGCTCTTCTTCATTCTCTGTACAGGGCAAGCAAATTCTCAGATCTATTTCTAATGTTTATCCATCACAGACGCAACGAGTCAAATACAAGGAACAAACGGAAGAAATTTGCATCGTGTTTTTCTTTTGTGCCGTTTCCGGTGGCTGGGTTGGGATCGTCAAATCGCTACACTTCACAGAAGATTTAACCCATTGTGAAATATAAATTGCTACCAAGCACCATCTTAAAATAGATTGTAAGAAAAAAAACGGTGGCATCATGGCCGAGAGAAGAGCTCGAGGCGGACCGCTCCTCCTACCACACATGTTAAGTAAACGACGCCTTTTACAATAAAATGTTGGTTAACTTACTTCTTCCCCGTCCCCTCTAACCACCCCCTCATATACAGGGTGTTTCAAAAACAGTTTAACACTTCCGAGAATTTGCAACAATACCACAAGAAACGTGCTGCTGCCTCCGGGCTCTGGAGACCACCTGGAGAAGATTCCAGGCACGCGCTGGCAATGATGGCGAACAAATGGAGACTCTGACTTTTTGAAGCTATTAATATTACATTTCTTATCATGTTGCAATGTATTATCCGTTCTTTTTCCATTAAAAACGATAGTCCCATATAAGTGTTAAAACATTTTTTGAAGCACCCTGTATATAAAAGCCCTCACTCACCCCCACCCGACAGAAGATCCCTACAAGTTGGGGTGTCGAGCCTTCCACCCCGCCACCTACGTATGATTCTGAAGCACCGTAATTCCTCCCGCCCTGCGTTTTTTGTCTCTCTCCTTATCCTGAAACCACCGGCGCGCTGTACCGGGCTTGCGCGCTTACCAAACACACAAAAAAAAACGTAAGCAAAGGGAAAGTGCCGCGCTGGCTCGCGTTACCACGGTTACTCACTCTTGTGTCGCCATGGTGGAGAGGCTGTAGACTTGGTCCAGACGCTGGGCCGTGCGCTGCAAGTGAGCGGTGATCGCCGGAGGGGCCGACGGAATCAGCATGAGGGTGACCTTCTCCTTCACCCTCTGGAAGTCATTGCGAGCACCGTCCACCTCCTGGTGCACTCTCTGGACACGGCCCCACCAACGCACCCAGGTCAGTGTCGTCGCGATCGCCTCTGCTGGGAGTACGTGTCCATGCTCCCCGCCTTCACCAACCGATGCTGACCAGCGTGGTGAAGTGGGACAGGCAAACCAATCCCTACCCCCCCCCCTTACTGTGACCTGCATGGCATGGGCAGGCCCTCATTCAGCAGTGGATTAACAAAGGATTGTATGTGTGGCAAGCTGTTAACTATGTCGCCTGGTACACAGGAGGTCATGGGTTCGATCCTGATCCTGGTGCCTCTCTATTTGGAGTTGTTCTCCTCGTGATCACGTGGATTTTTCTCCAGGTTGTACGCTTTACACATTTAATAATTAATATGACAACATAGCCTACATGCATTTAGAGTATTTGGCTGCAATACATTTCCACACAATGAGCCACTTCGTTGAGCTATCATTTGTGGCCAGGCCGCTTCTGGAAAAAGAGCTACGTAGCTCGGTGGGCCTCACCTGGTGAAATAGGAAATAGTTCAGTTCATAAGTTGTGTTTGGTTCCACCTCTGAAATTGCTCACCTGCAGTTCGGAAATGCGCTTGGCACTCTCCTGCGGGGGGTTCTGCTCCAGCATGGTGTTCACCTTCTCCACAATGCGCTCCTCATAGCTGTCGAGGCGCTGCGAGACGCTCTGGCACTCGTTGACGCACGTCTGGCTCAGGGTCTCCACCTGGGAGGCTGCAGCCGCAGGGCGATGGAGACGCAGAGGACAGGATGGGTCAGAGTGTAGTTCTGCTCTTCTCTCTCCTCCTCCAACGTACAGGGTTAGCACGACGGGAGGTATGTATTTATGTACTGTATATTGAACTTATTTCACACCATAAGTAGCCAACTGTGCTAATTGGAGGTGCGGGGAAATGACAACAAACTAAACACAAAAAGCAGTTTTAAAGAAATTCGTTTTCAATATAGATTTAAAAATTCAAGGCTCCAGTGGCTTGCTAATATCGATGGGTAATAGTGTAGTTTTGCTACTCTTCCTCGTCCACCGCGCGGGGTTAAGGTGATGCGAGTTGGCGGCCGGGGGGAGAGGTGGGCAGTGGTGAGGAAGGGCAGTGCTGTCCCAGTGGCGGAGGAGGGGGAGGAGGAGCGCGACGACGCTTCGATGACTCGTCGGTTAAAATCGATCCTCGACAGTCACGACAGGCGCGTCGCCGCGTGTCAGAATGAATCACAATTCGTGCAACTTACGCGACGCTTTGCGTTTCTCCTCGACCCTCGACCGACCCATACTAACCAACGTGGTGACGGGTGGACGACCCCCTCACGATTTGCCTCGGTATGGGGAGGCTCTGATTCGGCAGCGCATTGACTAAAGGCTGTAACAGGTGCAATTCTAATGGGGATTTATTTCCGAGTTGGTGCATGGCTCACCGTGTCGCTGCCGCTCGCGATTAAGGCAACGTGATAACAAAATGAATAAAGCTTTATTGAAATAACAGTGGCATATGTTGGCTGTGGATAAAATCTGCAGGTGTTGAAAAGCACCGAATTCTCCTGTAGATCACAACCCATGAGCACAGAGAGCACCCCCTTGTGCAGTGCTTTACCCGTGAAGTATCGACGGTTCAATGTTAATGTGCAGTTTTATTGAGGGACTGCGTGTTGCCTTGGTGTGGTCTGGGACAATTTTGTTGTTGTTTTTGCTGCCACGCTTGCGTTTAGTGTTGAAAAATCGGCAGGAATTAATGTACTCATATGCATTATTATCTTTATTGACCTTTTCTCTATTTTGCACTGCTATCGTTTTTTTTTCTTCCTATTGTTTGTTATAACTTTTGGCCCACCCCTATGGAACATCTAAATAAAAAAAGAGCCTTAAACAGCTCATTGGATTCCTCCTCCTGCAGTCGGATCCTGAGCTCAGCGTTGTCGAGTGCCATTCGTATGGACTGGAGCGGAGCGGATTGGAGCGGCGCATGTGGAGGGGGGGCTTGTGGAGAGGGGGGGCTTATGGGGGGGGGGGGCTTGTGGGGGGGGGCTTGTGGGGGGGGGGGCTTGTAGGGGGGGGCTTGTGGGGGGGTGGGGCCTGTGGGGAGGTGGGGCTTGTGGGGAGATGGGGCTTGTGGAGAGGGGAGTGGGGGGCTTGTGAAGGGGGGACTTGTAGGGGGGGCATATGGAGGGGGGGCATATGGGGGGGGCTTGTGAGGGGGTGGGGCTTGTGGAGAGGGGCTTGTGGAGGGGGCGGGGAGAGGGGGGGGCGAGGGGGGGGACGCCCACCCTTGTCGACGCTCTCCAGCAGGCTGCGGTAGTGCTTGCGGCACTCCTCCACCTCGGACTCGGCGCGGCCTCGCTCGGTGCGGCCCAGCGCCGGGCAGCCCTGCGCCACCTTGAGGAAGTCGCGGTAGTGCTCCTCAAGGCTTTCGACCGTCGCCTTGCTCTCCGCTCGCGGAATCGCTTTGAACTGCACGCGGGTGAACGCGACGCACACGGCGGTCAGCATGCTTCCTCCTCCTTCTATTTCCCCATCACGTTCTTGCTCTCTCTCCTCGCCCTCCTTCACCGCAACAAGCTGCCCCCTCCGCCATTAGCTCACTAGTTTCTGCTCCTCTCTCAAAACTCACTTTTCTCCCTTCTAAACACTCCCCCTTCTAACCACTACTAACCACTTCTAACCACTCATCTCTGGCCAAACATCCATTGAGATTATTTATATTATTCTGGTGCTGTAAATGTCCAAATGATGGGCCACTTTGTTGAGCTATAATTTGTGGCCCACGTCGCTTCTGAAAAAATAAGTTAATACCTCAGTGGCCTTTGCCTGGTAGGATGGGAGGTGGTTTAGTGTTGTATTTGTTTGTGCTTGGGTGATGTGTTTACCTTTGTCGTACTTTGCACTACTGTCAATTAGTTGTACTGTTTGTTGTAACGTTCTTACCCACTCCTATCGGACATCTGTGAAAGAGGAGCTTTGTAGCGAATCAGATTCCTCCAGTATTAATAAATATTCTCATTCTGATCTCCCCCTTCTAACCACGACCATTCCTGCTCCCTCTTCATAATATTGCCCTATGGCTACCACTCATTTCCCATCCACCCAATTCATTCATCATCATCATTATTTACTCTTGCCAATGTTTATTTTACATAATTCACGCATCACATGTTCCTCTCGTCTATTTTATTCACATCTTCACCGTTACATTCATCTGTACCGTTGTTCATTCTCTGTAAAGCCCCTTGGTCTGGGCATCAGTCAACGGCGTGATATAAATTACAATAAGATCAGATACTGGACACGGTAAAGGTGCAGCCCTGAATTTTCTTGTTCATGCCAATGCTGGTGGAAGGGCCTCCAATAGATGGGAGGCTTTAGAGAGAGCCCTTTTCAGACAGTATTTGGCCTACTTTTCCAAGCTGGCCAAACATCTCGGAAGCACCCACACTATACTCCACCACGAGCGGCCTGCCAATTGACTAATCGCGGTGAACCTAATCGTACTGCCGGTTGACGGAATTTGTAGGAATTACAAAACTTGCCCATTGTTTCAACTGCGGCGCTGGGAGATTCAACCTGCAACCTCTGGGTTGCGAGTCCAGCGTGCCAACCATCACACCACACAAGCAGCATCCCATTGACAGACTCCGTCGTGACGTTGCGCAATGCCACACTTGCAGGAGCGTGTTACGAGTGCGGGGGTAGGGGGTGCCTGGGCCCCCCCTGGTGGCCAAAGCTACGGGTTGGGTGCCCTCTTGACAACCACCGTGAGATTTGTTTTCAACAACAGTGTCAAAAAACTAAAGAAAAATTCAAATTGGAGCATCCCTGGAGCGTTAAATCTTGGAGGCCGTCAGCGTAACGATGTGATTAGGCAAGAGGAGGCGCGATATCTAATAACCTTGGTGCAACTGTGTGAGACCAATTAACTATTGGGGCCCCACCTGACCACTTGCCACACCCCTTGAGCCGACAATGAAGTCACCAAGTCACTACGCCACTAGACAACTGCGCCCATTTGTACTTGTGTAGAGGTGTTAACTACGCGCTGTTGCATAACCTGCATTGCCACCAGGGCAGTGCAGCATTACCCCTGGGTACAACGGTTGGGGTCAGTCGAGGTGAAACAGATCGTGGCCAGGGTTTGGTGCGAACCAATCAGACGGTTCCACGTGAGAATGTATGATTGGTTCTACCTGGCCACGAAGGGGTATAAGACGGGTGACCCAACGGACCTCGGGGAGTTCTCTCCCTGCACGAAGATAGAAGACTGGGCTGAAGCCTAGCTAGGACCCTGGACCAGCCTTCCAGCCCTTCTAAGGGCTAAGGCTCGGCATACCCAGTGGTCAGGACCCACCGGGCCAGCGGTGGGTCAGATAGCCTCCCCTAGGTCCTAGCCGGAGGACTAGGATAGCGGTAGACATGTGAGTCCCGCCAGGTCCGGAGGCTGTGTGCCTCCTTAGGTATCAAGGAGGTTAGCGGTAGACGTGTGAGTCCCGCCAGGTCCGGAGGCTGTACCTCCCTAGGGTATCGGGTGAGGGGATCGAATATCCCTCTGTGTGTGGTTAAGCGTTGTATAAGGAAATAATACAATAAACAGAGTGTGCCTCCTAAAGAAGTCTGCTCGTCCTTACAACACTACACTTGTAATTGCTTTCCGGTGGAACCGGCTCCGTCCGGGACCATTCACAGCGTTGCCTCTTCCCTCCACCCCCCACCCCGACACCTGGCTCCTAGCTCGCTCGACGTACCGACTCGGTGGTCCACGAGCGAATGTTCTTGGTGTTTGCCAAGAGCTGGTGCCAGGCGAGGAGGCCCTGCAGTGCCGCCAAGCGCTTCTCGTAAGCCGCCGCAACTCTGTCGTACAGCTGCTGAATCCTGCAGCCAATGGGGGCAAAATTAGGGAAGGGGGGGGGACATGAGATTGGTGGATGCCTTAGCTGCGAACTTATCTGGTCGCCGGCGCAACTGCCTCGCAAATCTCACGGGCACGGGAAATTCCACGGTTACGGAGTTACGGGACCAAAGTAGGCGTACGATACGTGCGGTCCTTTTGTCAATAGACTTCAGGATGAAGACTTGGTTGATCAAGGGGGTTGTTTAGCTATGCGTCATTCTGCTGGTTAGTGTGGGTTGGTGTCGAGGAAAAGGCCAGTACCGGTTCAGTTTTTTTGTGTTTAATTTGTTGTCCTTCCCCCGCACCTCCGATTAGCACGGTTGGCTACATACGGTGCGAAAAAAGTTCAACGTACATACGTGCAGATATCACTCGTTACCGCTGTCAGCCATGACTGTGAATCGAACTCAGGTAGCCAGATTGATAGTGCAGTGCGTGAACCACTGAAACGGTAGTTAACATCTCGCCACCATGGCACAAGAGCAATCGACCGTCGACGCAATGCTAACGCAACCGCCGGCGGGATCGCGCATGCGTGCGTGCGCGTGCGTGCGCTTTCTGTGCACTCACCCCCGCGCCGTCTCAGACTGCTCCGGTGTCTTGGTGCGCGCGCTCAGCTGTCCGATGCGGATATTGTATTCCATCATCTTATGCTGTATGTCCTGCGATCACACATTTCAAACTGACGCCTTCAGTAGTTGCTGAGCGTGGCCGGCGCGGGCGCCCACGCGTTTGTTTTTATATACTGTATCACCCGTGGGCGAGTGGCGGAACGAGTGGACGCCCGTCAATCACGGCCTCGAGCAGGCGTCGTTGATTGGCGGGTGGACCGATCCCTGATGTCCTGCTGCTGGACAAGAGCTTCTAATCTTTAATGCATGTTTTTAGTTCATTTTAATTTTATTTTTCCTCAAAAAACATATATATTCTAGTCAATGGTCATTTTTATTTTAAGATTATACGTGTATCCCTTGTAGCCCCAAAAGAGAAAAAAAACGGACGAGCTATTGGGCACAATATGTAACCTTGTCAAGAAATAAATTGAAATATACATTTTCTAAAATCCTAAAAGAAAACAAAGCTGCGAACCAAATTATTTCAGGATAATTTATTTGCATGGAAAATTGTCCATAGCTCGTAGTAAAATTCTATTTTATTAAATTATTTGGAAACGGACAAAATCTGTCCCATGACAAGCAGCGATTTGTGGCGCAGAACACCGCGGGGTTGCCATCGGTCCCGGGGCTCCCAGAATCATCCTCTCTCTTGGTGGAAGCTCTTCTGTGAAAGCCTTCCCGTTTTTTTTTGTCAGTTGCATCATAATACGCCACTCAAGACAGTTACAAGCAGTTCTGTTCTCCCCCGGTGCCGCTATATTCTTCTTCACATGAAATACTATTACCAGTTTTATACATATACAGTGAGGGAAAAAAGCATTTGATCCCCTGCTGATTTTGTACGTTTGCCCACTGACAAAGAAATTATCAGTCTATAATTTTAATGGTAGGTTTATTTGAACAGTGAGAGACAGAATAACAATAAAATCCAGAAAAACGAATGTCAAAAATGTTATAAATTGATTTGCATTTTAATGAGGGAAATAAGTATTTGACCCCCTCTCAATCAGAAAGATTTCTGGCTCTCAGGTGTCTTTTATACAGGTAACGAGCTGAGATTAGGAGCACACTCTTAAAGGGAGTGCTCCTAATCTCAGCTTACCTGTATAAAAGACACCTGTCCACAGAAGCAATCAATCAATCAGATTCCAAACTCTCCACCATGGCCAAGACAAAAGAGCTCTCCAAGGATGTCAGGGACAAGATTGTAGACCTACACAAGGCTGGAATGGGCTACAAGACCAATGCCAAGCAGCTTGGTGAGAAGGTGACAACAGTTGGTGCGATTATTCGCAAATGGAAGAAACATAAAAGAACTGTCAATCTCCCTCGGCTTGGGGCTCCATGCAAGATCTCACCTTGTGGAGTTGCAGTGATCATGAGAACGGTGAGGAATCGGCCCAGAACTATACGGGAGGATCTTGTCAATGATCTCAAGGCAGCTGGGACCATAGTCACCAAGAAAACAATTGGTAACACTATGCCGTGAAGGACTGAAATCCTGCAGCGCCCACAAGGTCCCCCTGCTCAAGAAAGCACATATACATGCCCGTCTGAAGTTTGCCAATGAACATCTGAATGATTCAGAGGACAACTGGGTGAAAGTGTTGTGGTCAGATGAGACCAAAATGGAGCTCTTTGGCATCAACGCAACTCGCCGTGTTTGGAGGAGGAGGAATGCTCACTATGACCCCAAGAACACCATCCCCACCGTCAAACATGGAGGTGGAAACATTATGCTTTGGGGGTGTTTTTCTGCTAAGGGGACAGGACAACTTCACCGCATCAAAGGGACGATAGACGGGGCCATGTATCGTCAAATCTTGGGTGAGAACCTCCTTCCCTCAGCCAGGGCATTGAAAATGGGTCGTGGATGGGTATTCCAGCATGACAATACACGGCCAAGGCAACAGAGGAGTGGCTCCAGAAGAAGCACATTAAGGAACTGGAGTGGCCTAGCCAGTCTCCAGACCTTAATCCCATAGAATATCTGTGGAGGGAACTGAAGGTTCGAGTTGCCAAACGTCAGCCTCGAAACCTTAATGACTTGGAGAAGATCTGCAAAGAGGAGTGGGACAAAATCCCTCCTGAGATATGTGCAAACCTGGTGGCGAACTACAAGAAACGTCTGACCTCTGTGATTGCCAACAAGGGTTTTGCCACCAAGTACTAAGTTATGTTTTTGCAGAGGGGTCAAAAATATCTATTTTCCTCATTAAAATGCAAATCAATTTATAACATTTTTGACATGCGTTTTTACTAATTTTGTTGTTGTTATTCTGTCTCTCATTGTTCAAATAAACCTACCATTAAAATTATAGACTGATCATTTCTTTGTCAGTGGGCAAACGTACAAAATCAGCAGGGGATCAAATACTTTTTCCCTCACTGTATACAGTACCACTGACATAGCAACGCTCGTATGAGCATTAATACGGACTTGCTTCCCCACTTCCAGCGAGCGAAGGAGAGCAATAACAGCACGCAAAGGTGTGCTCGCAGGCAACAGGAAGTCACGACTACCACTGTGCCTCACACGCACGTCATGTGACCACCACATTGCATGTGCAGAGCTCTTGCAGTTGCATAACAGCTGGCAGTAGCAACACCCTCAATAGCCATAGCCGTTTGCATGTGGAACTCCTTTTGCACCACACGTAGCTAACCGTGCGAATCGGAGGTGCGGTGTTTGCGAGCACACATGTGATTGCCGTTACTCTTTACCCGTTTCCAACAAGCATTAATTTCCCCCACTTTTGATGGGCTTTTCCCCGTCGTTTGCAAGGAGCGTCGGATGGATTCATCGCCATGGGGGGGAGGGTGGGTGGTGGCCCTTACGTCCAGGCCTTGCAGGAGGGCCTCCACGCGGTTCTGGCCGGCGGAGGAGTCGCTGCCATACTTGCGGGTGAGCGTCTCGTCGGTGGACTGCAGGGCCTGCTCGATCTCCCTTGCCTCCCGCGCGAACTGCACGCCGCGGCCGACAACGCGGACGCAGGCGGCTCGGCGTTAGCGAACGATCGATGGGCTTCGCCGAACCCGCCGCCGCTTGCCGCCCGCCCACGACAACGCGACGGTGATCGCGCGGGGAAGGCGTTTCGCGAGTCGCAGTGAATGCGTTTCAAATCGACACCGTCGATGGATGCCTCCCGTGCGTTGGTGGGGAGGTCCTCACCTCGTCGCCCTTGCTCCTCTTCTGAGAGTCGGTGAGGAGCCGCAGAAGCTGGTTCACGGTGGCGCTCAGGGCGTTGTAGCGTGACCGCAGGTCCATGTACTGCGGACAGCATTGAAACATCGCCGGTGTGTTCTTACGGACAGAAAGGAGTGCTCTAGACCTGCGGTGCGTTTTGACGCGACTGACCGTAGCAGTGAGGTTATTTGAATATGTATAAATTGCTTAGTAAACAGACGTTTCTTACAAGTCAACAATCTCAACGAGCAGATTTGCGAAAAGATGTATGGAATGCATGCGAAAACGTGGTATTTTAATATACATGGTGAAACGTAATGGGCAATTTCCAATATCACTTTAGAAGAAAAGTACAACACTTGTAAACCATTCATGAATCGTAATTTATTCCTTATAAGATACATTTTTAAAAATGTGATGCTGCATTGCCAGTGATTAAATAACACAAATAGCACATTCAAACGTTTGCCAATAACACTACGCTACAAGGAAAACACATTATCGCCAACATTTTGGAGCAACGGCTCTTCTTCATAAGCAATAGAGAGCTCCTTTCACCTCTCAGAATCCCTCTCTTATGAAGAAGGGCCATTGCCTGAAACATATATTTTCCTTTTGGGCATTTTGTTGTTACATTTATGTTAAATTCACGTGTGGTGAAACTTGGCACCTTGCCCCTTCAAGATACGGAGATGAGGGAGGATGCTTCAAGTCGCTGTTCGCGCCCGTGTAAAACTTCAAGACGTACCTCCTGCAAGATGGCATCGGACTTCTGGGCACTGTGAGGTTGCGCCTTCTTCATCCCAGCTGGGTGATGTTGCCCAACCAAGGCTTTGTAGGTCTTCAGTGCAACCTCAAAATCCTGAAGTTACAGCAGACATTTGCAGGTTATTCATCTCTCTCCGATGCGACTGCGGGGTCGGTACCGCGTGCCGTTTGGGACGGTGTCCGACGTTTCGCCCCGCGTGCTGGGAGTTTCTTCTAAGCAATGAATCGACATCCCAGCGGTCAGTTCATCGTGCGGAACAACACGCGACACGATCCGAAAGCACATCAGAGAGCTGTGACAGCATGGGCACAAAAAAAAACCCATGCAGCGAAGCTACAAATGATGACGTAGTCACACAGAGACGGTGGAGAGAGGAGCGCAGTCTCACCTTGACAGACGAGCAGCACTGATCGCAGTACTTCTGGCACTCATCCATCGACCCTTGTTTACGCTGAACTTCATTGGCCAGACTCTGCAACCCACACAAATCACGTACACACGTATATGTAAAAAAAAAATTCCCTTCATTTTTGCATCTGTGCACAAGATATATATTAGCTGTGTTTTACAAGTGATACAGACCTCCGTGCTGGACATAGACGTAAACATAATATTGTTTTAGTCGATCAGCTTATTGCCATTATGTTCTTCTTTTTTTGTAAGGCATTTGAAAAAAAGCAACAGGCAAAATGTTATTTTTAAATGTGAGACATTCCATGGCATCAGGGATCGCCGAGTGGATGCCGAGTGGATGCCAAGTGGATTCCGTGTGTTCCACCGGAATACATTGGAGTTGTAGTTTTAGGTTACCCTGCAGCATTGCTTTAAGCAAGTATCATCAGCAGTCAAGCTTGCTAAACACAAACGCTAATGGTTTATCAGATGTAATTGGTAATAGCTTTCTCACTAAATGATGGGGGGTGCTGTCACTGCAAAACATCATTGTATAAAAACGAAATTATTATATTTGCAGTGTCGCAATTTTAACTTTATGAAGCCTCTATAAAACAGTACCAGACTAAACATGAATGCATAACTGTGTAGCAGAATAAAACAGTGTTATTTAGAGATAGACAAACCTTATCACACTTAGGTTTATATACAGTACGGTGAACCCCTTATTGGAACACATTTGTTTACAGAACACGTGATGTCTCAGTAGCATTAGACAACAGTGGGAAAAAGAGCAAGGTCAAAAAATAACTTGGGGAAAAGCGACGAGGATGGGAGGACATTTCAAAGTGGAACAGTGCGAGGAAAGAAGCAGAAACAGAAGCGAGGTGGCCTGCAGTGTGGTGGGTGAGTGGGTGATTGGGCGAGTGGGTGTGTTGGTGACTGAGTGTGTGTGTGAGCCTCAGGGTGCACATAGCCTGGCACAAGCGTCGTGGTGACGTCACCGCCACTTAGTGGCGAATGGCGGTTGTTGTTGTTGTGTGAGCGACAGAGTGTGTGCGTAATTGGGTGAATGGGTGTGTCGGTGAGTGAGTGTGTGGGTGAGCGACACAGTGAGTGGGTTAATTGGGTGAGTGGGTGTGTTTGGTGACTTAGCGACAGAGTGGGTGATTGGGTGAGTTCTTGTGTTGGTGAGTGAGTGTGTGGATTGATTGGGTGAGTGGGTGTGTTGGTGAATTGAGTGTGTGGGTGAGTGGGTGTGTTGGTGACTGAGTGTGTGGGTGAGTGGGTGTGTTGGTGACTGAGTGTGTGGGTGAGCGACAGAGTGATTGGGTTGATTGGGTGAGTGGGTGTGTTGGTGATTGAATGTGTGCGTGATAGGGCGAGTGGGTGTGTTAGTGACTGAGTGTGTGGGTGAGTGACGGAGTGAGTGGATTGATTGGGTGAGTGAGTGTGTGGGTCAGCAACCATGACCCCCTGCCCCCCCTCCACTAGAAAAACTTGGCAGCACCCTCCTGAAAAGTAGTAATGGGACTCAGACAGAGATACCTGGGTAAATCAGCGGAATGGTAATAAAAACATAAAAATAATAACGTGCGTCTCTGCTTGGTGCGAGGGGCGCAATTGGGATCAACGGAAAAAATGTGCCTTACAAAACTACAACGAATGATGACATTGCCGCGAGAGAGACGGTGGCAAGACGTTATCTGCCTCGCCTGGATTTCAGGAAGCAGTGAGTTTGATCCCGACCCTGACGCTTGTATATTTGAAGTTTGCATGGTCTTCCCAGGCCTCCACATTTAGAATCAACAAGCGTTCAGAGTACTCGGCTACGATAGAGTTCCATACTATAAGCCACTTTTCTTGAGCTATCACCTGGGGTCTGGTCGCTTCTGCAAAATATCTATATAGCTCAGTGGCCCTCAGCTGGACGAAACCTAAATTATTTCTGTTTAAAATATAATTCACAATTACCTTGATTTGGGAGATCTGCTCACTGAGCCCGGCCTCCCCGTCGGGCTGCATGGACTGCACCTTCTCGTGCCGCTGCGTGGCCTCCTCCACCCACGGCTGCAGTGTACCGTACGACTGCTTGTAGTTCTTCAACGAGCGGCCCAGGTTCTCCAGCTCCAGCAGCCTGCGCAGCAGCGGCCACCGTGAGACACGCATCCGTAAAGGGGTGGGGGAAGCTAAACGGCGCGCAGCCGTGCAGCGATTTCCCACCCACGCACCACCACCAGTAGGAGGGCCTCCAATTGGGAGGGAGCTCTTTTAGAGATGCCTTCTGAAAAAAACAAATGTGCTTTGGCCTACTCTTCCACGCTCACTAGGCGTGGCAGGCACCCGCGCTTTACCCCACCGCTGGAAGCGACCTGCCGGTGGACCAACTGCGGTGCAACCGTCAATACCGCTGACTGGACAGAAGTGGGGTTGAGGTTTGGGGGGTGGGGGGGTATTTAATAAATCTGCCAATTGTTTTAACTGCCGTGCCAGGAGACTGAACCGGCGACCTCTCTGGACTGTGACCCTTTTTCTCGTGATGTAAAGCGGCATCATTGTTGAACGAGGTGACGTGGTAATTGGCGCTGAATAAGAACAACGGTACCGTCATCGGTCCAAGGACATGCAGGCACCTCGACAGCATACGTGTGCGATCCCCACGAGGTCTGCTTACATCTGTATTAAATCGACCAAAAAAAGAATCGTACTTATCCATGCAAGTGCCTCCTCTCACCAATTAATCGAGCGTCTAGTGCGCCATTAATATCACCCGAAGGATGTGGCGGTGAGGCGTGAGGAGGAAAAACGGCGAGTCGGTGAGGCAGCGAGTTGGTGAGACGGTGAGAAGGTGAGATAGTGAGACGGTGAGAAGGGGAGATGGTGAGGCAGTGAGATGGTGAGGCGGGGCGGCAGCGAGTTGGTGAGGCGGTGAGCCAGCGAGGCGGTGAGATGGTGAGGCGGTGAGATGGTGAGATGGTGAGATGGTGAGGCGGTGAGATGGTGAGACGGTGAGGCGGTGAGGCAGCGAGTTGGTGAGACGGTGAGAAGGTGAGCAGGTGAGCCAGCGAGGTGGTGAGATGGTCAGATGGTGAGATGGTGAGGCGGTGAGATGGTGAGACGGTGAGATGGTGAGGCGGGGCGGCAGCGAGTTGGTGAGGCGGTGAGCCAGCGAGGCGATCAGGCAGGGAGGCAGAGAGTCGGTGAGTCGGTGAAGCGGTGAGACGGCGAGGCGTCGGCATCGCTCACCGGTTGTCGATCTGGTTCTGGGCGTTGTCCCAGCGTGTGGCCGCGTCCTCCACACGCTCGCGGTAGAGCTCAACGTTGACGTCGCGCTCGCTGTGGCCGCGCTGCAGACGCTCGCTGGCCAGCTTCGCACGCTGCACCTGTCCCTCAAGCGCCGTTTGCGTGGCCTTCTGCTGGTACATCTCGCTCTGCCATTGCTGCGGGGGGCACGGTGGGAGGGTGGGTGAGTGGTTAGCCACGGCAAGTCACACCGTCGCCGACGTTGACATGACGTCATAAACTTTGGATTATGCTTCTTCGCAAGTAGAATGCCGTTGAAATGTGACGGCTTAAGTCCTCCCCTGCCGAAGGCTAAAGGTGTGTTTGCACCACCATGGTTGGCTACGTACGGTGCGAAAGAAGTACAAAATACATACATACGTACGTGTCCCGTATGTTAACTAGAGATGTATTTCTATACGTGTGCATTTATGTAAGTTGAACTTCTTTCGCACCGTACGTAGTCAACCGTGCTAATCAGAGGTGTGGAAACATTACAAATATATTCCCAACTCAGAAAATAGAACAAACTGCCGAGATATTAGAAGTTGTGCATATTGATATAACCCACCCCCAGAAGATGATCTGCAACATTATTTTACTTGTATTTTCATATAAATATATGAAACAGGTGACGTATTGACCTCCTGAGCTGGTTGTTTTTCTTTTCTCCTGTATTAAAATAAGATTCACGTCCTGACATGTTTCTTACATATTTGCCATACATCTCCTCCGGCTGGACGATCAACAATTCACAGTACCTCAATTATATGCATCAAAAAAAGTGTGACAAAACGCAAGAGGGCAAAAAAACCTCGCAGCTGAACGGGTGATTATTTTCTGACGGATACCTTGAGGAGCTTTGTGAAGGACTCCACCACATCCACGCTGTTGGGGACATTGTCTGCCTCGAGGAGGCGAGTTTCCATAGCCCCCACCATGGTCTCGGCCTTCTTGCAATTCTGCACCACCGGCTGTAGAGCTTTGAGACTGACAAAAACATCACGAGGTAGAGCTTTGAGACGTGACCAAAGGCTCACAGAGTGCTTGCTACAAATGAAGCGCAATAACCTTGCCCATCTCATCGAGGAGCACAAACCATCAACGCACCAACTCTTGTCATTCTCGTGGCGGAAACTTTTGGCTGGCCATCTGGAATGCTCTTCCCTCCAATAATTAGGAAGCCACTGGAGCTATGCACTTTTAAATCTAGATTGAAAACTAACTTATTTTAGAACTGCTTTTGTGTTTAGTTTGTTGTCCTTCTCCCGCACCTCCAATGAGCACGGTTGGCTACGTGCGGTGCGAAAGAAGATCAACATACTTACAAAACGACAGACCGCAGTGGCAGCAACATTGGAACACGATGGCCAGGTGGCTCAGTGGTCAGAGCGCTGAACTGGGTGGGTACGTGATACGCGTGTCGTCGCTTTTTGTCACTCACTCTTCAAGGCAGGTAGTGGAGAGGTCACCCACAGAGTCCAGCCTCTGCTTGACGTTGGTGAGGGTGGTTCGAAGTTCCGCCTGTTTAGGGCCCAAGTTGGCCTGGTTCAGAATGGGGGCACAGTTTTGGCCAATTCGTTCCACCTCATCCTTCAGGTTCTTGATCTCGAGTTGGATTCTCTGCAGAATGGAACAAACAAAACAAAGGTTCACAACACGATTATGACCACCAATTGCCTCTACATGTTAAAATCAAGATGTATGCATATTTTTTTTTTTTCACTGCTCACTCAGCCTACAGGTAAGCCTTAGGGCTTCATGTAAACCCAAAGTGCCCGTAGGCTGACACCAGCTCAGCCTACGGGCACTTTGCGTTCAGCTTCGATGAAGAGTAAGAACCACCTCGGAGTGGGCCCAGGGTGGCTCAGAGGTCAGAGTGCAGAGCTGGCATCGTTCATCGAACCGGGTTCTTAAGCGTCGTGAGGTGATGGCCTCAGCCCGGTCACTGAGGACCGCACAAAGAAAGGCCATCACGTTGAATTTGGTTTTGCATTTAATATGGTTTGAGCACAGATTTTAGAATTTAAAAAAAATATGTTTAACTGTCATGCAATGAATATTCATCTTTAAAGGAGGGCCGTTGGGAAAGTGGTTCCTCACTCCTTTGTGGACCAGAGGTCGCTTTAAGCTATCTTAGAAGTAGTTCTTTGATGTCTACTTCCATGGGGCAATACTCTGACATGGAGGACAGCATTGCTCTGCGGAAGATCTGAATTAATTTTTTATCACATGACAGAGATAGCAGAATTGGGTTTAAGTTGGGGGAAAAGACAAAAAAGACAAAGAACCACCCAGCTCAGCAGCTACCAAATTAATTATCCGGGTTGTGAGACACTCCGGAAAGAGGGACGCTCCCTAAACTTGTGCCAGATGTCAATAAAGTTATACAAATATGGTCACACAAGAACACATAAACACCTCCCAAATTATAATACGAAATAATGATTTACAACCCACCACACAAAAAATAAAGGTATGTTATACATCCCAACAGCCACATGGGTTTCAGGAAGTGCGTATTTTCAGCAACATCGGTTCAACACGAGCAAACTCTGGACCACTCTCAACATTCGCAGGCTCATTAGCAGATTCAGGCTTGCTTGAACCAATGCTGGTGAATTTGGCAGATGTTTCGATTATAAAGAGGCACAACCTGCACGTGCAAAGTCAAGTTAAGGCATTTATCCAAGGCGAGAACTCAGGAGACGAGGATGAGTCTCATTAGCGAGATTAACCTGGCTCACCAAATATTACCAAAAAGCAAAAATACTAATAAAAAGTTACAGCAATGAAGCAAGAAAAGAAAAATCAAAGAAAAAAAACTGCGTGTCATATGAGAAATCATAAAAATATCCCGCAAACAAGAAGCAACATTCCGTAACGAATTCCCTAGAGAACAAGTCGGCTGGGGCAAATTATTTTTCGACTGATCATGGTAGAATTGCAATTGAGTTCCGAAAACATGAAACAGAAAGAGGGCGACTCTTGTGCTAATGCGGAAACAGATGCGTATATACGTATATATACGCTCAAAAGCTTAGTTCGAGGGAGACAGCCGTCACTCTGTGGACACGTCGCCCGTCCTGACGCGCAAACTCCAGCAAATTGCGCAATTCAGTTGGCGGTCGACGTTTGAAGCGGACCACGACGCACAGAGGGATGGCGCCAACCCCGTGGTCACCCTCCGTGATCCGTGGATCAAACAAATCGCTCGCTACACCGGCGTACGGCAGCGAGAGCAGTTTACGCGAACACCGTCGCAAGAGGTCACGCCTTTGGCGCGACGGCCCTCCGCCGACCGAGCGCAACGAACGAGTGGCGTAGACGCGTCCCGACTGCGACCGCGAGCGAGTCGCCGGCGAAGAATCGACAGCCGGGCGTCAGGCTGCGATCGGCGTGGCAGTGCGAGGGGGTGCCCCTCCCCTACCTCCTGGTCTCCGGTGCGCTGGCGGAGGTCTCCCTCGGGGTCGTGGCCGAGCGGCGTGCGGACCTTGGGCAGCGTCTGCTCCGCGTAATTCTCCAGCAGCTGCAGGATACGCTGCAGGCTGCCCACGTTGCCCTGGCAGGCCGAGTCGTCTTGTTTGCCTTGGGTAGAAATGAGGTCGGTGGCATGATTGTTTAACATGCAATAACAAGCATTTCACGACCAGTATTATTCACGGTAAAGGTTTTTTTTTGTGTTGGCTTAGACCGCGTAAATATGAATGCGTCAATTTAACACGTAGGCTTTCGCGAACAATATTTTCCATAGCAAGAGTTTTTTTTGCGGTTAAATCACGTAAATGTTAATGTGTCGTTAAACCCGCCACCACCCGACACCGTTGTGCTGAACTAGTGATGAATTGGCATATTTTGTTAACATAATTGGCTGTATCGGGTGGTTGCGGGTTTCACGACACATTAATATATGCGGGATCTAGCCTAAAACACCTCGATAATGTATAAATGTATTATTAACCCACGGCCTGCCAACGCAACCAGTGAGTAAAGATTGTCGCGTAAACAGAACGTGCAATCAGTTACTGCTTCAGCATACCCGGTATGTTGGAGAGTAAAAATCCACAGCATTTACAATTTGAGTCCGACGTTTTCCCTGATTGTGATTAAGCTGGTCGTTGTAATCACAAGTGAAACGACACACTCAATTGTAAACGTTGTGGGTTTACTTTCCAACGCACAACCGGTGTAGGAGAGTCAACCCTCTGTCAAGCTTGCGTTGTTAATGGGTACTGTGCATTCTTGCCTTGCTGTCTTCTAGGACTGCTGTTGCTTTTGCTCTTTTTGCTGCCTTGCCCAAGCGTCCACTTACTACACATACTCTTTGGTTCTTTCGGTAAAGTCACGTAGGTATAAAATAAAATAAATTAAATTAAATCACGACGTTTCGAACGCAACACGAGCGTCCGTCATCAGGTGGGAATAACTGCTTTAAACTCCCCACCGGTGATCCGGAGGTTGCTGGTTCAATGTCTCTGCGCAGCAGTTGAAAGTTTCCCAAATTTCCATGCCTCCGTTTAGCTTGCAGCGTTAATGGGTACGCCTCAGTCAGTCTATGAACCAGTCTATCGACTAACTGTGGGACTGTGTGTTGTCTTACTGTGTTGTTGTTATTTTTGCTGCCTTTCCCAATCTTGCGTTTTAATGTAAAAAAATCGTAAGGAATCGATATATACCCGTACACTTATTCATTTGCGTCCGTTTTTTTTTGCGTGCGGACACGGAGGGGGAGGAGCGGCACCTTTTTCAATCTGGCCCAGCAGCATCTGGTAGTGCTGCTTGCAGGAGCGCACGTCACCATCGGCCCTCGAGCGGTCGTCGGCTCCCAGCACCTTGGAGCCGTGCAGGTGTTTCTGGAAGCCCTCATGATGCACGTCCAGGTTGCGCATGGTGCCCCGGTGCTCCTCTGGGCTGAGCCGTTCGAACTGGCGGCACAACAGCGGCGCGGCCCGTCAACGCGCGCAAAAAAAAGGCGAAAGACTTAAGATCTTTCGGGGCGAGTGCCATCTGCGTGCACCTATGAAGGCCAGCACGTGGGACACGGGGTGGTGGTGTGGTCAAGCCCCACACCCGGCTGCCTTCGTCTCGCCAGTGGTGATGTTTACACATCGTACCCGGTTCTCATTTGAGGCTGAGTCCACCTAGGGAAGGCCCCAGGACCGGTGCAGATATCCTTCACTGGTGTTGGTGGCCGTGAGCGGGAATCAAACTTACGTTGTCGGGTTTGTAGTGAAGCACGCTAACCGCTGCATTATCGCTCCTCACACGCATGCAGAAATGTTGCAAGTGACATGGCCCAGCGGTAGCGCATTGACCGCTGCCGCCGGCAGTCCAGAAATATACATTGTTGTACTGTACTGCACTCTCAAGTCTAAGTATTCCACCTTAAACAACCGGTGCTGGCAGCTGATTGGTGAATTATGGCGAAATAAACTCCATGACTCCTCCTGTTAAGATCCAAGTCAACTGAGCAAACTATAATCCGATATGAAAAAAGGATTTCCTTCCTGAATCGAATAACGACCGAAAATCGAGTCGAATCACCGCACTTCCTGTGAGTGTGAAACCCGAATACATGCCTCGTGCATGCAAGCAAATGCGACCACTCGCGAGACAGGCTGACCACTCGATGAACGGACGTGGGCAAAGTGCCACCCGGCGTTCGCTCACCGAGGATGGGTTCCAGGCTTGAACGGTTTTGATGTCCTCCTGCAGTCGGAGCCAGCCCAGCAGGCTCTGCATGTCGATCTGCTGCTGGTGCCACAGGTTAAGCAGGGTCTGGTAGAGCTGCTCAGTTCTGAACGAATTGGGGAGACAAAACCGGAAAACAGAACAGCGTGGTGGTGAGATGTAAACTCCCTCGCCTGGTATGCAGGAAGTGGGTTCAATCCCGACCTTGATGCCTGTATATTTGGAGTTTGCGTGTTCTCCCCGTGGTCGCGTAGATTTTTCTCCGGGTCCTCCAGTTTGTCCCCTCCACATTTAGAAACATGTGTTGAGAGTATTTGGCTGCTATTAATGTCCACATAATAAGCCACTGGCCAGGTTGCGTCTGAAAAATAGCTGCATAGCTCAGTCGGCCTAACCTGGTAATAAAAAAAAATAGTTTATAGTTAAAATATCTAAATTACGATGAAAACAGTAATGTTCTTCTTCGTATGGCTGCTGATGACTCTAATTTTACATTGAAGTGGTTGAGCCAGATGATTTCGGAGTGTATTTCTGTGGTGATGCCTCCTCCTTCGTATTTGTGAATCGGGCACTTAATCGTTCAATGTTCCATGTTTTGTTCTGGGTGACCACAGTCGCCGAACCACAGAGGGTTTTACATTTTATATTTGGTATCAAGTATCTGCATCTGCCATGGTTTACATGACAATAGTATCAGTGCATAATAATAGCGTCACGCAGGAGAACATATACGTTTCAATAATCGGCACTTCCTGAAGAAGTGCAATTCAATATTTTCAATTCATCAGGAAATGCAGATGGTTTTTTTTTGGATAGCGCACAAAGTCTGTGCATTCTTCACACATTCTTGTGTGTTGTTTGAAACACCAGTGTATGCACATCTAAGACAATTACTGAAGGCAGGCCGGGATCACGTTGATGAAATAGAGGCGAGCGAGAACACAATTGAATATTTTTGGAAGACTAAACAAATGCTTGCAATGTTGTTTTTGTTTTAGTAATAATTACAGTGTTTGAATGTGTCGAGTCAAAATACTGACGTGATATTTAAGCTTACACACACAATATGATTTTGACAGAGTGTGGCTATGTTCATCTTCTTTGGTTCTTTCGGTAAAGTCACATAGAATGAGAATAAAATAATAAATTGATAAAATAAAATAACACAATATAATTCTCACGACGTTTCGGCCACAACACAAGCGGCCTTCATCAGGTGAAGGGACGAGACTGTCTGGTAGGACAGCACTCCAGAACCAAAGAAGATGAATCATTGCAGTCACGAAAGCTTTAAATCGAAATGTGGCTATGTTGCCCGACAAAACCTGTGGCGATGACAAGCATTATAATTTCCCAACTGAACATGAAAAAAAACGAAAATTACAGTTGCCATTAAAATGTACTGTATTGCTTAACACACACACACACACACAAGCTCCCTTAAAGTCCACAAATCCTCAGGTATCTGTATTTACATTTTCTTACGTAGCGGTGAATATTTTTTTCGCAACTATTGTATAAATCAATGCACGTGTTTTTTTTTTACCTGTCTGCAGAATCCTTCTGATCTGCAGTGGTGGCCTTGGACGATAGGTCGTACACAGGCTGCTTATACTTTGCAATCTCTTCCTTTACGATCTAGAACAAGGAGCCCGCAAACACACATGCAATGCTCTCATCGGGCACAGAGAGGGCTAAAAACTAATTTTAAAAAGTCACAAGTGACAAAGCTAATAACAACAATCACCAGCAGAATCAGAATTTGTATTTAGACTGGATAAATCCCATGAGCTATGAAGCTCTTTCTCACAGATGTCAAGTATGGGTGGATCAGCAAGTTACAACAGGAAAACAATACAAAAAACTATCGGAGTACAAGCAAAGAGAAAATGGTGAGCGAGATATGAAATATGATTAAATAGTACATTCATTATTTATCAAGATTGGGCAAGGCAGAAAAACCAACAATAAAACAGTTCCAGACCATACAAAGATAACACACAGTCCCTCAATAAAAGTATCAGCCAGCAACGCTGTGGAATCGACGGAGTGAAACGTCGGACATCGTGCCAAACACCCACACACTCCTGAGAAAACACTCACCACTGAATCCTGAATGAGAGCTTCAAGCCGGGGAATGGTGGTGAATTTGTCCACAGAGTACTTCTGCCTCAACGAGTCCAGCAGCCTCTTGAGAGCCATCTCCAGGTCACTGGCTCCCCGAGAAAACTGACAAACACAGCACAGTCAGGTTTTGCTGATCGAGAGGGAGCCTACCTAGCCCGCAATCATCTTGTGCAAGCGAATTATACGAGGTTGTCAATTGGGATGCCGCTGCGGTGTAACCGTGAGCGCTGCCTCACGGCGTTCGGTCTCCCGGCGCGACAGCTGAAACGATGGTCGCGAGTTCCTTAAACCCTGCCGCCTCTTTCCACCCTGCAGTATAAAAGTGGTACATCGCAGATATTCGATCGGCAGGTCACGTATGGTGGGGTAAAGTGTGAGTATGCTTACACCACATTCCAAGACGTCTGCTCAACTTGGCAGTGTAGACCCACACACTCTTTAAATGGTCTGTCTGGAGTTCCCTCTGGTGCAGGCCCTACTGCCAGTAGTGGCACAAGCATGACATTGCAGGGCTGCACCCATACCTTTTGGAGCATGTGGTTGCTATAAATTTCCACGTGATAAGCCACTTTGTTGCGCTATCATTTGTGGCCAGGTCACTTCTGAAAAACAGCTATATAGCTTGGTGGGCCTTACCTTGTAAAAGACAAAAAAAAGTTTATAGTTTAGTCTAGTAACACAGTTTGTAAGCTCCCACTGTCACTTGTCTTCCTCTTTTTGCATGCATGTCGAACTTCATTTGCACCGTAACATAGCCAAGCGTGCTAATCGGAGGTGAGAATGGAACGTGAACGTGCGTGTGACGTCACCGTTACCTCTTTGTCCTTGAACTGGCCGGACTTGCTGTTGATGAGGCGGATGTAGTTGCTCGTCTTGTTGAGAAGCTCCGTGTAGCGCGTGTAAATGTCCATGTACTGGGCACGCGGAGGTGACGGCAAGCGGATTTAGAGTCACAATACAGCTCTCGAGCGAGGGCAAAAGTTACGTGAGCGCCTCTTGGAAAACCAACATTTGAATGACATCCAAATTAGTAACTGCGTAATACAAAATTCCTTTAAAAACTTTGCAATTTAAGTGGTTAACGTTTCTATAGTTTTGTGTTTTGTTTTTGACACATTAACGTTTCATATAGTCACCACACGTCCCTCCTGATTTCAAAATACATTTTCAAAAAGTATCACCCGAACACGCCTGCTATCATCAAACCTTGGAAACTAGACATACGTGAGCCTGGATATTGCTTGTAACGGAAATAACCATGCATAAAACAGGTACTATATAGGCTGCTGTGGGACTAAAATGTATGGAGTGCATAACAATATAACGTGTACTGTACCATGCTCTCACATCTAAGCTCCCCACCTTCATCAACCCGTACTAACCAGCAAACCCTAAAGTCTGCAACATCTGGCATTTCCAAACACGATCCAATTGATGTGTTAACCAGGCTCAGACCTGCTTAGCAATCGTGATACGACGAGAGCAGGTAAATTCAGTGTGATTTGGCCATCCAGGTGCATGTGTGCAAAGACAAAGATCCCCTGTACAGCCTCTAACACTGTTGGGGCAAGTGGCGTTAGCGAGCACCCGTGAAGGCCGGCACGGCACACGAGGGGGTGGTGTGGCAATCACCACCCCCGGCTTCCTTTATCTCCCCAGCGCTAATGTTTTACACACTGCACCAGGAACTCATTTGAATGCTGAGTCGACCTCAGGGATCGATTCAGACAAACGTCACCAATGTTGGCCGTAAGCGAACGCCGTTTCGCTGGGTAGCGCAGCGCAGAAAGCCAACCACCCGCATTGGCGCCCCCCTCCCCCCACCACGTGTGCACGGTTTGCGCGTACACACACGCACGCACGCACCTCCTTGGTGACAGTGTCGGAGAGGGAGGTCTGTTCTCGGGGCGTGATGGTGGAAGAGTGGAACTTCTCCACCCACAGTCGGTAGTTCTGAAGGTGGTCTTCGTAATCCTGCACGCAATGCGGGGCAACGGGGGAAGAGACTCGCCTGAGCGCTTGAGTGACAAAAATCCATTTGACGATTCACACCGGCGCACAAAACTAACTGGGGATAAGACACGCAGCAACATTACCACCATCCTGTAGCACTAAAGAGACACGCAGCAACATTACCACCATCCTGTAACACTAATGCCCATCTGTGGTCATCCTTGCAGCAGCGGCTTTTGGCTAGCCATCAAACAAAACGGTCCCTACATCGTGCGCTTTCAGATGTGCTTCTGTGGCCGTCTGGAAGGTTCTTCCTTCCGATATTAGGAAGCCACTGGAGCTATGCAAGTTTAAATATAGATTGAAAACTAATTTCTTTAGAACTAATTTTTGTGTTTTGTTTGTTGTCCTTGCTCCGCACCTCCGATTATCACGGTTGGCTGCGTAAAATATGAAAGAAGTTCAATATACATACACCTGCAGACTCGTTCTGCAATCGCCTTGCATGACATAGGGACAGCTGCCACCCGGGGTCCCCCTTGGTTGGACTACAGCCAGGGCAGTGGAATTGTTGACATGAGAAGTGACGTAATGCATGTTGACTTGGTGAGCTATTTAGGCAGCCTATACATTCCCGATCCTTAGATTTCATTGCTCCGAGACAATCTCATACTGTATTCATAGTCTTGGTTCTTTCATACCTCATACTGACACATACCCTGCCAACCATTGCAGACATAATAAAGCAAACCCACGTAATCCAAGACTTCAACGTTAACATCGCAAATGATCATATTGCATGACTGAAACTTTGTTGTTTGAAGCCAAATACAGTAAAACCTTGGATTGCGAGCATAATTCGTTCCGGAAACATGTTTGTAATCCAAAGCACTCATATATCAGTTGTGATCACGTGACGCTCGGCAGACAAAGCGTATACAGTGAAGGAAAAAAAGTATTTGATCCCCTGCTGATTTTGTACGTTTGCCCACTGACAAAGAAATGATCAGTCAATAATTTTAATGGTAGGTTTATTTGAACAGTGAGAGACAGAATAACAACAACAAAATCCAGAAAAACGCATGTCAAAAATTGTATAAATTGATTTGCATTTTAATGAGGGAAATAACTATTTGACCCCCTCTCAATCAGAAAGATTTCTGGCTCCCAGGTGTCTTTTATACAGGTAACGAGCTGAGATTAGGAGCACTCCCTTTAAGAGTGTGCTCCTAATCTCAGCTTGTTACCTGTATAAAAGATACCTGTCCACAGAAGCAAACAATCAGATTCCAAACTCTCCACCATGGCCAAGACCAAAGAGCTCTCCAAGGATGTCAGGGACAAAATTGTAGACCTACACAAGGCTGGAATGGGCTACAAGACCATTGCCAAGCAGCTTGGTGAGAAGGTGACAACAGTTGGTGCGATTATTCGCAAATGGAAAAAACACAAAAGAACTGTCAATCTCCCTCGGCCTGGGGCTCCATGCAAGATCTCACCTCGTGGAGTTGCAATGATCATGAAAACGGTGAGGAATCAGCCCAGAACTACACGGGAGGATCTTGTCAATGATCTCAAGGCAGCTGGGACCATAGTAACCAAGAAAACAATTGGTAACACACTACGCCGTGAAGGACTGAAATCCTGCAGCGCCCGCAAGGTCCCCCTGCTCAAGAAAGCACTTTTACATGCCCGTCTGAAGTTTGCCAATGAACATCTGAATGATTCAGAGGACAACTGGGTGAAAGTGGTGTGGTCACATGAGACCAAAATGGAGCTCTTTGGCATCAACTCAACTCGCCATGTTTGGAGGAGGAGGAATGCTGCCTATGACCCCAAGAAGAGCATCCCCACCATCAAACATGGAGGTGGAAACATTATGCTTTCAGGGTGTTTTTCTGCTAAGGGGACAGGACAACTTCACCCCATCAAACGGACGATGGATGGGGCCATGTACCGTCAAATCTTGGGTGAGAACCTCCTTCCCTCAGCCAGGGCATTGAAAATTGGTCGTGGATGGGTATTCCAGCATGACAACGACCCAAAACACATGGCCATGGGAACAAAGGAGTGGCTCCAGAAGAAGCACATTAAGGTCCTGGAGTGGCCTAGCCAGTCTCCAGACCTTAATCCCATAGAAAATCTGTGGAGGGAGCTGAAGGTTCGAGTTGCCAAACGTCAGCCTCGAAACCTTAATGACTTGGAGAAGATCTGCAAAGAGGAGTGGGACAAAATCCCTCCTGAGATGTGTGCAAACCTGGTGGCCAACTACAAGAAACGTCTGACCTCTGTGATTGCCAACAAGGGTTTTGCCACCAAGTACTAAGTCATGTTTTGCAGAGGGGTCAAATACCTATTTCCCTCAATAAAATGCAAATCAATTTATAACATTTTTGACATGCGTTTTTCTGGATTTTTTTGTTGTTATTCTGTCTCTCACTGTTCAAATAAACCTACCATTAAAATTATAGACTGATAATTTCTTTGTCAGTGGGCAAACGTACAAAATCAGCAGGGGATCAAATGCTTTTTTCCCTCACTGTACGTACACTACTCGTATTGCAAGACCTCGCTCGTTTATCAAATTAATATTTATTTAATTTTTTTGCTCGTCTTGCAAAACACTCGCAGACCAAGTTACTCGCAATCCAAGGTTTTACTGTACAATGGGATGATGCCGTTAAGTAGCAAGTAGCAATGTGACCGATGTGTTCCCAATTAAAGATAAAGCATGCTTCTAATGTTCATGCCCTATATTACAGGCCACAGGTCTACAATTGTTTGTTTTTAAGGACATGGGAACGTAATACCATCATACATGAGTATGGAACATTTGATGTGAAAACCACATTCCGAGCTGATGACAGTTGCACAATATATATAAAAAAAATACTTTTAAACTAAACTTTTTTTTTATTTTACCAGGTAAGGCCCACTGAGCTATATACCCTTTTTCAGAAGCGCCTTGGCCACAAATTATAATTAAACAAAGTGGCTTATTACGTGGAAACCGGGAAACTCCAAATATCCATAGTTGAGGTTTTTTTTTTTGGGTTAGAGCATGTAAATATAAATGTGTCGTTAAACCCGCCACCACCCGACACAGCCAATTAGTAAGGTTTGTCACATAAACCAATCATGTCAATTCGTTACTCGTACAGCACATCGGTGTGTTGGATGGTAAACCCACAACATCTACAATTTTAGTACTACGTTTCGCCCGTAATTACAACCAGCAAAATCAGGCGACGGCCAGATTTGTGGATAAATCCTCCTGTTTCATTCTTAAATAATATAGACATCAGGGTCGGGATCGAGCCCATGACCTCCTGCATACCAGGCGAGGTAGTTAACATCTCGACACCGCGGCGCCCCAGACGCAAGCAATAGCCTTGACAGACAAGGTCGCGGCAGACGTACCTTCACCATGTCCACACAGCGCTCTGAGAATTCACGACAATCGTCGACTTTGGGCTTGTTGACTTCAATTTCGCTCACCAATATCTGCATCGATGCCATAAGAAAAAAAGCCATGTGAAAATCCTTCAAAGAATGAGCGGGGACATTTTACATCACATCAGTGTTATTGTGACGATTCAATAAGACATATATATAGGGATCTATAGATAAAATACTTATCATTGTTGCAGATAGTTCATTGGAACTTATACTTAAATTCTTGTGAATATTTTGTATCTAAGTGATATAAGATTTATATCATGAGCAAGGCAACCAGTATTTGCCAGGTAGATTTGAGAATAGTACAAATAATAATATCTGTCCCTCCACATAAAAACAGTAATGTATCTGGAAGTTCACCAGCACTGGATCAAGAAGGCCAAAGCCTGCTAATGAAACAACGAATGTCAAAACCAGTGATGAGTTTTGTCACTGCTGAGGTTATGCAGGTAAACATTATAATTTGTCCACCTTTTTTCTTGATGTGGGAGAAATGCTAATAACATGCCATGGTTTCGGTTACACTCAGACATACTAACTTTTTTATCCATGCCAGGATGATGGAGGTAAATCATTCAGTTCCATTCACGTGTCAAACGGCCGATTAATTCCATGAATGAGCTCTATAAAATAATTGTACCTTCAAAATTACACGCAAGATGTATAATTTAGATGATTTTGACATTTTAACCTGGAGGTTAATTTGTGATTGCTACTGGGCGGGACTGGGATGACATCTACTGCAGCTGAGGTATTTAACTTTCAGAATGAGAACATTGCACTTACACTGGAGGAATCCGATGAGCTACAACGCTCTTTTTACACAGATATCCAGTCGGGCGGGTAAGAACATGACAACAACAAAACAACACAACGACATTTTGCAACGCGAAGACCGCCGTCTCTTCCGCTCGGAAAGTTGCCGAGCACATGGAGCGAACCGTCGGACGTCGTGGCAAACGCACCGGCCCGGCGTAACCCGAGAACGCTTCGGGCAGCCCGTAGAGGCCATCCACACGGGGGGGGTGAAAAACCCCCACACGCGGCCGCTCACACCTTCTGCTGCGTGAGCTGCTCCGTGAGCTCTTGGCTGTTGGACGGCTGAACGGCCTCCAGCTGCTGCTGCTTGACCAACGCGCCGTCCAGCCAGCCGTCCAGCCAGTTTCTGCTGTCGCGGTACGGCCGAATGAGGACGGTCAACTTCTCCATCTCCTTCAGCCTGTCAAGAGAGCAAGGGTTGTGCGGGCGCACAAGCCAGGGTTCGCTTTGTCTCGCAATATATATAATATACATTTTTGTTTCCCAGAATACTGCCGGGCTGGCGTGGAGTATGGATTATGGGTTTAAGGTATTGCCGACCCATAGTAATCCTACACTATTGCGCCCTAAATATTCCTAGAATTCTACGAACAGGTTCATATTATATTCATATTCTTAGCTCTTTCGGTAAAGTCACGTTGAAGGGAAACAATAAAATAATAAAATATATATAAAACAATTAAAATTATCACGACGTTTCGACCATAACACAAACGGTCGTCATCAGGTGTGAAAAAACCAACGTTGGTTACCAAGTTTTGTCACTGCTGAGGTTATGCAGGTAAACATTATAATTTGTCCACCTTTTTTCTTGATGTGGGAGAAATGCTAATAACATGCCATGGTTTCGGTTACACTCAGACATACCAACTTTTTTATCCACGCCAGGATGATGGAGGTAAATCATTCAGTTCCATTCACGTGTCAAACGGCCGATTAATTCCATGAATGAGCTCTATAGAATTATTGTACCTTCAAAATTACACGCAAGATGTATAATTTAGATGATTTTGACATTTTAACCTGGAGGTTAATTTGATGTAAAAAAAACAACGTTGGTAACCAACGTTGGTTTTTTCACACCCGATGACGACCGTTTGTGTTATGGTCGAAACGTCGTGAGAATTTTTATTGTTATATATATTATGTTTTTATTGTTTCCCTTCAACGTGACTTTACCGAAAGAGCTAAGAATATGAATTACTGCAGTCACGAAAGCTTTAAATCAAGGTTCATATTACTCTTTGGTTCTTTCGGCAAAGTCGCGTAGGTATAAAATAAAATAAATGATGACGTTTCAATTGCAACACAAGCAATCATCATCAGGTGGGAAAACTACAGCAATTATTTTGTTTTGCTGAAGTGAGAGAGAGTTGCCGTGGTTGGAGGTTATAGAGGTAAGAAAGGGGGGAGGGGCAAGGGGTTCATATTAATTTGACGCATAAGCTCACACATTCTTGTCAGTGTGATTTTCGTTAGAAAAAGGAAAGAGGAATCTTATTTTTATTATTACTATTATCATGATTGTTTACCCAGGAACACATCACTGAGCATGAAGTCCTGTTATGTTTTCGGTGTAGGTAGTGATGATTGCTATGTAGATTCCAACTGAGTCATTTGTGGTTTAATTTGCTCAAGTGTGGCAAATGTAGAAAATAACACTGGCACACAATGGACTATTCTTGCGAAATAAATCACGCGATCTTTAACATTCACTGCGAAGCTGACGGCGTGCATTTTAGGGTCAATACGCAACGCTGCAGCATTAATCGTGGCGGCCGCTGAATTTGAACCGCGCGAACCTCTTGCAATGAGCGAGCCGTGTCGCGATGCGGCGGTGCCAAAATAACTCCCCAAACAGCATCCGTGGACAAGTTGTGGCGCGATATTAAGCACTTGACTCCAGTTACGCGAGTGTACAAACGACACCGCGTGAAGTCTTAGGATTTTTGTTGTTGTTGTAAACCGCTTTGCTTTTGACCCACGGCATGTGGCACAAACATCCAGGCAATATTGAAGCAAGTTATGAAAGCCAGCTAGGCTACATTTATTTTTTAAAGATTAACTGCTTTTGAAATACGCAATGCATCAATGGCATGTGACCATACTGTTTCATGGATAACATAGGTGACCCAGACGTCTACATCATTTACACCGTCTGCTGCAGTCACAAATTGTTAGCTGTTGCACAAGTTGAATAATAAAAACTATGAACACTTGTTGGTGGGCATGTCTATGCATCGCTTACAATCAGATACAATTATAAGCACCAGGTGTGTGTGGAGATTTAAAGATTATAACTTATTGTTGATGCACAGTTTTGTAATGTACTTACTAAACTGAGCTATATAACAGAAGGGACCTAGCCACAAATGATCGCCCAACAAAGGGGGTTATCATGTGGAAATTTATAGCAGGCAAATACTCGAAACGCATGATTCTAAATGTGGAGGGAAAAACCGGAGGACCCAGATAAAAATCCACACGGTCATGGGGAGAGAGACACGCAAAATCCAAATATACAGCAGCAGGCGTCAGGGTGGGGATCGAACTCATAACCTCCTTATACCAGGCAAAGTATGTATGTTGAACTTTTTTCTCACCATTCGTAGCCAAGCATGCTAATCGGAGGTGCAGGAGGTAGTTACATCTTACAACCTAAGCTATGCCCCTGAAATTATTCTGTTCACCCCGCCTACATAAATGAACATTCCCTATTAGTCATCAGTAGTTGGTTTGTGTGTGTGCGTTTACTTAATATAATTTCCCCCCAATAATTTTACTCCAATTGCGTAATCAGTTTGATTCGCCCTGCATGGCAGAAAATATCACGCAGATGGAAATGGCAGAAAAATCAATGGTTTTTAGCTGTAATTTACCCAAGTTAAATAAAAATTCAAACTTAATGTTTGCTTCCCCGAGGTCGATTCATCCTCAAAATGAGATACCCGGTGTAATGTGTACACATCGCCACTGGGGGAAGACAAAGGCGGCCGAGTGTGGTGCTGGCCACCCACCCCCTCGTGCGCCGTGCCGGCCTTCATAGGTGTTATTCGCGAATAGCACTTGCCCCAACAGTCTGTTAAGGCTATACGGAGAAATCTTTGTGTTTTCTTGCAGTCATTGGTGATTGGGCTGTGACCATGCATGCACTGGACTCGAGCGCCGGGATAAATCAGAATGGGCGACTGCAACCCAGAGTCAAAGCCAAGTTCTCAATGAGCCCTGGGGACAGGGCTTGTGTGCACTGCTAAATGAACAAATATTTACATCATGGGACCTTCTTTGCCAGTACCAAAATATGAGAATAGGTTTTCCCCTTTTTTCTGGCAACAAAACAGGTGTTAAGATGTTCAAACACCAAAATGAAACCTTTTACAAGCTAATTCATATGTTAATTACCGCCCACACAGCTTAAAAGGCACGGTCCATGCTTGGCAGTGTTCACTCAAGCGCTGTCTTCTGGACAGTCCTGTTTCTTCACCTGAAGAAGGCTACTTGTGTTGTGGCCGAAACGTCGTGAGAATTTTTTATTTTATTATGTTTTATTTTTATTATTTTATTTCCATTCTACGTGACTTTACCGAAAGAACCAAGAAAATGAATCCCTGCAGTCACGAAAGCTTTAAATCGAAACTTTTACAAGGAATCATGTCTGCATTAACCACAATACTTGTGGTCAGAATGCAAACAAAAAATATACTCTGATAACATATGGATTGTCTTTTAAACTGATTGGTCCACACCAGAGCCTAGTCACACACCGTTTGAGACTAGGCTCGAAAGAAAGCTGTCTCTGGTGACAGGGTGCATATAGTTCGCCCCCTCATTTTTGCACGGCTTTCGAAAACCAACCGACGGAACGTTATAGGCGTATGTGTGTTGAATTTGGGGGCTCCATTTTATGGCATCGGGAGTTTGCGGTTGATCAGTCGTCGATGACCGAGGAGAGGTCGGATGTTGAGTTTTAACGTAAAACCAAGGGAGGGCACTTTTTTTTTTTATCTCGGAGGGAGATTCTGGCGTAACCCTTTCGCAAATCGTTCGGGGGAGAAACAAACAACCAACGTTAAAACGGAGCCAGCGTTTTTTTTTTTCCCGCAGACGTTAGCACACACCGCCGCTGCACTGATGAACCCAACGATTTGAATTACCGGAACATGGCCAACATCAGTGGCAAACTCACATCCGAAAAAAAATATCTGTAAATGATGATAAAACCATCACGACAGAAACACACTCAAGCGGTTGACATCTGTGACCAGCCTTGGAGCGGACCACCTTTCGCAGATCCACACTGCCCACGTGTGGTGAAGTATGGTCAAACAAACCCCCCCCCCTCCCCATGAGCAAAAGGCACGGTGAAGCCTTCGCCCAGCAGTTTATTTACAAAGGGCTATAAATTATTGTTATTGTGTATATATATTTAAATGATGTCTGAACATTTTATCCATGTACACGTGTATAAACTGTGTGATTTTTATATGAACTCTATATTTTATGAAAACTCTACAATAATGTTACTGGCCAACATTCAATAAACTAATTTCTAACACAGGTCGAACAATGCACCCATATTTTGCAGTGAAAATGTTATCAGTGTACATGTTAACTCCACAAGCACTACGATGCTTGTGTTAACTCGAAACTTCAAATAAACTCTGTAAGGATGCTACTATTTACCTTTGAACGCGGGTCGCCACTGCAAAACACATTATGCAATTACAACAGGCAGGCATTTGAAGCAGCGTGCTAATTTGACTTAACCCGACAGAGAGCGCACATGGGAACCGGAGCTCTGAATGCCCCCACCTCACCTCCACACCCCCCAACCCCCTACCCACCCCCCTCCCTCAACTGTCTGACACATATGCCAACGTACTCATTTTGAAAGGAAAAGCGCTCTGGGACACTGAGTACACAGCATTAAACATGTCAGGAGGAGCAGTCGCATGCTCATCGTTGAAGCGTCAAGTCAACAGACGACCGCACACTCACTCACGCTCACTCCCACGTTGCACTCCCAGCCCCCTGGCGAGGGAACAAGTGCAGACAAGAGAGACCGTCTCGCTCAACCGCTACCCTTTTATAATTAAAAATATTTTACTCTTCTTATAACATTGCAGTCGCGTTGGGTGAAGGTGCCATTCAATACTTGGGTGTCACGGTGGAGAGATGGAAACTACCTCGCCTGATATACAGGAGGTCGTGGGTTCGATCCCGACCCTGACACCTGTAAATTTGGAGATTGCATGTCTCTCTCTCCCCGTGGTCGTGTGGATTTTTCTCCGGGTCCTCCGGTTTTTCCCTCCACATTTAGAAACATGCGTTTAGAGTATTTGGCTGTTATGAACGTCCACGTGATAAGCCACTTCGTTGGGCGATAATTTGTGGCCATTGCTCGGTGCGCCTTACCTGGTAAAATTAAAAAAATGTTCATTGGTTATAGGGTTTTATTCAAGACGGGAGAATGAACGTCTACAGGTAAAATTGTAACACGAAAGTAAAAATGGCATCATTTGATTTGAATGAAGATCGAGTGAATCGCCGCGACGAAGTTAACGATCAGTCTCGTTTGAAAGCTCCCGGCAGGCGTGTTAATTCAGAAGGTCCTCAAGAACATTTGCTGGGTTAACAATTGCATAGATTTTTTTGCGGAATTGACCGGAAGACAATTAATTAAGATAATTATTCAATTTACAAAATCAGTCAATAAATCTTTTAACCATGAGCATTGTGTACACTCGCTGTACGTACACAATGTACAAAGAAAAAAATGCACCTGTTGGTCGGTTAATTACGAAGTCGTATCTTTAATTGCAAAAAAAATAACATAACATGTCCGTTGAGTTATTCGTGAAATATAAAAACAGTAACCTATTATGAAATTAATTGCAAGAGCAAGTTACAGTCACGTCAAAACGAGTCAAGTCTAGTCCAGCTAGAAGAAGATACTCGTGCTAAAACAAGCACAAATTCAGCAATGGCATCACAGCCTTTCCCCCCAAAAAAGACAAAGATCCCCCGTATAGCCTGAACAGACTGTTGGGGAAAGTGCTGTTAAAGACCACCCATGAAGGCCAGAACGGCACACGAGGGGGTGGGTGGCCAGCACCACGCCCGGCCGCCTTTGTCTCCCCAGTAGCGATGTTTATACACCACACCAGGCACTCATTTAAGGCTGAGTGGACCTAGGGGAGGTCCAGGACCGATTCAGACAATCGTCACTGATTTTGGCCATAAATCGAACCTGGGTCGCCAAGTTCGTAGCGCAGCGCGCTAACCGCTCCACTACCACTCTCCACAGCCTTTCCCCACACACACACACGCAGGGACGGAGCCAGGATTTCAGCCCGGGGTGACATTCAACAAATGTTAATTTCAAGAATGATTTAGAGAGTCAGGCTGTTGAACTAGACGCCATCGGTTGGCGACACACTCTGACAATGCAGTTGCACGGAGTCCGCCAGACCAAGTGTCGTACACTTATACGCAGAATGTCACCCCTGTCACCCCCCCTGGTTCCGCCCCTGCACACACACACGGGAATGTGGGAGCTCGAGGAGAATGCACGACAGACAAAAAGCACGTCCTATTACTCATTCTCTTTGTGCGTTTCACACTTGCTTCAAATTAATTTAACATTCCTGTGTCAGTGTGCCCCCCCCCTGACTCTGAGCTTTCGAAGACCCCACTCCCCCCCCCCCCCCGCTTTAAACAAGTTCACGATACAGGGCTGGTCTCTTCGTCTCCGTCTCTTCTCGATCTGCGTCCGAGCCGCCACGGCGACAACCGCCGAGCTGTGCCGCGTTTGTGCCGCTCGTCGCGGACGTTTGCAAATTCGAGCCACCCCCACCCTGGGCCACCCCGGTTAATACTGCGGGTGCTTGCGTCGCAAATACATTGCCGTCCGCATCGCAGCGAGACAGTGAAGATCCCAAGTGGCGTAATTCGCGCGAAGGAGTAGGCCCCCACGTGCCGGCGTCACGGTCAAAATATTTGTCAAATTACTCGCAAATTACTTGATTGGAAAATATCCAAGACAAATATCACCCTGCTGACTAATTTCCCACTCGCAGACTGGTGCTGCGTTAGCTTGTGCCACACAGGGACAGCTGCCATAAGGAGGTCCCTCCCCATCAAACTACTACTATTAAAATAATCTGTGCCTTAAGTTTCATGGTTGGCTCCTGGCCTGGTTCCTCTCCACCCCAACAATAACTCTGCTGCTGTTCGTGGCCGTGGGGCCACTGCCAACGAAACTAGCTGGGTAACTGGCTACACGGGATTTTCCACGTAAAAGAAAAAGGCATTGAATCGAATTGAAATGACGGACTAAGTTCGGAAGACGGACAATAGATAGCGACACCGAAGAGGAGGGGAAGTAAATACAGTTCACTTAAAATTGTTCGAACTTTTGAATTAGTGCTCCTATTCATGTAATTATTTCGCCAGAATATTAGTTAAATCCTAGGAGAACATGAAAAAAAAACATTGCCTTTAGCGCTCTTTCGAGTCCAGCATTGTGAGACGAGTATGAAAATGGCAACCGGCTCTTATTTTACGTTGCAGAGCAACGTTTCTCTACCAGTACGTGTGGAGGAGAGGGGAGTGAAGAAAGAAAACCACCTAAAGCTGGGCACTGGAACGATTCAGACGAGGGTCGACGTACGGCGCTTTACGAGGCTGGGGCATTTAAGCGCCTAGCACAGGGGCCGGCAACCAAAATAACCAAAAAGAGCTATTTTTTTATCGAATTCGGTACAAACCTCAAACTATACCAAGAGCCGCAATGCACGTGAATACATAAACACATGCGTACAGAAAGTCACGAAGCAGTCCGTAAAGAGGCCACATGCCGCTCCGGAGCCGCGGATTGACGACCCCCTGGCCCAACGGGACGCAAAAAACGCTCCAGCCCATTTACCTGAGGCCGATCTGAGCTTGCAGGCGCTGGCCACGCTCGTGCAGGGAGTGGGCGCGCTCCCCATAGGGACTGACATCCGGGTACTGCAGGCTGTGTTGCTGGTTCAGCTTTACGTTCACGGCCTCGGCACGCGGGAGCTCCTCCTGCATGCGGCGGAACAGCCGCTGCTTTTGCTCCAGCTCCGACTGCCATTGCTGTGGTAAAGAGACGAGGCGGGGGGGGGGCGATTACAAATGCCAGAGTCGAGAATTCTGGACGAATTTGCCCGGACTGTCCCCTATGCGCGTGTGTGTGTGTAGCTGTCAAGGCGCTGCGACACGCTCTGGGGCTCACAGTCTCCACCTGGGAGGGTGCAGCCGCAGGGCGACGGACGTACAGAGAGGGACGTTAGAGATTGTGAGCGTACAGGGTGGGATGGGTCACAGTGCAGTTTTGCTCCTCTTCCTCCTCCACCACGCTGGGTTAGGACGACGGGAGGTATGCACGCATGTTGAACTTCTTTCGCAAGTACGCAGCCTACCGTGCTAATCGGAGGCGCGGCCTACGGCACTGGGCGGAGGCCACATTAAAGAATAAGCGGTGAATTGGAGATGAAAAGGATGTCGTAGGTGTCCGGATACCCCAATACACGTTTAGACATGGCTAAGAGACACCAAGTTGTTTTATTTCAATTTACAAAAAATAATGGTAATATTGAGTCTGTGTTTATCTTTCATCAACAATGTGACTTAAACACTCATTGTGCTGACAACGGGACATTTACATACACAGCTAAGTATTGAGTCAGCAGCCATTAGTTGCTTAAATTTAATATAAATATAGTATAACACCTCTTATCTGTGACGAAGTTGGTGGTGGGGGGAGGGGGAACTTCACTCTAATCATATGCAGTTACCGCCACGAACCCCTCTGCTAGGAGGTGACCCTCCTCCCCGCCCCCTCCCCGACTCTAAGGTGACAGGAGCCACCGTGGCATTTCGATTATTTTGTTTATTTTGCTGCTATAAATGTCCACATGCTAAACCACTTTGTTGAGCTATCATTTGTGGCCAGGTCGCTTCTGTAAAAGAAGCTGATAGCTCGGTGGGCTTTACCTGGTAAGATACAAAAAAATAGTTTTATTTGTATAGATTTTTTTCTTGAAGTGACTTGTCTACCTTTCCTCTACTTTGCACTCTTATCGTGCTTTTGCATCGTTTACCTGCCCTATTACTGGACATCCGTGAGAAAAAAATAGCTTTACAGCCCATCGTATTCCTCCAGTACAAATAAACATTTCCGATTCTGATTAAGTAACGAGCGCGCGCCCCCACCTTGAGGAGCACGATGTAGGCCTGGATGCCCTGAGGGCTGCTCGCAGCCGTGTCCTCCTCCGCCAGCTTCACCTCGTACAGCTTCACGACGCTCTCCACGTCCTCCACGCTGCGCACGGTCGAATCCACCACCTTGAGGCTAGGGATCACGGGCAACAGACAAGCGGGCATTAAGCAGCTGCCACTTTACCGTGGTTCGCCAAGAGCTGTCTGTATCGTTGATCGCTTCCGAATAAGCGATATATGTGCTTCACCACGACGGTTAGTTCAGTTGGTGAAGGCGGGCCGCATAGATGTGGTTTAAAAATGGACAATAGAACAATTGACATTTCTGCACCACCTTTAGCTGCCCATAACATAGCACTGCAGCCTGTGGCACCTATTATGTACGAATGTATGTCGGTGCTTCTTTCGCACCGTACGTAGCCAAGCGCGCGCGGAGAGGCAACGGTTCGTGGCATGCTCCTCGTGAGTGACGCTGACCCGCATTACAATTAGGCTCCGTAAACAACGCAACGATTCATTGACGCGTCGTCGGGCGCGTAACGACGCGTTCGTCCGCCAATCGAACGTATCCCTGCGCTCACGATGCGTGCTACCAACTGTGCCGGTAAAAATCTTTTAGAATTTAAATTTGTATCCAAATGAATTGATCACAGTGGGGCGAATGGAGTGAATAGAACTGCACAAACAAGACAGTAGAAATGGGTCTCGCTTTGTCCGACACTCACCTCAACAGGGCACGCGCACACAAAGAGCAGTGGAAAAAGTGACGTCCAACAACTGGGTCATGGTCTGCTTTATAATGACCGTTGTTAGACTATCATGAACAGTGGCCGTCCTATGAACAGACTTGTCAACCACCAAAATCTGATTTCAGTTTGCGGAGAAAAATAAATCGTTTGAACATCAATACACTCTGATGGGAGCAGCAAAGATTACTATTTTTTTCTTGCTAAAGAATATCAACATACGCGTACACGGGCATCATTACGTGGCCATTAAAAGTATTTGCACATGGTCTTCTTGACGGCACGTAAAGTACTTGTGTCATCATCCTGTACAAATGCATCAGCTTGGCTGTGTGAGCACTGGAATCACGCGCGTGTGCGTGCGTGAGAACAAGAGATCCTTACTCCTCCATGCATTGAGCTGACAGCTCATGCAGCGGCTTGTACTTCTGCACCAGGCTGATGAAGTCATTGTGCTGAGCGATTGCCGGATTCTGGTTCAGAGCCTCCAGCTGTCCTCCCATGCCATCCAGGGACTGCATCAGGGCCTGCATAAAAAGCCCGGGTTTGTGGGCATCGGACATTCAATGTAAACAAATATTTGCTGGTAGTGAACTAAAATAAACTATTTTTTATTTCACCAGGTAAGGCTCACTGAGCTATATAGCTTTCTTTCAGTAGCGACCTGACCACAAAAGATAGCTCAAAGTTGCTTATCACATGCAAATTTTAAGCAGCCAATCAAAAAGAGACCAGATGACTCAATGAGCCACTCTGTCTACAGGAAAGTAACCGATACTGATGCCTACCTAAAACCTGATTCCCATCACCATCCATCCCAGAAGAATTCCCTCATCAAAATGCTACACCATAGAGCTCAATGTATCTCCGACCATGAACACCTGACCAGTGAACTCAAATACGTACACGAAGCTCTCAAGGCAAATGGATATTCTGACTACACAATCCGCAAAGCCATCATCCCAACCGTGAGGAAGGAGCCATCTAAAGATTCAATCAAAACCATCACCTTACCTTACATAGCAGGGATAACTGAAAAGATTTCCAAAATCTTGAACAAAAACAAGATCCAGGTCCGATTTAACACAGTGCATAAAATTCGTGACCTGATCCCATCTGTGAAGGACAAGATTCCTGAAATGCAATATCCCGGCGTCAACAGACTAAGCTGTATCTGCGGCAGCAGTTACATTGGGAAACCAAACGACATGTCTCGGACCATGTTCGTGAGCATGAAGAAGATCTGAAATACGGCAGGACCAATACCTCTGCCGTGGCTGATCATTACTTTAATGCGGATGGCTCACGTGAAATTGATTTCTCTAAGACGATGGTACTTTGCAAGCCGACTGGCTATCAACAAAGATTCGTTCCCGAAGCCATCCATATATACAGACACAATTTCAACTGAGACGACAGTTTTAAACTCAGCAATCATTGGAAAGATATCATCAACCACTTTGGGTCATGACTTGATTTGTTTTCTTGTCCACCTCCACCGTCAGCAGTGTAGGTGTGTGGAGCGAGGTGCAATGCTTTGATTGGTGTAGACCTACTGGCGGTGTCGGAGTCTTCTCCTACATTAACATTAGCTGCCCCGCCCATCTCTAAACCGTTATAAACAGCTCTTTGATTGATGTAGACCTACTGGCGGTGTCCGAGCCCTCTCCTATATTAACATTAGCTGCCCCGCCCATCTCTAAACCTTAATAAACAGCTCTTTGATTGGCGTAGATCTACTACCGGTGTCAGAGCCCTCTCCTACATTAACATTAGCTGCCCCGCCCATCTCTAAACCTTTATAAACAGCTCTTTGATTGATGTAGACCTACTGGCGGTGTCCGAGCCTTCTCCTATATTAACATTAGCTGCCCCGCCCATCTCTAAGCCTTCATAAACAGCTCTTTGATTGGTGTAGACCAACTGCCGGTGTGGAGCCCTCTCCTACATTAACATTAGCTGCCCCGCCCATCTCTAAACCTTAATAAACAGCTCTTTGATTGGCGTAGATCTACTGCCGGTGTCAGAGCCCTCTCCTACATTAACATTAGCTGCCCCGCACATCTCTAAACCTTTATAAACAGCTTGCCCTCAGAGGCTAACTTCCCTGTTCCTGATGACGAATGCTTGTGTTGCGACCAAAACGTTGTTATATTTTTATTATTTGTATTCACTTTATTTTTATTTTATTATTGTATTGTTATTATTTTTTCTATCTACGTTACTTAACCGAAAGAACCATAGAATACAGCCAAATACTCTTAACGCATGTTTTTCTAAATGCGGAGGGAAAAACCAGAGTATCTGGAGAAAATCCACACGACCACGGAGATAACATGCAAACTCTAAATAAACAGGTGTCAGGGTAGGGATTGAACCCACAACCTCCTGTATATCAGGCGAGTCTTTAACATCTCGACACCGTGGCGCCACTTGACTCGCGTGCCATGCTTCTTTAATATAACAATCAGTACATTTGGTATCCATGCCATCCTTATAGCATGCAGGCAATCATGAAGCTGGTATGTTTAGCAGACGGATATAGTCTGAGCTGTTGCGGTTTCACGGTTACAGCACTCAATATGCATTCCAGAGTTCACCGGTCGAATTCGATCTCCCGGCACGGGAATTGAAACAACGAGGCAAGCGTCTTGTAAAAAAATGTTGATGCATTATAATGTATTTATTAACGAAAGTAATAACCGCGAATAATTAAATGCATGCTCACGAGACCTGGAAATAAGAAGCAGTTTGGTTGCCAGCTCCAGACTTAGGCGGGGTCTTCACATCAAGCATGAATCCACAAGTCTATGCCCATGAATACCCAAATGCCACCGCCAGCTCTGAGTAATGGTGTCCAAAGTAACGTAAATCACAGTCTTTCACCACGTCTTTCATGGTTAATAATTAATAGCATAAGTTATATATTAAAATAAAATCTTGTGGGAAAGAGAATGAAGCTCACGCATATTGAGGGCATCATTGTACATCGGTTTCATCTCAAGTTACGTACAGGGACTCCTCTACTTACGAACGAGTCAGGTTCTAGAGATCGTTTTTGTAAGACAATTTGTTCGTAAGTCCAACTTTACTCCTGTCGATTCCAACAATGTTGTACTACATTTACATTAAACATGGAGAATTGTTTTAAAAGTTGTATAATCGCCTGTAGATGTAGATGCCACTTTTTTAATGTTCTGCAAATGTAGATGCCACCACCGCCACCTATTGCGTAGCGGTTGAACTTACGACTCTCGGTCCAAACAGGCAACTGGACATACGGACCAGGTTTGTTTGTATCTCTGAAAGTTCGTAAGTCGAATGTTCGTAAGTAAAGGAGTCCCTGTACTCAAATGGGATGCTGCCTCGGTGTAAGGGTTCGCACACTGGACTTACGATCCAGAGGTCACCGGTTCGATTCCATCTCCTGGCGTGGCGGTTAAAACAAATGGGCGAGGTCCTTAATTGTCCCCCTCACCCACTGTCCACCGGCCGCTATAAATGGGTACGTTGGTCATTCGGTAGATCGTGTGTGGTTGGGTAAAGTGTGGGTACTCCCAAATCTTACGACACGTCTGGCCAGCGTGGAAGAGCAGCCTATTTATTTTTGTTTTAGTTTGTTGTCCTTCCCTGCACCTCCGATTAGCACGGTTGGCTACGTAGGGTGCGAAAGAAGTTGAACATGCATACAAAATATCCTTCAGAGAAGCACGCTGGAGCTCCCATGCGTGAAAACACTTCCACCAACAGTGGTACGTGCGAAGCAATTCCCACGCTTCACCTGTGCCCGTGTATTCCTTTTTCATTTGTACCCTTTCAACAACTGTGAATTACCTGATTCACACAGGACCCAAAAGAGGTGCTGATACATCGACTTCAGCAATCGAGGCGTTGGCAAAAGGTAACGTGCAGGTTGTTTTTTTGCGCGCGAAATTACGTCTCACCTGCAGGTTATTCAGACGATCCTCGCTGTCTTGGATCGGGTTCTGAACCTTGAGTGGTGTCTGTATGATATTCCACAGGGAGTCCTCCCAGTTGCCAATGAGCAGCACCAACTTGCGCAGTCTGGCCTCATCTGCCTCATTGCTCCCGTCTTCACAAGAACACAAACGACATTGGAGCTATGCACTTTAAAATCTAGATTGAGAACGAATTTCTTTCGAACTGCTTCTTGTGTTTAGTTTGTTGTCCTTTCCGGCACCTCCGAGTAGCACGGTTGGCTACGCACGGTGCAAAAGAAGTTCAACATACATACATACAACCAACCAATCATGCACCAATGCAATTGATTGTTTTTATTTTACTCTATGAAATGTTTTTTTTACAACTAAGGATGAGAATGTGCGTTCATATGGCACTTACATTACTCCAAAAAAAATCAAAGTACCTTACATAACACCTCATATCAATAATTGCAATGCGCAAATGTAGATTTTAAGCCTAGGGGAATCCTTGATGACAGCTAACCCTGAATGGCACAATATTAATGAAGCAGTGACCCTGCATAATTGTATTTTAAGCTAATTTGTTTTCCCTAGGATCTGGTTGATAAGCATGAATGTGGGGACATTGGTATAATAACCATTCCAGATGCTATAAAAAGACAAAGTAGTATCAAATACAATTACTCCTGGCTTTAATTGACCGGAATAATCAATTTGATTGGTTGGGAAATGAAATAATCCGAGCTCTAACAAGCAAAAGGTCTTCATATAAAATATATAGAAATTATAAAAAAACATTTACAAAGAAGGAACCACAACATTGCCAATCCATGAAGTGAGAAGCAACATCCTAATCAGAACAAGAATTAAGCAAGGAGAACTATACTCTTTGGTTTTATTCGGTAAAGTCACGTAGATAAAATAAAACGAAATAAAAGAAAATAATTAAATCACGACGTTTCGGAGGCAACACAAGCTTCCGTCTTCAGGTGGAAAAGTCAAGGCAGAATATCTGTGTCAGGAGCACAGTTCAGAGACAACCCGGATTATATACAGGTTAAGGTAGGGGGAGGAGTCTGTAAGTGTGAAGAGGTTGTTACCCGCAGCAGTCTATCAAAAGGCTGCTTAACCCAGCCTTCCCACCCACCCACGCCCCCTTACTGACTCCTCCCCCCTCCCTTAACCTGTATATAATCCCGGTTGTCTCTGAACTGTGCTCCTGACACAGATATTCTGCGTTGACTTTTCCACCTGAAGACGGAAGCTTGTGTTGCCTCCGAAACGTCGTGATATAATTATTTTCTTTTATTTCGTTTTATTTTATCTACGTGACTTTACCGAATAAAACCAAAGAGTATGAATCCTTGCAGTCACAAAAGCTTCAAATCAAGGAGAACTACTCTCATCACGACTATTCAAAGCAACGTTAACATATACTTCCTGAAAACTGTATTGGAGATGTGAATGTACAAATGTAGTGTCGTTGGTATGAGTACCGTTGTGTAGAGACAGTACCGTGTGGGTGGCTACTGTAGGGGCAGAGCCCCTCCCCGGACACCGGATGGGCATACCAGGGGAGGCTGGGTAAACAGGAAGGGGCACGTGACCGGAGGTGGTGTGGACGGGGGGGGGGGGGGCGGGGTTGAGGAACACGTGAGGTGGGCCCTGAACCCTCACGAAGGATCGGGAAAAGAGGCGTGGCCAAAGGCGGGTCCTGGCCACGCCGTAAGGATAAAAGCCGAGCCCCGGGGGGACACCGGGGTCGATGCTGCTGGAAGAAACCTTCGTCTTTGGCGGGTCTTCGGGTCTCCGGGCATCGCGCACGTGGACCAGGCAACACGTTGGCTGACCTGGTCCGGTTTGTAGTTGCCCATCCAGAATATAAATAGTCATCTACTCCAAGTGTATATAGCTAAGTGTAGGAACGGTGTTATTCCATTAAGGGTTATGTGATATTAGTTCATAAACTGTTGCCTCCAAGTTCAAGTGTGCACCTGAATGGACCCACTAACACAAATATGAATATAGATCACTAGCTTTTTGCCCGTCCAAGGACGGGTGTATTGCAGTAAATCTGAAACTTGCAACGGAAAAGCAAACCGCCACGTGATATTCATTGCATCAATTCATGTGCAATTTGTAAGGCCGCGGAGACACAGACTTACTTCATTTAAAGTTGATAATCCCTTATTCATCACGATGTCCTTTTTACTTTTATGTCTCAATAGCGTTACGGAGATCGCGTGACGTGAGGGTTCTGCCTTTGTTGCGAGGGTTGTAAGTTGACGCTGAGGAGGGGGGAGGAGGCGCCTCGCCCCCCCATGTGGAGTGATGTCACGCGCAGGACACAGACATTCTTGGCTCATTCTATATATAGATCATAACAGCCATATTCATATTCGCTTATGGCTGTCGTTATAACCAATGAAAATGAAACCTTTGAAGGACTTTTTCAGAGCGATGGGCATGCTACACTATTTAATGCTACAACGTGAGTTCAATTCCTGGCCATGGATGACATCAGCAGCAAGCGCTATCCAAACCGGTCCTGGGCAGCCACACCCTTCCCACCCACTTTCGCCAACCTGCTCTCACCAGCGTCGTTAAAGCATAGTCGAACAAACACCGTGACTGACATGGGAGAGGGAGGCCTTCATCCAGCAGTGCATTTACAAATAGCTGCAAATTATTATTAAATTGATGATGAAAATGACGACAATGATGATATCACAGACAGAGGTATCGCGAAAGACGCGGGCAAGCGAGCAATGAACAATCAATACGGGGGGGGGGGGGGGGGGGTCCTCTCTCACCAAATTCCATGGAGGTGTGGAGGGATACGCTGTGATCCACCACCACCTCGCGATCCACATTTCTGCCCCCCATGTCCGGCAGCTGCGGTTGTGTCATCGGCGCCTTGCCGGCTCCCTCCCAGAGCTCCACGACGTCGTTGAAGTACTGCACGGTGCTCGTGTAGTCGCGGCGCAGCTGCGTCAAGTCGTTGGGGCCGAACAGCTGTAAGGGATAGAGTGAAAGTGTCGCTCAAAAGTGCAAGTGTGTACATTTGCTACACGCGCACGGTTTTTCCGTCGGCTCTCGGACAGGCGGGACGATTCTGAGGCGCGGTTAACCGCAGGCAAGCGGGGAAGGTAGCCAAAGAACCGGTGCCAACAATTGCCCAAGCTCCGTGGCCCTATATAGGGATATTTTACCAATTCTATTCACGAGCGGCAGGACACAGGAGCACCCAGAGAAAATCTGTTCATGTGAGGGGGCAATACTCAATCGCCCGTACCGATGGAATAACCGATGGAGATTAAATCCCCTTGCTGTACTGCCGTACCCAGGCAAGCCAGGAGATGGCGACCCTGACACCCCAGCGGGTTTGGGAGTTTCACGAATCTGCGTGATCCACGAACCCTCACTGCCTCCACAGCACTGGTAGTAGAGGTGTGCGCCACCAGTGCGCACACACACACACACGTCCCGAGCCAGCACATTTCTGGCAATATTGAAACCATGACGATCGTGGGATATGACAAACATTCCAACACAGGCTCCTGAAAAATGTCTTAAGACTCGTAATGGATTTCATGGAATCCAGATGTCTGTTATACTTACCGTAAAAAAAACGTCTCCCAAAACATATTACAAATTATTTCAATCATTTCACATCACCTTGGTTTCTCGTTCACATTCACGTTTAACAAGTGAACTGTGTAAAAGATGACCCTTAAAGAAAGGGACCTTGCCTATTACATGTAGCAGTTCACCAGGGTTAATACAAGGATGACTGCTGATGACACTGAATCACGGCTGATGACGTTATGCACTCCCAGAAGGACATGGGGGCAGAAGGGCAGTGTACAAAACACCTTTATTCTTTTACATGTACACAGATGTGTGAAGGAAACAAACTCTCCATTTATCTATTTTGCTATTAATTCCATATAAGATGCTACAGATCAAAATATACTCTTGATTACATGGCTCAAACTATTTAACGGTGGGTCAATTTAACACCGCATATGTTAATAATCGACAATTCGGGCATTCACAAGAACTGCCGTCATTCGTCACCGCCATTCGCCACCAAGTGACGGTGATTTCACCGTCGCACTCGAGCCAGTGGAGGTGGAATTTGAGGCCACGTGAAGCACGTAAGGCTCACTGGCCGGTCACGGAACAGACCCACATGTTACGAGTTAAATGAATGAAACGACTGGCAGATGCTACACCTGTGCTCCCCACTGTGTCAACAAAGACAAACATAAGTTAATAATCAAACAAAACGCCAAACATTCCCCGTGTAGCCTTAACAGACTGTAGGGGCAAGTGCTGTTAGCGAGCACCTATGAAGGACGGTACGGCACATGAGGGGGTGGGTGGCCAGCACCGCGCCCGGCCGCCTTTGTCTCCCCAGTGGCGATGTTTACACACTGCACCAGGTACTCATTTGAGGCCGAGTCGACCTAGGGGAGGCCCAGGACCGGTTCAGATAATCGTCACTAGTGTTGGCCGTGAGCGGGAATTGAACTCTGGTCGCCGGGTTCACAGCGCAGCGTGACGCTAACCGCCACATGACCCGCTCGCCTCACGATGTCATCACACACACACACATACACACACCTGTGAATCCTGACTCATTCGAAGGAACTCTTCATAGTTAGACTCCAGGTCTTGCATGACCCGCGTGTACTCTTCAGGAGAAGGCTTCTGTAAAGCACAAGAGATGCATTTGAAGCATTTGCTTTTACAGCGTGAAGTTTATGGAACTGCATGTAATCTTCACTCTGGCAGTGAGCAGCGTTTCCGAGAACGGCCCAGAAAGATGCCACCTTAAAACTACTTCCAAAGTCATTTCAACTGGCCTCTGTTTGTCAACACCTGATTTTGGCAATTAGTTTTAACGTTACAATCCAGTGAATAAAACTGCAGATCCAGGTTAAGGTGCTAAAAACGGGGCTTAATTTAAACTAGGTCTGTCCAGGTGAGCAACTGGGAATATATTTACAGAACCTGGCACACCACATACATTATACCTCTTGCTAGCTAATATTAATTGCGTGCTTCTTTCAGTCTAGCAGCGAGCTGGAAAATATTCAGTGAGAAAATAAATCCCTGGACACCCCTGATGGCGCGTCGAGATGAGAGGCGGTATTGTGTTCGCGCACGTGTTCGAGGCTCCACGAACGGACGGTCTCCATATCCCGCAGCAGGTACTTCCAGAAGATGAGGCACCGGAGATTGATGGTCACCTGCTGCCACATGGTCATGTTCCCTTGGTTGAGGTTGTCAATTCTGCACACAGCAGTTGCCAGAGAAGTAAAGATGAGCAGAAACACGAGGGGGACAGCTCCAGTATTAATCGTCCACGCAATAATACTCTTTTTTTTACAGCCGGTTGACCACAGTGCCAAAAAAGGTCTACAAACACATCAAGCGACCAGCAAAGAAGAGCACAACCCAGAGATACGACAGGTAAAGAGTCGAAACGTTGCTGGAATTCAGCGAGGTTATTATTGTGAGAGCTTGGGGAAAAGGGACGAGTGGAAGGGGAATTCCAAAGTCGGGCAGCTCAAAGGGAAGCAGCGGAAAGAGAAGTGTTGTGACCTCCAGTGTGGTGGTTGAACCCAGTGTGGTGGATGAGACGGACCGGTCAGTCTGGTAGACCGAGTCCTCAACATAGGTGGAGGAATCAACAAGTGAGCTCACAGGAGTGAGAACTTTGGCAGTAACTCACGATTTTTATTTTACCAGGTAAAGCCCACGGAGCTATATAGATATTTTTCAGAAGCGACCTGGCCACAAATGACAGCTCAACGAAGTGGCTCGTCACGTGGACATTTATAGCAGCCAAATACTCTAAATGCATGTTTCTAAATGTGGAGGGAAAAACCGGAGGATCCAGAGAGAAATCCACACGACCACGGGGAGAGAGACATGCAAACTCCAAATATACAGACATCAGGTTAGGGATCGAACCCATGACCTCCTCCATACTAGGCGACGGAGTTAACATCTCGCCAACCACAGCGCCCTATAATGATGAAGAGGCGACTGACAGCCGGTAAGCAAGCGAGCGACCAGAACAAATCAGTGTGCGGATCAGCTAATGCGCAATCGGCGAATCACTTTGGCGACGCGAAACAAACACTAAAAATGCGGCTCACCGATTGGCGACCTCCATTGCGTCCTGGTTGGGAGGGGGAACTTGGAAGCAGAGAGAGAGCAGGTCGATGTCGCGACCTCCAGGCCCAATTCCCCTCCACTTGATGCGGTTGGAGTTGTTCCTCAGGATGCACTGATCGTTGGGTTTTATCAACACCTGCACGCGTGAAGGAGCGTGGACAACGATCACAACCGCCTTTGTTCAATCCACTGCTGCATGACAGAACTCCCCGTGACGTGCGGGTCGTCGGGGTTACTGGACCATACTTCACTGTGCTCATCAGCGCGGGTTAGTAAAGGTGGGGAGCATAGACATGGAGGCATAGAAAATTCAGAACAGCTCAAAAAATGTTTTGCCACAAAGCCCTCTGCTGTTCGAACCCACAACCTATTTCACACCAGGCGAGAGAGTTAACATCTCGCCACCGTGGCGCTATTCTGCACGCATATATGTCTGTCGACGCTTCTTTCTCCAAGTACATAGCAGACCGCGCTGATCTGGGAGTTTGGCGATCCCCTGGGATAAGAGTTCGGTGGCAAGAGAGGAGGCCCTGCGCGCCCAAGTCGGGAGAGTCGAGCTCACCTCCTCCGTCTTGTACTCGCACAGCGCCTTGAGGGGGATCTGGTTTTGCACGGGGTTGGCGGGGTTCCTGGGCTTCAGCTGCACGACGGCCTTGGCGCGGCCGGCAAGGTTGGCAACCGTCCGGTTGTAGTTGAACAACGATTCCTTCTCGGCCTGTCGTCGTTGTTGTTTCGTTTGAATGCGTGTAATGAGAGACAACAGGAGACAAGAGACAGCTTAAGTGTCACTTAAGGGTAATAAACCAGTCAACTGGGGATGAAGAAAACTGTGGGTAGAGAATTTAGTATGAATCATCTATTGAAAGATTTTTTTTTTACTTACCAGGTAAGGCCCACTGAGCTATATAGCTATTTTTCAGAAGCGACCTGACCACAAATGATAGCTCAATGAAGTGGCTTATCACGTGGAAACTTACAACAGCCAAATACTTTAAACGCATGTCTAAATGTGGAGGCAAATACAGGAGAACCCGGAGAAAAATCCACGCGACCCCAGGGAGAACATGCAAACTCCAAATATACAGGCGTCATGGCTGGGATCGAACCCACGACCTTCTGTACACCAGGCGAGGTAGTTCACATCTCGCCACATGTTTCATTAAATCTTTGTCGTAACATTGCACAGCAGGTGCGGGATATCTTCTCGAGCGACGGATAGTTTCTGGAATAGCCCAGAAGTGCGACTGTGGTCGCCAATCTCAAACCGTGGGCCGCATAATGAGATGTTACCCGATTCAATCATTCACCGATAGCATTTTAGATATTCATCAGACCACATTCAGCTTGACTCGCCAAACTGAATGTGATCCTATCTTATCAACTCCCCACCCACTCGACATGAGTTTGAAATATATTTTTTGTTGACCTTTCTTAAGTTTGTATTAAACAAATTATCCTTGCGTTATACAATTTGTTTTAATTTACAGACATATTTTTACTGAAACATTAAAATGATGCTCTGCATAAAGAATATCCTGGAAATTCAGTACACAGCTCAACAAACCAATCCCTTAAAACGTAGGTTTCTGTCAGATAATAATTTTCTTGGTGAGGACATGCAATCATTTGTCCAAATGTGTCTTTAAGACCCTCCACCACCCGACAAAAACTAAATTGGCATGTGTTCAAGAGTTTAACATTCTCATTTCATTCTGACTTCCGAGACTTTCATTCACACTTCCTGAACATTATCCTGAAGATGCTTGGCGTAGCTTGAAACAAACCGTTGCATCCAATTGCTGAATTTGGTTGTAAGGAATTGTTCTTACACTTACCGGCGAGCTGATACAATAATAATTAGCGCGTTCAACGGCTTGCACACAGAGTGACAATTTAACTAGTATGGCTGTGTCAAGTGGCGGAGGATCTTAACCCTTTCCCGTTACGATAACGTACGTGTACATGTGCGTCATTGGAACATAACCGGAAGAAAAAATAAAATAAAAGAATTTTATCGGTACTGAGGCTCCCACAAGGCCATGCAGGAAGGCATATGGCACAGTTTGCGCCAGCTAACATAGAGAGCGGTCGTGTCGCTACGCTTCTCTGCCGGTGAACGGGACACCCACCCTGCAACTTGCAGTCGCCTCAGAACGGGAAAGGACGAATGACACCAATGTGGCAAGATAATTTCGTGGCCTAGCCCCACATTAAATTACAAAACCAACCCCGAACAAAGCGTGTGTTTGTGCAGAGGCAATGATTCTGCGTGGGGGCGTGTCGGTGTGGGGGGGAGGAACGAACCATGATGCCATCTAACAGCTCCTCCAGGTGAGCCACGCTGCTCGTCTTGTCGGCCGTGTACTTGCTCCTCATTTTCTCCTGCCGCGCCTTCAGCGTCTGCTCCGTCTGCTTGGCGTCCTCGAAAAACTAGGCGCATTGGGAAACGGACGCGGGACGCTCAAGCTCTCAGCAGACCGTACGTGGCCTTCCATCGGAAACACAATGCTTTGCATAGAGAGCGTGCGCTGGGTAGACGCTATAATAATGTTTTGAGCTTGCAACGTTGCACTTCGTATCGCTCGCTATCAAGGAGCGAACGGCCGACTTAGAGGTGCCGTGAGGAACCACGGACAAGCAGAAAGGCAGCCACGCGGCGAGCAGGCAACAACAGTTGCCAAAGCTCTGCAGTCCTCTATATATTCATTAATGAGTGTTTACATGTGGGAGGAAACCGTAGTATTCAAAGAAAACCCACGCGTGTAAGGGGGACACGCTCTATCGCATACAGATGGAACAAGTGTCGCCAACATTTTCGCTGCACCGCCTTCTCCTGGTGATCCAGGCTATACCACCTCCTGGACGCCAACAGGAAAGGAGTTTCACAACATTTGTACGATCCACCAACCATGGCCTCCACAGTGCTGAATTACAGGCGTTCGCCACCACCACTAGCATGGACTCGTAGAGGTAGCAATATTAACCACGTACGTGTACTGCCCTTGTCTCAATCGACTGCTGGATGAGGACCATACTCATGCTGTGTGGGTCATGGGGATTATCATCAACATGCTGGTCAGGTGAAGGGTAAGGAGACATAGATGTAGAGTACAACAATATATGTTCCTGCACTGCCCTCTACTGCACACTACATAATAAAGACAAAGATCTCCCGTATAGCCTTTAACAGACTATTGGGGCAAGTGCTGTTAGCAAGCACCAATGAAGGCCTGCACAGCACATGTGGGGGTGGGTGGCCAGGACCACGCCAGGCCGCCTTTGTCTCACGAGTGGCAATGTTTACACGCCGCACTAGGTACTCATTTGAGGTCAAGTCAACCTAGGGGAGGCCTAGAACTGGTTCAGATGATCATCACTGGTGTTGGCCGTGAGCAGCAATCGACTTCGGGTCGCCGGGTTTGTAGCGCTGACCGCGACTACGTAACAGCTACCGCTAACAGCCACCTCATACTTCTCGCCATGGTTATGGTAAGCTTCTCTCACAGAAGATCCATTCATAGGCAGTCGTGGTATTCTCCATCATTGCCTTTCCCAAACACATGTAGATGCACTTAGGAATCGGTCATTGATCTGTAAATTAATTCAGGGGATTCCTTATACTCAAGCACAGTATTGTATGCACGACCAAGTCGCAATCAATCATCGTGTGCACTCATCGCAGTGGATAAACAGGTTTTTACTGTAGGGGCTTGCCTACTAGGAAATATTTTGCCTGTCGCATATCTGTCAATGTGACAGCTCTCCAGTTGCAAATTTGCAGAGATCACCTCATTGCTTGGGCATCAATATACATGATGGTTTGTTGACGCGGAAACTTAGTTGGATGAGGTTCTGCCCCATGCCGTGCAGGCCATGGCGGTTGGTTGACCACGCTCGCCAGCGTGTGGGACGGCGAAGGCGGCGAGCTTTAGATGTTAGGGCATAGTACAGTACAACGGTGGGTTTTATCTGCACTGCTCTCTGCAGCCACCCACATAAGCCCAAGGCTGCAATGGCGACACTTTTGTGCATGGTGGTCACCAAACCCAGAACTATTCAGGCTCTAACCTGCTGAGCTTCTGAGATCTGATGGGATTGGGTGCATAACAGGTGATTTGGTCACAATGTCTCTTTAACAAATGTACGAAGAACACTTAATAAGATTGCCGTTAAAATAAAATGTATACAATAGGCGACATTTGGATAGACTCACCTCCACCATGAGGATGGAGTTGAGCGCAAGAAAAATATTAATTTGAGAAGGAAATTACTTTTCATTTGTTGTAGCAGGCAATAACCAACAATCCTTTAAAAAAATGTAAATAAATACGTGTACACATTTATCAAGTGCAGTTTTTTTTTCCATTCGTGCACAAACAATATAAATCAACACATGTGTATGTACGGTAACAACTCCACCGTGGGAAGAACAAATTAATGGTCACATTGATCATTATACCCAACAGAAAATGGCTTAAAAACATAAGATATTGGTGCCAAAAAGATGTGCATATTGGCACACAGAGGAAAGTGGATACAAATGATGAAATGTGCACTGTGACACCTACGGCTGCCCATGGATTGTGATGATGATGATGGAAATTTTGAATGAGCCGTTTTCCAGATGAAGACATATGCGAGTGTAGATAATGAGCATGTGAAGCCTCAACGAACTCCTTAGACATTACAGCATTGGCAGATAGGTGAGACCTACCTGAAAATATGCCATGTTGTTTTGCAGGTGAGAGTCGATGCTCTGGGTGAGTTGCAGCATCCAGCTCCACTGAGTCTGAAGGACATCCATGAAGGCCTGGCCAAAGCAGAGGGTCAGGAAGAGGGGCGGGAAGATCGTTAGGGTAATTACCATTGAACGTGAGCGAGCCATGAGGGGACAGCAAACAACTGGGACTTGAATAGTACACAATTTAAACAACAAAGATCATATTAGCTTGTGAAATTGACTTTTGTACTGTACTTTCCCTTCAACTTAAATGCTATTGTAGTCCATCAGTCCACTTATTGGCTTTCAAAAGATTATCCGGTAGCATTTATTGAAACAAGCAACATCTCGACCAGTTTCTCAACTTTTTTTGGGTTAGTCAGCAGAGGCAAGCTTGCTAAACAAACCAACGTTGTTTCCAGTTGTTATTGGCCAGAGCACTCCCATTTATACAAGGGGGTTCTGGTCAATGCAAAAAAAAATCAATAATCCCATCATGATTTACATTCAGTAGAGAATGAGTTTTAACACGTAGGCTTTCACGGCCAATATCCATATTACAGTGAGGGAAAAAAGTATTTGGATTTTGTTGTTGTTATTCTGTCTCTCACTGTTCAAATAAACCTACCATTAAAATTATAGACTGATCATTTCTTTGTCAGTGGGAAAACGTACAAAATCAGCAGGGGATCAAATACTTTTTTCCCTCACTGTACAGGTTTTTTTGGTTAGATCGCATAAATATAAATGCGTCGTGAAACCCGCCACCACCCGACACAGCCTGTTAGTAAGGTTTGTCACGTAAATAGAACGTGCCAATTCGTTACTAGTACAGCACGCCGGTGTGTTGGAGAGCAAATCCACAACATTTACAATCTCAGTGTACGACGTTTTGCCATACTCAGATGTAGGCTGCCGCTTGATGATCCCGGTTGTAATTACTGGCGAAACATCATACTCAGATTATAAATGTATGAGTAACGAATTGGCATGTTCTGTTTTCGTGACAAACCTTACGAATTGTATGTGTCGGGTGGTGGCGGATTTAACGACACATTTATACTTATGCGATGTAACCCAACAAAAACCTGTATTATAGAGTACATAAGGATAAGAGGTGTATCCCCTTTTTTCTGGCAACAAAACAGGTCTAACACCATACTCTTTGGTTCTTTCTGTAAAGTCAAGTAGGTAGAAAAAAGAATAGATCACGACGTGTCGATCACAACACAAAGTGAAAAAGAACCAAAGAGTATTGATTCCTGCAGTCACGAAAGCTTCAAATCAAGATCGGTCTACACCATTTGAGACGAGGCTCAAAAGAAAGCTGTCTCTGGTGTTGACCATTCAGTTTCAATGACAATGCATATATTACCAGAGTATGCTTTTTGTTTGCATTCTGACCACAAGCATTGTGGTTAATGCAGACATGATTCCTTGTAAAAAGGTTTCAGTTTGGTGTTTTAACATCTTAACACCTGTTTGTTGCCAGAAAAAAGAGGAAAAACCTATTATCATATTTTGGTACTGGCAAAGGAGGTCCCATAAAGTACATAAGGAGTTGATCTCATTAGGTTAATATTTTATGTTTGAAAAAAAAACTTGTCTATTGTTCCTAATTGCTAAACTGCTTATAACACATACCAGCACGATGCACCGCTAGCTGCAATGTAATACAAACAAAAGTAAAATTGGCACCTCAATTGTGTCTTGTCCAGGGTGGTCATCATTCACTAGGTTTTCTCCAAATTTCTGTACACGGTTTATCTCAGTCTCCCTTTTCTCCAGGTCCTTCAAAAACTCCTGCAAAAAAACCAACATAACAGTTCCAGATGTACCTTTGCTTCTTAAGTGGAGAGAGCGAGGGAGGACCGGGGTGGGGTGGTAGTTAAAAGGTAAAGTAACATAATAGCGCTCGGGTACATTTTCATTTTCAATGGAAAGAAAAATACGATACATTCATGTCAATATTATGGCCAAAATAATTAATATTCCCTATTTTATCTCATTCCAAAGTCAACACGCGACCAATGTTTCTGTATGCCTGTCATGAGTCTGCAAGCATCTGGACAGCATTTTCATCCAGGCCAGGGATCTGCAGGTGGCTAGACGCAGCTGCTACTACTGCTGCTGCTGCTGAATATCTTGTGTTTACAAAAGCATATGTAGCAGCTTTCTTGATTTTTTTCCATGTCAGTTTAGGCACCCGTGTAGCCTTTTCGCTCAACCAATGTTATCAAATTCCTCCTGGTACCACACGCTGATCTGGAGACGGGTGAGAGACCCACCAAATCCATGGATGCACTCACTCCTCTGAATTTGAGGAACCCTCCTCTTAGCCATAACCATTTTCCCCTGCAGCCCTAATTAAAATTTTAGAGAGTAATGTCATTAGATGTATTACTGTGGTGACGTCAATTAAAATCCATGTTTAAATTGTTAGAATTTCCATATGAATACACAATACACAGGAATTGACAATTTTTGCACACAAATTTCCTTGTTAAAGTGCATGGTACAGTACTCATGTTACATGGGATAATCGCAATATCATGTTTACAAAGCAGTTCATCTACGAGCCTATTTTAAGACACTGCATCTATTATAATAATAGGGTTTTCCCCCTTTTTTCTGGCAACAAAACTCAAACCTTTTTACAAGGATTCATGTCTGCATTAACCACAATACTTGCAGTCAAATGCAAAAAAACACACTATGATAATGTATGCATTGTCCTTGAAACTGATTGGTCCATACCTGTTTTGTTGCCAGAAAAAAGGGGAAAAACCCTATTATTATATTTTGGTATTGGCAAAGGAGGTCTAATGATGTAGACTGCATCTATTCCTGGTGAGACGAATGTGGTTAGGTACTTTTTATTATAACATTTAATTATCCTGGGAACTATTTCTGCGTGCCAAGCTGTTTTATTGCTTTCTTTGTTAAGTCAGTGGGTAGCCAACGATTGTGACAGTCAATCACTCAAGACAATGACAATCAATACCAGCCCACAGGCCCTAATGTACAGTGAAGGGTTGAGACGGCTTAAGCAATGCTGAAGACCACTCTGGAGAATAAGCAGAAATGCGTCACTAACACTCATATTTGAGAGGAGTAGCCAAACATAGTCCCAAACAGTGGTTAATAACAGCTGCCACACTCTTCCAATAATTATTTCGGCATAACCACACAACCATCTCGCCTTATTTGATCCGACACTCATTCAAAGAAGAATCGGATTATAGGGCACTAACATGGAAGTATTATTATGGATAAGTGTACTTTGTAGTCTAGTGGTAGTGCCTTACACCAATAATATCTGCTCAAAGTCAGGCCTACCTGCATTCCAGAAAATATTGAATGAGAAATGAAGCTCTGATCCCAGCAGTAGAATTAAAAATATGGCTGATGCTCGTGAAAAGCTGCAACGTTCAGAGTATTTGTTGCTTGCTATAAATATTCCACGCGATAAGCCACTTCGTTGAGCTATCATTTGTGATGGCCAGGTCGCTTCTGAAAAAGAGCTGATAATATAAAAAAACAGTTTATAGCTTAATGAGAACGAGCACTGAAAAATGACTTCCGGTATGGAGAGCGATGGGTGGCGACGGACGTACGGAGTGAGAATCCTTCTTGGAAGAGAGGTCGGTGTTCTGGTCGCTCCAGTCAAAGGCGAGCTCCTCCTCCTCTCGCTGGTTGAGCCAAACAAGTTGCTCAGTAGCATTGCCAATGAAGCGCTGCAAGTCCTCCAGGTTCTGAATGTAGCTCTGTGACTCCGACTGTAAAGCACACAATTGCGTTGGCACTTTCCGACCGAGGATGGGGGAATTTACATTACGCACTAGCACCCTGGAAACGATTGTTTAAGGGCGCTTTATGAATTTAAATAATTATTATTGTCTCTCTCTGTCGGTTCATCCATAATGGACAGAGGGTGGTGTGGGGGGTTGAGGGGAGGCTATAACAATATGAACAAAACTGTGGTAAGTTGCTATCCGGGACTTATCCGATTGAGAAGTGGCCAAAATCATCAAACGGTGCCCAAACCTGGGAGACATGAAGCAGAGCAGAGAACAATTGTTTGGTAAACGCATTTAATCTAAACAGCTTCCACCCTGATGAATAAATACAGGAAAACTGCATGTTGGAGAGTGTTACTTAATCCATTAACTTTTATCTGTTATCCTCACTTGTTTGCAATGGAAATTGGATGGAGATACAAATTGAGGGAATGTCAGTACCATATCTTGGATCACGGTTCATAAATTTGTACCACTTAACTTTACGAGCCACGGTTAAGTCTTGTAGAAGTTACCCGGGTTGAATTGATTAGCGGACATGAGGGTCCCTGCAATACGCCTGTGTTTTAGACCGTCATTGATGTGCACATGGAGCAGATTAAAATGTGCGAACACAAGCGTATGTTCTTTTGTTACGATTCGCATACTCAAATGATTGCATGATGGAAGTCTCACCAGCAGGTCGCCATACTTGGTGTTCAGCTTGTCCAGAGCATCCGCATACTTCTCCTTCATTTGGGGCGGGATGTTGCTCTGGGGCGAAGGCAACAGCAAAGGCATTCTTTAAATTCCACAACGACATCTTGAAGTTATTGTAAAAACAAAACAAACCTCACATTTGTCAATAATACTGTGGCCTTAAAATGAAAAAATATATCTATAATGTGTGGTGTTTGAGGGCAATTGCCCCTTCTTCATAGCGTGTAACGTATCACTTATGTGCTATGCAGAAGGGCCATTGCCTGAAACGTTGCCAATGATTTCCTTTTCCTTTTAAGGCCACGTAGTTATTGACAGATCCGTCGAGGTTTTTGTCAGTGTTTGTGCACCGCTGCCAATGCAGCACCGCCAATTAATGTGTTTAACTTATTTCACTCTCTCCACATTGCCAAGCCTTTGGGGCTCACACCGAGCTCGAGCGAAGTGCGGACACAGCGCAGTTAAACCTTTCCACCACACCCAACGCATCCATTGCCCACAATGTCAGTAGGAAAATTACGTGAAATGAAAAAATGCTTCATTGGTTTTGAACATGTTTTCCTTCTGTATCTTTAACGCCTACTTGCTCGATTTAACTCCTCCGCACATGACACAATGACTCGCGCATGCGCCACGAGCTCGCTAATCTCTGTGTTATATCAAGAATTTGCTTTCGTGGCTGTGCAGAGCAGCATTGTTGCACTGCTGTTAAAGGATCTTCGGCAGTGTTAGTGCTATTAAGAAATGCGGGTAGGATTGCACCACACTATATTTTGTCTTGAGGATAACAATATATTTGAGGACACTTTGAGAAGAACGTTCACATTCACACGTAGAAACAAACATACCCGCAAGCGCATTTTCTAGCTGTTGACACCAAACGTATAACTTAGGGCACCGCAGTGGCGAGATGTTAACTCCCTTGCCTAGTATGCACAAACTCGAGGGTTCGATCACGACCCTGACGCCTGTATATTCGGAGTTTGCATGTCTCTCTCTCCCCGTGGTGGCAAGAAGTTTTCTCCGGGTCCTCCGGTTTTTCCCTCTACATTTAGAAACATGCGTTTAAAGCATTTGGTTGATATAATTTTCCACATGATAAGCCACTTCGTTGAGGTGTAATTTGTGGCCAGGTCGCTTCTGAAAAAAGAGCTGTTTCGCTTAGTGGGCCTTACCTTGTAAAATAAATGTTTTTTCAATAATTTTAATCCCATTTCTTCCCTTCTACGAATGCCTAAACACAATAAACCGAAGCCCCCAACAAGTTAAAACATGACAGAGGATGTAAGACCTGTCTCGTTGCTCAGCGGTAGGCAATAGCAGGCTGCTAGCCATGGACAACACCTGCGGTCAAGGCCCTAACAAAAGTGGGGAAGCTTCAAAGCTGCGTCCGCCATCACCTCTTGCCGGTTTGCCTCGTCCACCTTCTCCCTAAAGTCAGCGATCGCTCTGTGAGCCATCTTGTGGTTGTGCAGCTGAGACTCCACCGCCTCCGTGTCTGTGCCCCATTGCATCTTGTTGAGACGATCCTGGCGAAGCGGACGGAACACAAAAATAAACAACCTGCCGCGCGGTGTTTGATGATCCATCACCAGACATTCATAAATAATAAAAGAGCTGATCCGTTGCGAGACTAAATGGAACTTGACTCTCTACTTTTCAGTCATCAGAGAATGTAAAAAAATACATAAACAGCTGGAAAAAAAACATCTCTCGTATCAAGCACAATCATCAAGTTAAAAGGTAGCAAACATGACATGTTATTATACGTATTGCTCCATTATAATAATTCAAAATTCTATCTCCTTTGATCTCACGTAATTTTTAAGGACCATTTATGTCTATTAACATTAAACTAATGTATAGCAAGAAGGGCTCATCAGAGGAATGCACTGTACATTTCCATTCAACCCCCCCACCCCTTCTGACCTCTAACCCCACAGCTCCCCTGGCTTCACTCCAACTCCACAGGGACCAGGACCACCACTTTAACAGTGACGTGACGCAGTGAAAAGGACATTTTGCTACTCGTTTCAGAGTTTTGCAGGTCTAGTCCAGCGGACGCCCTGGTGTGGGTATGCTCTCCAACACACAGGTGAGCTGAAGTAGTGACTAATTGGCACGTTTTGTTTAAGTGACAAATCTTACTAATTGGCTGTGCCGGGTGGTGGCGATTTAACGACACGTTTATACTTACGCGATCTAACCAAAAAAAGATATATTATGGCTCGTTTCAGTAGTTTACACAACAACAACAGAGGGCACTTGCCTCATTCCTGTCCACCCAGGAGATGAGATCCAGCACCGACCGCAGGTGGTTCTCGGCGTCGTACGAAGCGGACGCCATGCTCTGCCGCGCGCCCGCTCGCTGTCCCGTCATCACCAGGTTCTCCACTGACTTGGACAGCATCCGCTGCTGCAGGGTTCCGCCGCCGCCGCCGCCGCCGCCGCCGACGATGCGGATGCTCCGCTGCCCCGCGCTCTGCATCGTCCCGCCGCGCATCTGCTGCAGCAGCCGCTGTGCGCCAGAGTTGCTCTGCATCGTGGCGCCCTGCTGCATAGGTTGCTGGTGCACCTGCTGGTATTGGCTCTGATACACCTGCTGAGTGGGGGCTTGGGTCACCGGGCTTATCTGCTGCTGCTGCTGCTGTTGGTAAGAGCTCTGGTAGCCGAAGGACTGCTGGGCAGGCGGCGGCTGCATGGCGGACGCCTGGTGGTGTCGGACGCTGGACGTGTGGAAGGACATGGTCTGCTGTACGGGCAATTGCACTTGCTGAACAGAAGACTGGTACGCCGAATTCTGCTGCTGCATTTGGGCCATGCCTCCTTGGCCACCGCCCCTCGATATCATGGTATGGGACAAGGATTCCTTGTAACCCTGGAGGGTGCGCAATTCCGATTCCAGCTGCAGGACCCTGGGTAAACGCAAACACAAACCGTGTAAATACGGACTTTGAAAACCAACCAGGGTGGACAGTGTGAGTCTCACTTTCACACTGTGGTGGTGCAGATTGTCAAACACGATACAGCTGTTAATGAAAGCCAATATTAGTTTTTCAGTGAACGTCGTGTGATTCTCCCCAGCCTGGATCCACACCTCTACTCGTCAAGCTCAAGCTACACGCGGACCACTCTCATGTACAGTCCCCCGTCTTCCAATCTCAGAGATTCTAAACACTCGATGAGTAGGCCTGACAAAATACACGTTGTCCATTGCACTCAATGTATTGAACAAGAGCCCCCTTCTTCCTTGAAAGATTGGCTGCCAAACTTGCATCATCTTCATGAAAGCTGTGATAATTTGCAATATTAAAACCAATTGCGTGAGTTTGATTCCCAGCCAATAGCCAGCATCAGTGAAGAATGCCATCTGAACCAGTCCCAGGCTTCCCCATTCCACAACCCATGACGACCAGCAGGGTGAAGTATGATTAAACAAAACCTCCATGACCGACATGGCAGGAGAAGGCCTTCATCCAGCAAAGGATTGAACAATTACTGGAAATTATTATGAAGCTGTCATATTTTAACACCAGGTTAGGAATATACCGTGTTTATGAAAAGGATAGCTTTCCAACGCTGTTAGTGTCACATCGCAAATGCGCTCCAACTGGGTTAACTCTGCAGCACCACAGGTGTCCTGGCATTAATTATGGAGTGCGTCTCCATCGACAACGGCAGAATACCTATAAGGAGATTAACACTTGAGCTGCGAGTGCTAAATTACTCATCACAGTGGCTATACTCCGGTAAAATATGACCCCACGTAATTATTCATACAAATAGCCTTTCCCATTATAGCACTGTATTAAGGTTTATGGAAAAGCAATGTTCACCACTGTTCTGAAGCACTGCAGCATTATTTTGCAAATGTATAATTTCCACTGGATACATTGAATAATATATGTACAACTACATGCACAGCTATTGTCACTACTGCATAATGCCATCCCCATGCTAATGTGGGGGTCATTGGGGTCACATTACCATACTTCACCACTGATTTCTATTTGCTTAATTGTTGTGCTTGTTTTTTTTATATTATTGCTTTTGTGATCCAGATCACGCTTCCAAATGAAACAATCCTTGCCTCTGAGTTCTCACGTGGTTACATAAAATAAGCTTAGGAGGGGAACCATAGACATTGGTGCATAGTACAGCACAACGACAATGGATCCCTGCAAGCAGCCTCTAACACCTGCTTAATGCACGATGATATCCCATTTAATCAATGTTCATGCTCAAACCTGCCTAGCTTGGTTTAACACGTCGGCTTTCGTGACCAATATTATCCATAATAGAGGTTTTGGTTAAATATAAATGCGTCGTTAAACCCGCCACCACCCGACACAGCCAATTAGTAAGGTTTGTCGCGTAAATAAAACATGCCAATTCGTTACCAGTACAGCACATCGATGTGTTGGAGAGTAAATTGTAAATGGTAATTTGGAGAGTAAATTGTAAACGTTGTGGGTTCACTCCATGTTCCTGTGGCAGTGGCGAATCAATCCATAGGACAACCACGATTGGCTTCAACATAATGTATGCATTTTATAACCGTATAGGACATCTGCGATGCAACTGCAACAGTCGCAATGCCCACTTGCATCACCTCTACAGCGAATTTGTAACTGCAGGTGGTTCCCAATCCACGCTGATGCGGGGCGCTTTAATTACCTTGTAGAACGTTGCTTTATAAATACCACTTATTACTATTATTTAATTTCAAACGTAACTTTAGGCTGTGCTCAAGCGCTCTTCTCGTTGTGCAGCAGCTGCTGTAAGCCCAAGGCAGATGTTGACTTGAGCAGACGCGCCTGTCATGTCACACACAGCCTCTGGAACTTAACTGTAGCCCCAGGTAGAGTTTCTTAATGATTAACCTGCCACTCGTACGTTTACTTACTACAGTATTGTCCTGCACATTTAATTAATTATTTAGAGTGGGTGTTTTGTTATTTTTGTGGAGCAGTAGAGAGGAGTGGTAGTTAGTGGTGGTTTGGTGTACTGCACTCTAAACCCCGCGATAGGATTGACCTCTGTCAGGGTTTGACCTGGGCAGCCTGGGGAATTGGAATCTGTGTTTGGGTGGCCCCAGTTGATTTGTCCCAAAAAAATATGCCGCCGGTATTGCTGCATTGAACTTTATTACAGTAAACTGCACAGCTGTTTTTATTTTTTATAGCCGCAGGCTGACTAAGAAATGCGTCCCGAGTTCGATCTACAGAATAGGTGGCAACCATTACCCAGTGATGGGCAGTTTGATTCCCCAGCTAACATCAGTGGAGAACCGTGGGCCATACGGTAAACCACTGTAGCCTGCACCCCTTCAGTCGAAGAATGGAAGCACGACACAAACTCTTTCCTGTAAGCCTTCTCGTCGTGGCTGGCAGACCTCAACATTGGCATTTAGCTCCTGAACACATTGCGTTACGCCAGAATAGAAAAGTAGGTACGTACGTACGTATGAGCTTCTTTGGTAGCCAACCGTGCTAATCGGAGGTGTGAAATATGACTCGATACTGGTACACAACCCTGCACCAACTCAGACTGACTGGCATGGCGAAGTATGGTCAAACCACCCCTCCGAGGGAATGGTGTGGTGAAGCCTTCATCCAACGGTGGATTGAAAAATGGCTGCACACGTTAAAACCGAACTTTACAGGTAAGTGATAAGCCAAGAATGTAGATACGACAGCAAATAATGGTAGCGGAGAGACAACAACAAAAACTGTCAAGTCCAATGCACCATCACAGATAAGTGCAGACACAGAAGGTTGCAGCACGTGGACTGATAAAGGGCGGTACAGTATTGTCGTTGCATTCAACAGGGGGGGGAAGTGTTATGAATGAATTAATATCGCTTTTGTCCAACTGCTGCTGGACGTAGGCTCCCAGACTGTCGGTCGTGTGGATCGTTTGACCATAATTCACCACTCTGGTGCAGGTTAGTGAAGGGGGAAACCCAGGCCCCAGGGCCGGATTAAGGTTCTTGTAGGCCCTAGGCGCTTGTGTTTCGTAGGCCTTCATTGATAGCTTTCTACAGTTTGTACTACTGCCCATGTTACTACCGTGGCTGCCACTTGCTTGATTGTGCGAAAAACACCATTTGAAGACGTTATTTGCTAATTTTGCAATGAAAAAAAATCTCGAAAAGTTTACCTCTGGTGTTAATTTCTCTCACCTTATGAGAAAAAAATATTGACATGCATATACACTGTGGTTATCCTTGCCTTATAAACATATTTATTCAAGAATATATCTTGGTAAAAAAAATATTTATCATACAATCAAAAACGGGGCCAATATTTTTCCGTAAGCCCTTCGTTTCCGTAGGCCATAGGCATAGTGCCCCTACCGTGCTTATTGGATAATCCGGCCCTGCCAGGCCCGGTTCGGATATCTCTCGCAACTGACGTTAGCCGTGGCCGATAATCACATAGGTAATATGGCAATGATTATTTACATGTTATACAAAAAAGTGGCATGTAAATGTCAATCATTGTGATTTGTCTCCTGATCAAATCTTTGCTGATGGATACCTGGGGCTGAAGTAACTGTGGCACAGCACTGCACACAATTTACCTGGCATAGTAGAGCTCGGCCTGGGGGTTGTTGCCTTCCCTGAGCACCTGCACGTCGTTGAAGAGGCACTGGATGAGATGCTCTGCCTCGCCCAGGCAATGGTCTGCCTCGGAGACGTGCCACGGAGGGTGGCCTGTACTCACTCGCCGCAGGTCCTACATGCCAACAGACACGGCAGGCAAGCAGGAAGAGCGAATCGAAAACGTGCAGACACTCGCGCACACGTGCACAGGCACTCCACATCTGGGATTCCAAGTAGAGTATAACTCATCTTCCATAAGAGGTTTTGGGTTAGATCGCATAAATATAAATGTTCCATTAAACCCACCACTTAGTAAGCCTTGTCACGTGAACAATTGGGTTTATTCTCCAACACGCCAGTGTGCTGTACGAGTAACGAATTGCCATATTTTGTTTACGTGACAATCCTTACTAATTGGCTCTGTCGGGTGGTGGTGGGTTTAACGACACATTTATATTAATATCTATCTAACCCAAAAATCTCTGTTATGGAAAATATTGGTCGCGAAAGCCTACGTGTTAGAACTCATCTCATCCGTGACTCCTGTTGTCAATGAGATCCGTAGGGTCGGCATTTTTAAAAGGATTCCTATTATCCGTGATTTTTTTGTTGCCGCTGCTAAGGAGTTGCGTGGATAAATTAATTCTATTGTCCGAGATATTTTCTTTTCACGGGGATGAATGGACAAAATTTGCAGATAACATTACAGATAATAGGACCCCACAACGTTTGTCCCATACGTGGCTACAGAATAAGGTGAGCTCGACTTGTGGGTGTGTTTGCACAGCTTATTTGAATAAAATACATTTATTTTCAGCAGAGCAGCTCATCAGCCCTCCAAAATGGAATTGCAGCGTCATGTACTGGACATGCACCGTTACTATTTGCGGAGTTTATTTTAGAAGAACCGTAATTGGATACGTTACGTCACATGTAGCATACTTTGAGTTTAAATGTACTGTATTTAAAATCCTTTATTCAAGAAAGTATGAGGGATGCACAGTTTAAATCTTGAACCTGTTTAGGATACATATTTTTGAAAGGACACTTTTATTTGTCTCTATTTTTACAAAATAGGTTTAAATTAGATACACGCCACTTATTAGTCCATGGCAACCCAGTATTACAGACATCGATGCCCAGGTTATCCTTAAAAAAACTTCAGAGCATGTCTTCTTCTTCCGTCATATGGCAAGGTGAAATTACACATTATGTGCATATCAAGAATATCAAGCCACTGCATAGCCTGTGTGGAGGCTGGGTTGATCAGAGCAAGTACTATGTAACTTACAATGTATTAAGGCTGTGATAGCACAAAAAGGGTGGTATATCTCAATTGTCAACACTCCCTACATAACTCGAACTATTAAATGTATCCTACATACTGTGGAGACCAATGGGGGTATTTTTTTGTTAAGATTTACTGAACACGATAAATGAAAAATGAAACAAAGCACAGCTGCTATTAATAATAATTCATGTTCTTTATATCAAGCTTTTCCAACGCTCAAATCACTGAACAGTAAAAAAATGTTCAATATTATTCGGACTAAAAATAATATTAAGTGAAGAAAAAAATCAATGGCATATGGACACTCTTTGGTTCTTTCGGTAAAGTCACGTAGATAGAAAAAACAATAATAGATCACGACGTTTCGATCGCAACACAAGCAATCGTCATCAGGTGAGACAAACACAGCAGGAGACATGTTGAGGCTGGAGAAAGAGCTGCTGTAACAAGAGGTTATATAGGCTTGAGGTGGGCTCAACCCAACGGTAAGTGGGCGGAGCTAGAGATGGAATTAGCATGTCAATGTGAGACGGCTCCAGCAACAGCGGCTGTGCCAATGAGAAGATGAGCATGTCAATGTCAGAGAACCGGGAAATAAGAACAAAAAAACGGCAAAAGCAACTGAGGCAAACAAGATCTGCGGCATTGGCCGCTGCACTGTGAGAGACCAGCATGTCAACGAGAGAGACACACAGGGAGAGAGCGAGACACACAGAGAGACACACAGAGAGAGAGAGAGACACAGAGGGACAACCCACAGAGAGAGACATCCACATAGAGACACACACAGAGACACAACACAGAGAGACACACACAGAGAGACACACATAAAGAGACAACTCCCACACAGAGAGAGACACACACAGACAGAGAGAGAGACACACACACACAGACACAGAGAGACACACACATAGATACACATACAGAGAGAGATAGACACACACACAGAGACATACATAGAGACACAAGGACATAGAGACACACACACACACAGAGACACACAAAGAGAGCCACACACCCATAGAGACACAGAAAGACACACATAGAGAGACACACAGAGAGACGCACAGAGAGACACACAGAGACACACACAGAGACACAACACAGAGAGACACAGAGAGAGAGAGACACAAACAGGGAGACAACCCCAACACAGAGAGACACACATCCACACATAGAGAGACACACCAAGAGAGAGATACACACACACACAGAAAGACACACAAACAGAGAGACACACACACAGAAACATGACAGCCAGTTATAGTCTGTAAAAAAAACGAGAGCTCCCGCCACATCTGCCTTGTGTTCATGCACACGCCCGAGACATGTCGTTTCGTTTCCCCAATGTAACTGCTGCCACAGACACAACTTAGTTTGTAGACACCGGGGTATTGCATGTCAGGGATCACATCCTTCACAGATGGGATCAAATCACGGCTTTTGTATACTGTGATGAAACGAACCTGGATCTTGTGTTTGTTCAAGATTTTGGAAATCTTTTTGGTAACTCCTGCTATGTATGGCAAGGTGATGGCTTTGATTGGCTCCTCAGATGGTTCTCTCCCCATGGCTGGGGAGACAGCTTTCCAAATTGTGCGGTCAGAATATCCATTCATCCTGAGGGCTTGGTGTACTTGCTCCAGCTCGCTGGCTAGGTGGTGCTGGTCGGAGATGCAACGGGCCCTATGGTGTAGTGTTTTGATGAGGGAATTCATCTGGGCTGGATGGTGGTGGGAGTCAGGCTTTAGATAGGCAGTGTCCCAACGAGCCATCAGGTCTCTTCCTGATCAAAACATCTAGGAATGGTAACTTGCCATCCTTTTACACTTCCATGGTGAATTTGATGGCTGGGTGGATGGAATTGATGTGGTTGAAGAATTAGTTTAGTGCTGGCTGGCCATGTGGCCAGATGACGAACGTGTCATCTACGTATCTCTTCCACAAGGAAGGACGTAGGGTGGATGTCTGGAGGGCATCCGTCTCAAATTTCTCCATGAAAACATTCGCTACCACTGGCGATAAGGGATAACCCATTGGAGTTACCTTCATCTTGTTCGTAGAATGTACCATTCCAGGTGAAGTAAGTGTTGGTAAGGCAGTGCCTCACCAAAATTGGCACATCAGAATTCAGTTTCTGTTGGAACAAGTCTTCAATGATTGCAATGGTGTGGATGAGGAAGGAATAAATTGTAACGTAACTATACTGCAAAAATAGAAAACCTACATTTTAAATTTGCTACCAGCTGCACTAATATTCAGAATACTTCATTTAAGAATTAAATAAGCCAAGAAGATAATGGTACAGCCCTGCAATTACCTGCTCGTTGTAACTGCTGGCATAAGGGGCTGGAGAAAGCTCTGCTGGAGAGAGCACCCCCTGGAGGATAACTTGGCCTACTCTTCCATTAAATTTTGATTTAAAGCTTTCGTGACTGCAGGGATTCATATTCTTGGTTCTTTCGGTAAAGTCACGTAGAAGGGAAACAATATTTTTATTTATTATATATATATTTTTATAGTGATACTGAAAGAACCAAGAATACTCTTCCATTGTTTTCAACTGCCGTGTAGAGAGAATGAACCGGCCACCTCTGGGTTGCAAGTCCACTGTGCTAACCATTCCATTTCGGCAGCATTTATGATTTAATACAATTGTTTCCTAGTTTGATGGAGGTTTTTTTTTATACTGACGCAGTGTGTTTTCCTTTGCGTGAAAAGAAGCATATGCCTCGGTTGGCTTTAAGTGTCCATACAGCGGCATCGGAAAATGTACTATATTGCTTTTCGCACCAGTTAATGAGTCACGAGCAAGTGAAATTACTGAAATCTTTTACATCTCTTTTTTTATTCAACTGTTGAACGAAGCCCCCCCCCCCCCAACCTGCCCCCAGGCTGTGTCAGTCACGGGGGGGGGGGGCGGGGGGGGGTGGCGTGGTGAGGGGGGCACACTAACGGAGGGGAGAGCAGGGCTTGGGTTTTACACCACTTGAGGCACACAACACCAGGAAATATTACAAAGAGGAAGAATACTTCGTAGTACTGGAAGAGCGAGGAGAGTGCTGTCCCCTATACAGCCACCTCGTAAACAGGATGATCCTGGGAAGAAAAAAAAAACACCAGGACAGGTGGCAACCCTTATGAGGTCCACATCAGATTCCACAAGCTACTGATGGCTAAACATCAAACCAAGGTGACCCAGGTTCAGAACACAAACTCTATTGCCGTATACATCGTACAACTAACAAACACTACGAATATGGGGACGGGGGGGGGTCTGAAAACCAATTTGAAGACACCTAATTTATTTTTGCTTCGTGGGTGTCTCGAGCCGAGCCCACCTTGTCACGAGGCAGACAGCAAAATCACCAATCGAAATAGAGCCAACGTGGATTATTACAAAAGGGCTTTGCACTGTACTATATATATAGCAGGGGCGACACTGCGCCATTGTGTAAAATGGGCATTACCCCAGTCAACTTGCAACGTTAAGCCAACATTGGGCTGTGGCTGGAACCGTTGGGGAAACGTTTGCCCAACGTTCCATGTCGACTGAGACTCAGGTACATGTAAAACCTGCCAGCTTTGGTCGTTTATTTCTGAAAAAATATATGCGAGAGGCATGTTTTAGAGTACTCCATCATCTTGCCATGACTGAGACGGCCAATGCTGCTGTGTGCTCAGTTGCAGCGTTCGTTGTAGTTTTGCAGGGTTTGCAAATATTTTCTCAGATCGCAAAACGGCTCTAAATGTTGCATAAAATATGCGATGCAATGCAACACGAAATGGGATTTCACATAGGGTCAGTGAAGGGGAGCAACTGGATTGAGGGCAGTTGTGGA